GCATCATTTAATGAAAGGACATACTTCACTAGCTTCACTAAAGCCCTAATGATTAAAAAAAGAAAAATTCATTTACACGTAGACAATTAAATCATAAAATGAATATACTTACTGAACACTCTTTACATCACTGTCAATAATGAAAATAAATGAAAAATAAATATGGATTATGGTGGTAATTCAAGAATTACTCCTTCTGTGATTTTTTGTCATTGGCATTCTGCGAATTTTTTGTTTAAATCATACGTCAATTGAAAAAAATTACTGAAAACAAAAGTAATTGTGACTCAGGAAAAAATATTTTCTTATTAAGCAAACAAAATTTCGACAATACAAAAAACAAGATGTTATTGTGAATGTTTAGTATCAAAATAATGTAAATTCATGCTAAAGTAGGACGCACATGCGGTATCAGTCTCTTGAAATTAAACAAGCATTCATTAATATTAAGATTTTATAACGATTGATAATTTAATTATTAATTAGCAATTCAGTTTGTTTTTCGAAACAGATTTAACACATATTTTGGGTTCGATACTTTTCGATTTACCTAGTACGAAGTTGACTCATAAGAACACATTCATCTTTACTTTGTGCGCATCTCTATCGTTTGCATAAATCTTCAGCACATGTGTATGTGTGCACATCAACCGAAGGCAATGATAGTCTCGCCACACTGAAATTGTTCATTCGGTAGATTTGCATTCGGTCGGGTGTGCTGATTACAGGCATTATGATGTTGTCACGATCTAAGAAAAAAACATGTAAATTATATGACGAGCGGCAGAGCAAGTGCGATTTGTGTTCAAAAACACGCTTGACCACTTGTGTAACTCTTGCAGAGTTTTCAAATTATTTTCCTTCTTCCACCGATGCTGCGAAATTATTATCTCAAATGCCCTTAACCATTCGAAAGCATCATAATGATCAACGAATGAAATCAACGGCCGCTCAAAGGCGGCAAGAAGAAAAAAACACAAATTGTCAATTGCATTTGCACATGAAAGGTGCGTCAACGAGTGTTTCATTATTTACAAAATATTAGGCTAATACACACTGTGACTATGTCGTTTTTACCGCAGACGACGCCAAAATCATTATTTTCCAATTTTAAAGTGATGACACGTAATTGTTGTCATCACGTTTTGACGCACGCACATCAATCCGAGACAATGTACAAAACGTTTTTCTATTTATTTTGGAAAATACACCGGAAAAATTACCAGTCGTTAGCTTTTTTTTTGCTGCTCTGAAAATTTCAATAGACAATTTTCGGTCAATTTCTTTTCTTCGCATTGCCATCAAAATTGGAATTTCGTGCACGTGGCAATCGAAGAAAGAAACTAATTGGAAGTAAGTGTAATCATTTATCATGAGTGCGAAAACAGAGAGATGAAGAATGACAGTAAAAAAACTTCGCATCTAATTGTTGTGCGAAATTGGATAATTGTCGGTTTGAATTGTTTTAAAAGTCCCGTTGAAATAGCACAAGTTTCGGGAGCCACACCATACCTCTGTCCTAGTCCATAAAAAGTAGTCGGTTAGACTCAATTTTTTTTCTTCTATTTCCACATTCCATTCAGTTAGACGTCTAATTTTTTTTTTTGCTGTTGAAGTGGCACTTGTTTTCCGTTCTTTTGGGGCCGTACACATTTGCTCTGTTTCTCGCAATTGCGCAAGCGTACAAAACGACCAAAACGGAAAAAAAGAACATTGAAATAAAACCGACTATTGTGACCGATTGTGTTGAGCACATATTCATATAGCAAGTTTTTGTCCGACGGTCATTTCGTGATGTGCGCGCTCCAAACTCACTAAGGCATAGCGTCTGACAGAAATACTATTACAACTAACGGTAATCATAACTTTATTTTATTGACGTATTTGGTGTTTTGCTTCAATATGTCGACGCATTTCGTTGCGCCAATTGAGACCGATGACAAGATCATGAAGTACGGTATCGATCCCATTAATATTGAATGGAAAAAACAACGTGCATAATGTGCCATTGATTAAATTGATCGACATTATGTCATGTTAATAATGGATAATGATTCACAGGTGCCGAAATAATGCGTGAGTACCAAAGAAAAACAACCATCTCATTACAAATGTGATGAAATGCGAATAATTTGCCATATCAATACGTTTTTAAACAAACAAGATCGACAACTTCTCCTCTGAATTGATTCGTGAATGACATTCAAAATGAGATATGTATGTGATTTTCAATGTGCGTTTGCATATTACCAATTGCCTAAAACGCATAAAGGCCAAACATCAGAAATGATCAGCGCAGACATTTGAAAACTATTTCGAACACTGATTTGGGTTTTGATTACGCAATGCTAAAAAACAAACAGGTTTATACCAAATATTGATACAGAATGTATAATAAATGATCGGCATGTATATTACATCACCAAAAAACCATCATCATTTATCCCAATCGATCGTTTGGAAACCATTCGACATATGTCAATTTATCATTGGTTTGTTACGACTGTTGGTGTCAATCTCGGTTCATAAAACAAAAGAACGATCGCTTTACTTTGATATTTGAACCAGACCTCGTCGAAACACAGTACACCACAACGCAGCACGACATTGATCGAAACTATTTACATAAAACCCATTTAATCTACATAAAAATGGGCTCACTTTATTTTACATTTTTATCAAAATTGATCCATCACAACAACATGCTGGGTGATGAGATAAAATCGCATGATGGTCTTCAAGCAATTTTCGAAATTTAAGGCCTAATAACCATTGCAAAAAAACAAAACTCTCGCTTTGGTCGCCATTTTTGAGTAGATCCATTGTGTTTCGGACATAGAAACCTGATTTTTTTTTTTTAACTTTGTTGCTAAACGAGTGACTCTCGGCGCATAATTTTATCTTATTTTCTATGGAAACCATTTTCCAGAAAAGCATTTTACTTTTACTATTACATTTTGAGCTTGTAAATATTAACATATTTATGACTTTGGAAAGAGTTTTCTCATATATTGTGTGGCCGAACAAAAGAAATGCACACATTTCAAGCAACAAAAGAGAGAAAAAATGTCTTTTTCGAAATGGAAAATTTTGTGTGAAATGACACCGTTTAGAGAGATGAAAGACAATGCAATAGAAATACCAATTTGCAGAACGACCACTTCCGTAGATACTTATGGGAATGCGCACTCACCACCGCACACAAATGATGAAGTTAAACGCACGCCTCATTTTATAAATAGCGTCTTTAAATGACTAAAGGTGCAAATAAAGAGTACGGTTACGCAAATAAAACCATATAATTAGATTCAAACTTTGATCGTCCGCTCAAATATTCACTTTTTCTACAAAGTCAACACACACTTTTTAATGATGCTTATGGTATAACGAAATACAATCTTTCACCTTATATTTTTGAATCTGCATCGCTAATTTTTAACTTTATATCAATTCTTAATGAATTGAGTAGAAAAAATGTCACATATAAAATTGTCATTTTGCATAAAGAAAGCTGAAAGAGAACTTTCGAAAGGAAAGAATTTCACATGAACATGTGACCGTGATTCTTGCAAAAAAAAAAAAATTATCGCAATATTTGAGTTGGTTACAAATGCAAATCGGAAAAGTTTTTCGCTTGTGATCATTTTGTTGAAACAAATCATTAGCATGAAACGGTATAATTTCGCTCCACAGAACGCGATCTAATTTGGAAGTCATGAATGTTTAAATGTTCATTCATTAAAAAGTCTGATTAAAAATCGTTCAATTCCGTTTCGGTAATTGAAAGTGAGTTTCATTGGCTTTACATAATTTTTGGGCGTCGGTTTCAATGATCGAATTGTTTCATGCAGCTCTGTCAATTGAAAGTTTTCGATCGAATTGATATGCAGATCACATCGAGTACGGTTAAAAATGCCATCGTAACATCGACTTATGAATTGAATAACACATTGTGTTGATAAGTATGAAGTATGAATTCAAATGACATGCCAAAAAGTTCCATTTCACTGGCAGTTGCTGGTTCGCGTACACGCAGCATGCTATTTTTGATAAGCGATCTACAATCCAATCAACAATTAATCACTCTTCATTCACAACAAACATATTAAATAAAAACAAACCATCAAAACCGTTTAGCTATCGATTTCTATAACGTGTACCTGCGATCAATGACCCATCGATTGAGATGATGATGAAAAAGCGCTTAAACGCTTTCGCATGTTTCATTTTTATTTCTGCTATCTCATTGGATGCTGATTGTTTCACGAGAAAAAAACCTTATTTCGATTGAATGTTTCCCAATCTTTTCTATTGTCATTGTCACGTTCAAATACAATCGACTTGACTTCTGTATACTTTTTGTTCCGGCCAAAGTCAATATGCTGATTTGTTTTGGATCGCAACAATATAAACATGCACACAACAATTTAATTGCCGTTTGAATGAGATTTCTAATGAAGACAATTGCAATGGTGCGCGAGAAAACATCGCTTCTCTTTCACCTTGGTGCGACATCACACGTTTATGACTGGTCAACTCACCTCAACGTGCTATGCCGTTGCAAACGATGCACACACCGTGAGAGAGAAATAAAGAGAGTGTGTGTAGTTCTCCCATTGACGATTGCGGTGAATTTAAATAATGTGAGAGATTCAATCATTTCAACGCTTCTAATCCGTTGTTGTGTATTCTCCGTCGTCGTTTAATCGAACACCAATCTTCATTATATCAGTCGATTGATTGTGGTAATTTTTTTCTTCTGCACTTAAAATACATTCAATTGGATAATAAGTGTGAATAGTGAAAGTGGCTACGGTAATTATGGTTTTGTTGTTACAATTCTATGTGTGTGAAACAACTTTCGACCATTTTTCTTCTTTACAACTCCGACCTTTTTTGAACTTTTGCACATTCTGAATTTGGCTCAAAAATCTATTTTCCCCCCATTAAAATCGCTTGTGGCCTTTACAAAAAATTAATGAATTTTTTCGTTGTTTCAGAATGATGATACTACACAGGTTGAAGGCACGGTTTCTGTTTTTACTTTGGATTTGTGTGGCAAATTCATCAGGATCGGCACTGACGTGGCAACCATGCCCTGAGCTCAGTTCAGCGCTGCGATATCCATGCCGATGTAAGGTGGAACCGTTCGGACCAAAATCAGATCTGGGAGCCGTTTCGATGGATTGCGACAATGTTGTTTTTCAAACTGAATCGCCCATTTTACCAATTAGAGCACCAATTATCTCATTCTCGCAACGGCATTGCGGACAACAAGTTTTACCAACACAGGTGAACCAGGAAATGTGATTAGTTATGAAACGGAACACATTTTAACAACTTTTTCTTTTCATTTTCCTTATTTATACAGGCGTATGCTACGACCGAGTTGCCGCTGCGAAGCTTGGACTTTTCACATAATTCAATTAGACGTTTGCCTGAAAAAGCCTTTTCAGGTATTGAGGTAAGCATATTTTGTGATCTTTTTTCCCTTTAAAAAATGGAAGTGAAAAGGTCTTTTAGCTCTCTTCTTCTTCTATATCTTCTACAAATTTAAGCGAATTTCACTTTAATAATAAAACTCAAATTCCTTCATTTTTCATATTAGAACACTTTGGTGGTTTTGAAGTTGTCCGATAATTTATTCGGCGATTCATTGAATCCAATTTTCTCAACGGCTGAATTCCGTCCACTGAATCAATTGCGCGTCTTGGATTTATCCGGTAACAAGATCAAAGCGTTGGAAGAGGGAATTTTCAAAGGCTGCGAAAATTTACAGGTAACTTGGTCAATGTAAAATTACAGAGAATAAATCAAGATATTGTCAAATGTTCTGCGCTTTCAAATTACCACTTGGGATCCGTTGTACTTTCGAACGGCATTTTAATTGAACCAATTTTAATGACAAGATCAGTTAGTTTACTCCAATTCTGGTTCCCCAACTGAAAAATAAAGTCATTTGTTCGATGCTCTTGATGGAGGTCAATGCGTGATTACAATTACAGTTTACACATAAATCTTCCGAAACTTAAAATTCTTTCCGAACATGCGATCCGAAAATCAAAGAAAGACGCGATAAAAATCGAGATAGAATGAGCTGGATGTGTGTGTGTGTGCGATTGTGCAGACATTTGATGTTAAAAAGAAATCAGTTTGCGATGATGCGCATTGTTTACAATTATCGACAATTTCTCATGGCTAATTGCCTATTCATACTTTGCCAGCGCGCGAAAATGAGCAAACTGAATGAGTATTGTTGCAGCGCAGTACAGCTATTTCTGTGTAGTCGTCGGAATCGTACTAAGATTTAAGAAACAATAATATGTTATGTTCATAACACTTTCACGGTATAACCAACACAGACAATAATATAATATAAACCAATTGCAGAGCGATGAAAAAAAGTGATCTTGGAAAAATGTAAAGAAGCGTACTATATGTAGGGCATTTCTTTTGTTTGCGTTTTCAATGTTTTAATGCCGTTGTTTTTTTTTTCTATTATTTTGTGGTCCAAGACCGCGCACGTTCATATATGTGTGGTAAAAGAATCAAAGAATTGACTGCTTCGTGTCAAAGAAAGAGTGCATAAAATGATTTTGGCGTCAGCCTACACATTTCAACTCAAATCAATGCATGAATTGCTACTTTATGCAGAAATTTTATTTTTTAGTACAAAAAAAAATGTTTTTCTTTGGTAGCAAACGAAAGCAAAATGTAATTTAAATCAGTGTGTCCATAATATATAGAAATATCACTAAATAGTGTCGATATCTATACTATATCGGTCCACTATATATGAAAGATATTGCCGCACGGCACCGTATCGCACGATCGAAGCCAGTGTAGACGGAAAAAATCACAAATTGCCATGCGGCAGTAGAAAGAACTGTGTGTATGCGTCAACATGTTTGCCGTCCGCACTCACTTCTATCGTGAGCTACGGTGTCTTGCGGAATATCTTACATATATAGTGGACCAATATAGTATAGATATCGACACTATTTAGTGCTATTTCTATATGTTATGGACACACTGATTTAAATTGAAGTTACAAAACGTTTCGGCATGAGAACACTCACTCTTTCGAACACTGAGTTCAGACTCAATTTTTTTTCACACATGAATCACACACAAAAAATTGTTGCTTTTTATATATTGGTAACGCATAATAACGAGTTTCGCTACTTAAGTCGGCAATGCTTTTGTATTACATTTTAAGTTGGCGAGAAAAGAGATAAAAAAAATTGTTTTAATTTTATTAACTGAGATTCGTCGTTTTCTTTTCACTATTCTTCGGTAGGATTTGAACATTGCCCGCAACAGTTTCACATCGGTGCCATCGACATCGTTAAACGGACCAAATGCCTTGAAGTCAATTTCATTGATGAACAACAGCATCGGTAAGACGAAACAAATTGCCGTTTAGTTTTCGGCGAAATAATGAAAATTTCATAAGAATACAAAGTTTTGAAGACCAAATTATCGCTGTAATTAACAAAAGCAATTATCTGATGCAAAACATTTTAAATCAACAAACATTTTAACAGCTTTGATGGTTTAATTTTAACACAGCGGTGTTGTTTTTCTTGGAATATTTATACAAGTCATGTTTTTATTCATTTTTTTCTTCTTCTCGTAACTACAGCTATTATACGATCTGATGCATTTGCATCACAATCGCATTTGGAACGAATTGATTTACGTTATAATCGAATTGCAAGCATTGATGGCGCCGCATTCGGCGGTTTGACGGCACCAAAAGAAATCTATTTGGCCGGGAATCGATTGGATCAGCTGAATAGCGACGTTTTTGAGGTATTGAGATAATTAGTGACTTGACTCGAATCACAAACCTTTTGATCGATCACAAACATCATTTAATTCGATTTTCGATTTCTTTCAGGGTGCATCTTCATTGGAAAAACTAGATTTATCCGAAAATTTCATAACATCCTTCCCTTCAATTGCTTTACAAGAAGTGAGCCACTTGAAACTCTTGAATTTATCATCGAATATGATTCAAAAACTGGAATCAGCGAATTTGGTAAATTTAAAATCACTGCAAATCTTGGATCTTAGTCGAAATGGCATCAATTCCGTGCCACCGGCAACATTCAGAGACCTGTCACAATTGAAGTACTTGGATTTGAGCTTGAATTCCTTGAGAACGGTAAGCTTATCATTATTCGATCGCCAAAAACCGCAATTTAAAAAAAAAAACACCCTTTTTTATTCCACAGATTGAAGACGATGCCCTTGAAGGATTGGACTCATTGCAAACGTTAATTCTGCGAGATAATAATATTTTATTAATACCCGGCAGTGCATTGGGTCGTTTGCCACGTCTTTCAAACCTCTACTTGGACTATAATCGCGTTGCTGCCCTTTCGTCTGACATTTTGGGTTCAATTCAACCGGAAGACATCAAATATATGTCACTGTCACGCAATGTGATTCGTGAACTTCCACCGGGCAGCTTTGAAATGTTCCGAAACTTGCGTTATTTGGATTTGTCGGGCAATTCATTGGCCACAATCAGCGCAGACACATTCACTGGCTTGGATGCTGCCTTACGTGAGCTGAGAGTATCACATAATCGAATCACCGGCATCGGAAACGTTCCGTTGGCTCTGCATAAATTGCGTATTTTGGATTTGAGTGACAATAACATTGTCGATGTGGCCAAAAGTTCGTTTATGGGCTTGGAAAATTTGCTGTACTTGAATTTGAGCCACAATCACCACTTGGGTCCGATTCCAGTGAATTTATTGCAACCATTGATCAAATTGCGAACAATCGATTTGAGCATGGCCGGTTTGAAAACGCTGCCATCAGAGGTCTTTGAAAATACACCCAATTTGGAGATTATTGTGCTTAAAAACAATGCCATCCAGGAAATTGGTGAATCAACATTTGCAAACTTGCGTAATATTTCAGCGATCGATCTTTCATACAATCATATTACGAGCTTGAAATCAGCGTCATTTGTAAATGCAATGAATTTAAAGAGACTGAATCTAAAAGGGAACCAATTGAGCGCTTTCAGAGGTGAATTTTTCAATACTGGCACCGGATTGGAGGAGCTTGATTTATCCGACAATCAATTGAGCTACTTATTCCCATCGTCATTCCGAATTCATCCCCGACTTCGCAAACTAAGCATCGCCAACAATAAATTAAACTTCTTCCCATCGGAACATATCGCCACTTTGCAATATCTCGAACATATCAACTTATCTGGAAATGAATTGAAAACAATTGACGAGCTTGACTTTGCACGTTTGCCGCGATTGCGCATTTTGGAAGTGGCACACAATGAATTGGATACATTGAGCGAAATGGCCTTCCATAATTCAACGCAATTGCAAATTGTCGATTTGAGCGACAATCATTTGGATCGAATTGGCGATCGTACGTTTGAGGGACTGGTTCGTTTGGAAACCCTTAATTTGGAAGGAAATCGATTGAATGATTTACCAGAGGCGATCTTTGATCGATCCAAATTACATATGTTGGAAAATATCAATTTGGCCAATAATAAATTTGATTATGCACCATTGAAAGCACTGCAACGCCAATTCTTCTTTGTGACATCGGTGAATTTGAGCAAAAATAAAATTAAATCAATTCCATCCGAAGATAGTGTCATGGTTAACATAAAAAAACTCGATCTATCGTACAATCCATTGACCGAAGAGACGGTGGAGAGTATTTTGAATGAACCAAAAACCGTTCGCGAATTGAATTTGGCTGGAACTGGCGTTAAAATGATAACATCGTTGGAGACACCATTCTTGCAAAGTTTGAATTTGTCACACAACAATATTGTAAGTGTGAATGATGAAGCGTTCGAGCGCGCAACATTGCTGGAAAGTTTGGATTTGTCAAGTAACATATTGACTGACATCAAGAGATTATCGAGAATGTGGCCCAAATTGACATCATTACAATATTTGGATCTGTCAAATAATTCATTCGAAATCATTTCTCAAGGTGATTTTGATAACTTGGATATGTTGAAATCGTTGGCAATCACCGATTTGAATCAAATCAATCGCATCGAAAAGAATGCATTCAAAAATTTACCAAATTTATCCGAACTCAAGGCATACAACTACCCGCGACTCGGTTACTTGGATGTTCAAGGCATTGTTGAGCTGCTGCCAACATTAAGCTCATTGGACATTGAAATCAAGGATTCGGCCGTTGGCAGTGACCAAATTCAACCGGCCAAACATCCACGTCTCAAAGAGCTCGGCATACGGGGCAGTCGATTGCGTAGCATATCATCCGCGACTTTGGCTGGATTGAAGGGTAAAGATTTGCATATCAAACTGATGAACACATCATTATCCGTATTGCCACCGGCATTGTTATTCCCCGTTCCGCGTTCTTCAAATGTTGATTTGGATGTGTCCAGTTCAAAATTGACAGTACTTTCACCTCAATTCTTGAGTGCACTTGAAGATCGAAGAAATAGTTTGACACTCCATGGTCTGGACACAAATCCCATTCATTGTGATTGTAATGCACGTGCATTGCGTCGATGGTTGCCTGGATCGCATATGTCATCGTTACGATGTGCAACGCCCGATTATTTGGCCGGTAAACTTCTGACCGAAGTCGGTGATGATGAATTAACTTGTGACGCACGTAAACCAACAACATCGACCCCAATCGCAACCAAAACCACCGCCCAACGTACAACATCGAAATTAATCACGCGTTATACAACGGCCGAACCGGAGATCATTTGGAGTATGCCACCATCACAAGCACCGACCAAAATAAAAACCAAACCACCAATGATTAACAAAGCGGTCATTGCAAACGATGACACCTTAATTATTATTATTGTGGGCAGTGTTGTTGCTTTTATCACAATTTTGATTATTATCATTTGTATTGTACGTCTGCGAATGAGTTCGAACAGTTATCACAATGGACCGATTCCGATTGGAATGCCGCCGATGCCACTTAGTTCGGCAAATATGCAAGTCGGTGGTTATAAAACACCAACGCCACTCTATGCTATTCCACCATATGCTCAAAATTATGCCACATTGCCACATAAGTCGATGTCACATCAATCGATGACAAATCTCAGTCAATCACGAACAAATTACTCAACCATGGGACGAAGTCCATACTATCAAACACCATCGCTGAACGGTGGCCAACCATTCGTCATTTATTCGGACGAAAAGAGCTACAGATAATAAATCCATCACATTTCACAACATTTTAGAAATATAAGTTGCCAAACCGTGCTAAAGAATCAAAACAAACCGTGTTCTTTCTTTAAAAAAAAATTATTGGTGTTCATAATAAACTTTAGCTCCGAACGCAACGAAAAAAAGATTAATAAATTAATTGACAATTGCATTTCGCGTAACATTTACGTGCTGTGCGTAAACATATGAATCAATAGTCAAGAATACGAACGAAAAAATTTGAAAACAAATGAAAATAAGAGGCTTTTTTACTCAAGCTTCAATTTTGTATATGTCTTTCTATACAGAATAATTGTCACGAAAAAAAATAAGCAAATTCTTTTGTAAATATCAAAACTAGACAAATAAAAGCAAGTAATTTAAGTTTGATAAGCGTAATTTGAAAGTGAGAAACGATGAAATATAGTCGATAGATTAATAAAAGAGAAAAAAAAATATTCATTTACATTTCTTATTTCTTAGGTTCGATTTGTAAGACGACAAAAAAAATGTTAAATTAATTATGAAATAAATGAAACAGAAAATTTAATCCAACACTTTACTTCTGATTTAGGCATTAGCTGTGTACATTTTTACTGAAAAATAAAATTTACATTTTGGTATTCGAAATACTTGAAACTAACACCACAAATTTGTTAGCGCTGAAGGCGGTGTAAGCATTGTATGCGTGGATAAAATTGGTATGTTATGGTCTCAGGAAGAATGAGAGGGTAGCTGTAGCAACGGATTTTTTATACCATGGTTTTCTAAAAACCTTCCCTTCCAATTTCTCCATACATGTGTACAGATCATCGCAAATCTTGGACACCTGTGTTCGAACCGTATCGCTAGGACTGGAATATCATTTTATTAATATTCGGCATTACAATTTGCTGCTTATAATTATTATTGGAGTTCAAAAAAAACTTACGTCAAACAGTATATCATGCTCAACTTATCAACACTTGTTGCAATCACGTTTTTGGCACTGCAAAATTATAATAATAATTGTACTTAAATTGAATTCAAACTTGAGTTAATTCAATAATAATTTTACTTTTCATAATTCTCCTGTACATATTTATCTTTATCGGTTTGATAAACGGATTCAAATTCTTCCATTACTTCGTTTATTTTGTCGACTACATTGTCGCTATTCCTATAAGTGTATATAACATATGTGCCAATTAAAAAATGGTAATTTGATAAACATTTGAAATGAATGTCATACTTAACACTTTTGAAAGGATTAACAAAATCTAGGACCTTGCGGGTTGCTTTTCCAATTGGTTTTGGCACGTTCTTGCTAAAACCTGTTCTGCCAGTACATCTGTACAAAAAAGTAAAACATTTTTCTCAAACACAAACAATAAAAGTAAAATAAAAATCATTTTACCTTTCTCGCCAGATTTCCTTGCTCATCGGCTTTCCAATTTCCTTAATATCGTAGCCATCAATTTGAATATTTGGTATGTAAATCAGTTCGCTCGTTGACTCTTCTTTTCCAGCGTACAAAGCGGGAATCTTATAATTTGCACAAAAAATAAAAAAATAAAAGATTAGAAAAACTACAAGAAAAATTATTTGAAAACTTACCAGAGCAAGTGTCACTACACTCAGAATAAGAATTACTTTCATTGCGAATAATTATCAAAATGATAAAGAATTGAATACCGAATGACTATTTATTCGTTTTGAAATGCTGGAGAATAAATAATATGAGGAATTTTTTTAAGAAAAACAGTAACTTCATTTACAGAGTTTTGCCAACAAACCAAATAAAACTTGTTTTTCTCGTATGGAATTTATTCAAACGATCTCAAAAGCTATTTTCTATCATTTGAATTGCGTCATATAATTTCATTTACGACAATTATCGAAAAATTAAGTGTTTGTATCTTTATTGTTGAAGTGTAAATATCTCATTGGTTGAACGCTAAATTCGCTTCTGTAGAAGATTCAAATTTATAACTTATAAAATGAAAGAAAGTGTTAGCATAGGCGTGAACACTTGTTTGTACCAAGAAAAATAAACGAAATACTTATTGAGCTTCAATTTGCTTTAAGTTTAATATCGATATTCTATTATAGCCAAATAATGTGTTACAGCGCATCTGTTTTTGTGTCATATGGTCACATATTTTTTCATCAAGAATAAAAAACATCATTTACAAAAAAAATTCACATTGTAAAATTTTTGACTAAAAACAAACACACAATCTAGCAATACCTTTTCTCAATTATTGCCATAATTTTGTCAAGCTATCAAAATGGAAATGATTAATTAATGGTGAAACTATTGTGGTTTCTCATTGGACTTGTGTTATCTTTATAGAAGTCTGAATCTTTCAGAAATTTTTTTTGCATCGATGGTTCAAAAAATATACACAATAAAGATGTTTTGGAAATAATAAAGAAACATGACGATAAATTATGACTGTTTTCATTCAAGATCACATGCGATGCGATTGAAGACCTGCTTAGATATGGATATACGCGATTACAATGCTCGATATTCCATTTTTTCAACTATTAAACACACAATTAAAAAAGAATGTATTCCAAGAACCAAGATTATTATATATGCTCAGTTATTTTGATAAAGTTGGACTGGGCGATAAAGGATTGTTACAAACATAAGCACTTTGAACTGAAACAATGTAACTTCTTCAGTATGCCACGACAAAATGCTTATTTATTCATGCGTTGAGATAACATCTGAAAAATATCACTTTTTATAACAATATTGCGTACTTCGAATATATATGAGGAAATGACAGAAAAATATTCATATCATTCATATACATAAACATAAACAATTTTGTATCGCATCGAATCGCTCTAATCATAATTATACAACTTTTGTACTTTGGATAGAATGAAAGGCCAATTGATTTTTTATTTACAACTCCAAGGGAATGTAGTCTTTCACTTTCATTCCTTGGTCACAACATTTGTTGACAAAGAAGCAAATCTGAGTTCATATTATACATATATAAAACAGGCGACAATGTTCCGCAGATGATGTGTCCGTTGCGCATTCGAACATAATGAAGAGCTGATCAGTTTCCAAGGCGACTTCAGGCGATCACCACGGTATTCAATCACAAGAAGTATTCAAGTTAAAAAATTCATAACGTTTTTTTGAACTATTCGGAAAAGTATTAACCATTCATTCAATAGGTGAGTAAAATGTATTTTTACCAGAATAAAAAATAGAAAACACTTTGCCTTTTTATTAAGTTTTATTTCGATGTATTTTTGAAGAATATATGAAAAAAAGATTTTTTATCAATTTTTAATAGCATACTTTAACATCGCCCGTGTGTTTCAAGCATGTCTGATTATTTTGATTTCGATTACGATGATGAATATGATCTATTCGACTACGATGATGATATTGATCATATCGATCATATCGATCTATTCGATTACGAAGATAATGATATATTCGAGGAGTTGGAGAACAGATCGTCTTACTCATCGAACAGATCGAATAATTCTCGGCCTTTTGAATATCTGATTTGCCTTGATTTTGAAGCAACGTGCTGGGAACAAGACATGAATGTTCGTATAAGGGAACAAAAACAAGAAATAATCGGTACGTGTAGTTGACTATTCAATATTTGGTGTAAATGCATTTTGAAAATTTAAAATATTCAACCATTGTTATTCATTTAAAAGAGTTCGGCGCTGTGTTGGTCAACCTTCGTAGCGGTGCAGTTGAATCCGAGTTTCATGAATATGTGCGGCCAACAAATCAGCCGATTCTTTCCGCATACTGCACGAATTTGACTGGTATTACTCAGGCATTGGTAAATCGCCAACAACCATTTCCGGTTGTTTATCGAAAGTTCGATAATTGGTTGACTGGAATCCGCACTGCAAAGCAATTAAGATTTGCAACACCAAGTATGCGAACTGGAAATCATCGCAACACCACATTTTGCTCGTGGACGAATTGGGATTTGGGAAACTTTTTCAAATGGGACTGTGCGCGCCATGGAATACAGCGGCCAGATTACTTAAGGGCGTGGATCGATGGTCGAAAGATTTTCAAGGTAAATATCTCAACTATTTTATAATCGATCGTGTCATTTTATTCATGATTTAATCCTTTTTTATTCTAGAACAAGTTTCCATGTGAACAGATCAATTTCGAACAAGCTTTGCGACAATTGAATGTCCCTCGCACTGGCAATGCACACTCGGCAATTGATGACGCAAAAACGTTGGCTAAATTGATGAATCGCTTGAATGAAAGAGGTGCACGAATTTGCGAAGCGACAACCTACCATTTTTCTGCTTGAGTGAGAAATATATATTGTCATGGCGTCATGAAGAAAAATAATTTTAAAAACTATAAAAACATTCATTCCTCTCGAAATCATAAATTACTTTAAAAGAATGTTAAATTATCAAAATAATCCATGAAAAAGATTCAAACAAAACTTTAACACTTTTATTCGTCCGAATCAGAGTTTCTAAGTAACAAACAAAATACGATCAACGCTATTGTGGATTTCCTTTGGTTTCCAATATTTTGATCAAAATACCAATTTCAAGTCAGAATTCTATTAAATTTAAATAAATACATGATTTCAACAATTATTATGATTAAAATAAAAATAAATGTTGTATAAAACTGTTGAGTGTCTTGAGCAAAGTATCAAAATGATTCAAATGGAACTTTGATAGCAAAAACATAAATTAAGCGAATTATCATTTTACAACAACATTGAATTGTCAAAATAATTCACAAAATAGTCTTAAACCATTTTAAACTGATATAAAAGAATTTCGATTGAATACCGTTTCAAAAATGAAAAAGTTTAACATTTGTTGCAATTCATAATTATGTATCTTAATACGTTGTTTACAGAGTTTTTTATTTAATTTGTCCAGCAATCATTGAATTCCCAAATAAATGTTTCGTTTTCTATAAATGACAATAAGTTTATGTGACAAATTATGCGTGTTTTATTTTGGTCATAAAACAAAATATGCAATTGAGCAAAACAAAGTTGAACTGACCGCTAAAGGATTTTAAAGTTGTTTACTTTGACTCAATGATTTTTCGATATGATTATTTACACGAGCTGAGTCCAAGTCATTTTCATGATTTCTGAACAAATAATAGTGAACAAGCACTACAACTGAAGCAATGTAATTTTGTCAATATTCGTCATTGTCCAAGCACCACATACATCGAACTAGTATATGCTACAAAAAAATTATTGTTTATTCATGTGTTGAGGTTAATATAACAATAGCAATAACGTATTTCGAATATATATTCAACGAGAATTTTGTGCTCCTTCACTTTTATTCCTTGGTGACAATATTCGTCGACAAAGCAAAAAATCTGCGTTCAAGCCATAAATTTACAAAACAGGCGACAATGTGTCGCATATACTGTGTCCGTTGAGAGTCTCAACTTGAGACAGCGATATTCGAACATAAACTGCTATGTTTGTGGTTGTTTCTCTGATAAAATAATGATGCTGCAAACGCAATTTCCAAGGATTGAAATAAAGAGCCGATTCAGTTTCTAAAGCGACTCGAGACGATCAACACGTTATTCGATCACAAGAAGTATTCAAATCAACAACACACACACAAGAATCAACTGTCAATATTCTTACACGAGAAATCTGTATAATTCAGTGTATTTTTACATAATAATTCTACAGGAACTGTATATGTAGATGTACTAAATTATACAGTTTTCTTATAAACGTCGATTTTATTCAAGTCCTTTGATAAATAATTTCAATGTGTGAAGTTAATTATTAATTAAGTATCTTGAATGTTTCTGAAAAAATAAAAAAAACTTCATTTGATAAGTGCGTAAAATGTATTTTTAGCAGAATTAAAAATAGAAAACACCGTGCTTTTTAATTCGAAGTGATATTAATATTTTGAAATATAAAAAAAGACTTTTTATCAATTTTCAGTAGCATTTGTTAACTTCGTCCGTTTTAAACATGTCTTCAATGGGAGGGAATTTCGACAGTTTGTTAGAGGAATATTTTAATATTCCAGCATTATTTGAATATCTGATCTGCATTGATTTTGAAGCAACGTGTGAGGATGAGGACATTAATCTTCAGATAAGTGAACAGAAACAAGAAATAATCGGTATGTTTCATATTGAATATTTGATTGAAAGTGTATTTTGCATGATAGAAATGAAATATTTCTTTATAATTTCCCTTGAAATGAAGAATTCGGCGCTGTGTTGGTCAACCTTCGTAGCGGTGCAGTTGAAGCCGAATTTCATGAATATGTTCGGCCAACACATCATCCGATTCTCTCCGCATACTGTACGAATTTGACTGGAATCAGTCAGGCGTTGATAAATCTCCAGCAACCATTTCCGGTTGTTTATCGAAAGTTCGATAATTGGTTGACTGGAATCCGCACTGCAAAGCAATTAAGATTTGTAACACCAACTATGCGAACTGGAAGTGATGGCAACACAGCATTTTGCTCGTGGACAAACTGGGATTTGGGAAATTATTTCAAATGGGACTGTGCGCGGCATGGAATACGGCGGCCAGATTACTTAAGAGTATGGATCGATGGTCGAAAGATTTTCAAGGTAAATGTCTCAACTATTTTGTAATCGATCATGTCATTTTATTAATGATTTAACACTTTTTTATTCAAGTGGAAATTTAATTGTCAACAAATCAATTTTGAGCAAGCTTTGAACTGTTTGAATATCGTTCGATCCGGTAATGCACACTCGGCAATTGATGACGCAAAATCGTTGGCAATGTTGATGATTCGCTTATTCCGAGATTATCATACGCCGATTTGCAAAGCAACGACCTACCATTTAACTGATTGAGCGAAGTGTTGATAACATGATGAAAACAATGAATCAAATGCAACTTTAAAAGAAATATTATAAATTAAGATTATTATTTTAAAACAATATTTAGTTGTCAAAATAATTAAAAAAATATCCATAAACCATTTTGTATCAGTTTAAAAGAATTTCGATTAAATACCGCTTCAGAAAATTAAAAAGTTGAAAATCTATTACAATTCATAATTATATATCTCAATACGTTGTCCAAAGAGTTTTGTACTTGATTTTTCCAGCATTCAACAGGTCTCAGACGTTCAATTCAGTACAATTCCATTGAATTCCATATAAATGTTTCGTTTTCTACAAATGACATTAAGTTTCTGTGCGTGTTTTATTTTGGTTAAAAATTACATCCAAAACCTCAATTCAAAACGAAAATATTTGGTTGCAATGCTAAATGCATTAATACATTCAACAAAGACGCGAACAATTTATATTTTTAAGATGCTTACGTGATTATTTTTCTTATCGGGATTAATTTTGCTATCTTGTTTGTATACTTTCAAGTGCAATGTATAAAGAGTCGATTATTTTGCATTAAAATTTGCTATCGCAAGTGCAATTGGATTCTTTGAAATAATGGATATTGAAATATGGTACTTATTCATAATAAAACTATTTTTCACTGGGCATATATGCAAAACAGCGATAATAGTGAGCATTTAAGTGTCGTGTCAGCACGCAGCTCAACGATTGTACATTTGATGAAAAATATAAAAAGACATGGTTTCAGTTTGTAAATTGACTTGAGATTATTAACACGTTGTTCAAATTCAAGATATACTCAAGAATTTAGCCTTTCTTATTTTCAGAAATGTTTGCTATACCTGATGAATATCGTGAATGTTTTCATTATATTATATTTCCGTTCTTTAAATATCTGATCTTCATTGATTTTGAAGCAACGTGCTGGGATGTGGACATATCCGTTCAGATAAAAGAAGACAAACAAGAAATAATCGGTATTTTTCATGATTATTGAAATCGAATTTAACCTTTGTAGCGGCGAAATTGAATCCGAATTCCATGATTATGTGCGGCCAACAAATCAGCCGATTCTTTCTGAATACTGTACGAATTTGACTCAGGCATTGATAAATCGTCAGCAACCATTTCCGGTTGTTTATCGAAAGTTCGATATTTGGTTGAATGAAATACGCACCGCAAAGCAACTACATTTTGCTACACCTGGCAGCCGAAGAGCAATCTATTCACGTGATGATATTACGAACACAACGTTCTGCTCGTGGTCGAATTGGGATTTGGGGAACTATTTTCGGTTGTATATGGCTGTAGATTTGTACGCAATCTAATGTGTAATTCTAAATATTTATTTTATTTATGCAGATGGGGTTGTGCGAGGCATGGAATACAGCGGCCAGATTATTTAAGAGCATAGGCCGATGCCCTTGTTTTCAAGGTAAACTCTCGATTATTTTGATTGAAAATGTCAATTTATAAAAGTTTTTATTTTTCTTGTGTTTTTTAGAAAGGATTTGGAATGAGCTATGAGCAGAAAATTACATTTGCTGAAGCTTTGAAGTTCGTGAGCATCGATCAAATCGGTAACGCACACTCGGCAATTGGTGGTGCAAGAATGTTAGCAAAATGTATGTATCATTTAAAACACAAAGCAGATACAATCGTTAATGAAGCAACGACCTTCCATATCACCCCTTGAACGAAATTTTAGTGATCATGGCGATATAAAGAAAATTGATTCAGTTCAATTTTTTTAAAAAGATTTATGCACTTTAAGAACTACAGAATATCGGAAAAATTATTAATTGTTGATGCAAATAATTCAATCAACAATTTTGGTATAGTTCTATTCGAAAGTGTCAATTTTTAAATACTTCAATTTTCAGTTGACTTGACTTGAATATAAAAATGGTTTTTCATCAATATAATCGTTAAAGTACATCAATAAATATTAATCAATCGGAAGATTCATATCACGGAAAAAACTATTCTTATAATATTTTGAACTGACGAAAAGTTACATTTGCATTTTATATATCTGTATTTACGAAAATGGTATGTATTCGAAAAAAACTTTTATTGGGGATTATCAAAATTGTTCAATAGAAATTCACATTCAGCTAGAAAATGATTTGGTTAAAACATTGCAGAAAAGGTAAGTCGATGGAGCGATTATATTTAAATTGTCGGTTTTTCGTCAAATTACGACCAAATGTGATAATTAGCCATTGTTGATTTTATTTGATTTCCAACGTTAAGTAAAGGAAAACAATTACAAATGAAGTGTTTATAGGATTTATTAGAAAACAAACCAAAATAATTTTCGCTCATTCTATATGACTGTTTTTATTTAAGTTCAAACATGCGACATGGTATATTAACTAAAGAAATGGTAAGATATGGATAGCGTTTGTATATTAAGAACAAAGATTATTATATGAAATTTCAAAATATGCAATCGAGCAAAACAAAGTTGAACTGATCGATAAAGGATTTGGTTGTTCACTTTGAATCAATGATTTTCCAACTTGATTGTTTAAACGTTCTGAATCCAAGTCATTTTTTTGTTTTCTCAATGTAATATTGTCAATATTCGTCATTGTCCGAGCATCACATATATCGAACTAGTATTAGATGACAAAATGATTGTTTCTTATTCCTGTGCCGAGATGACATCTGGGAAATATCACTTTTTACTTTACATACTTCGAATACATGCTGCTAATTCAAAAGAAAACATTCTAACGGGAATTTTGTACTCTTTCACTTTCATTCCTTGGTGACAAAGCAAAAAATATGCGTTCAAGTCAATACCTATACAAAACAGGCGACTATGTTTTGCATATGCTATGTCCATTCGAACACAATGTAGCCGAAAATACTAACACAACGTTTGTGTAACAAACTGCTGTGCTTGTGATAGTTTCTTGACAACCGCTACAGATAAAATGATGGCGCTGCAAACGGTCTGTTCAAGGATTGCACTGAAGATCTGATACAGTTTCAAAGGTGACTCGATACAATCAACACATTATTCAATAACAAAAAAAAATCAATTCAATAACCCAATTACGTCTCTTGACCATTTTGGAAAAAGTAAGTTAAACATTACCAGAATAAAAAATAAGAAACACTTAGCCTTTTTATTAAGTTTTGATTCGATGTGATTTTGAAGAAAAGTTAAAAAAATACATTTCATCAATTTTCAATAGCATACTTTACCATCGCCCGTAAAAATGAAAGGAGTGTTTCATTATTTCGATTACTATTACGATGCCCATAAATACAAACTCGCTAACGATTCGTCCGATGATGATGTTGAGTTGGAAAGGTTTGCTAACAAATCGTCTAAGTCATCGAAAAGATCGAATAATGCTCGGCCTTTTGAATATCTGATTTGCCTTGATTTTGAAGCGACGTGCTGGGATAAAGTAGCAATGGATGTTCGTATAAAGGAACAAAAACAAGAAATAATCGGTTAGTTGACTATTCAATATTTGGCATTTTGAACATTAAAAATATTCCACCGTTGTTATTCACTTAAAAGAGTTCGGCGCTGTGTTGGTCAACCTTCGTAGCGGTGCAGTTGAAGCCGAATTTCATGAATATGTTCGGCCAACAAATCAGCCGATTCTCTCCAAATTCTGTACGAATTTGACTGGTATTACTCAGGCGTTGATTGATCGTCAGCAACCATTTCCGGTTGTTTATCGAAAGTTCGATAATTGGTTGACTGGAATCCGCACTGAAAAGCAATTAGGATTTGCAAACCCAAGCATGCGAACTGGAAATCATCGCAACACAACATTCTGCTCATGGACAAACTGGGATTTGGGAAAATTTTTCAAATGGGACTGTGCACGCCATGGAATACGGCAACCAGGTTACTTCAGAGCATGGATCGATGGTCGAAAGGTTTTCACGGTAAATATATTCACTGTTTTGTAATCGATCATGTCATTTATTTATGATTTAATACCTTTTTTTTATTCTAGAACAAATTTCCACGTCGACAGATCAATTTCGAACAAGCTTTGCGACAATTGAATGTCCCTCGCACTGGTGATGCACACTCAGCAATTGGTGACGCAAAAACTTTAGCTAGTTTAATGAATCGATTGAAGGAAAAAGGTACACGAATTTGTAAAGTAACATCACCTGCTCGAGCAAAGTATTAAGATGATTAAAGTGGAAACTATTGAAAAAATCAATATTGAATTGTCAAAATAATAATTCAAAAAACATCCATAAACCATTTTTGTGTCAGTTTCAAAGAATTTCGATTAAATACCAATTCAAAAACGAAAAAGTTGAACATCTATTGCAATTCATAATTATGTATCTCAATGCGTTGTCCAAAGAGTTTATTTTTATTTGATTTTCCCAGTATTCAACAGGTCTCAGACGTTCAATTCAGTTCAATTTCACTGAATTCCAGATAAATGTTCCGTTTTCTGTCGTGTGATGACGCCACCTATACACAGAAATCTGAACGTTTGTGCATCGCATTTGAACATCTGCTGTCTTCGTCTTGTACGCGAAGCCTATTGATGACTTTTTGAATTGACGTTAGAGCGTAGTACAACGAACAACGACAAAAAAAGGTTGAAAGTGAATTGATTCACGCTGTAGAATGACAACACATATCTATCTCTTTGATTTTACGACACCTCAATCAAATCTGTTACGTTGCGTTCGTCATCTCTGTATATAAAAGAAAAATTTTTTGCCAAAGAAGTGTGTATTCATTATCGATTGTAGTTGTACGCTTTTTTTTACTTTTGCATATCTATTAAACGCATTGACGCACATACATTGAAAATATAATAGTTTTGATCAAAGTGAGTGTGTTAAAATCTCGAATCAACAAATAAAAATTCAAACATTTTTTTGTTGTTGAAATAACTAAAAGTGATTGTTATTTTGTGAAATACAATCAGCTGTTTTATTTTGTAAAAATATCAATTCGGTTCATTTTCAGATTACAAATGATGGAAGAATAAATCACAAAACAAAAGTCACAAAACATAAAATTAGTGTGCCAAATCGAGGCGAACATGCACAACGAATCAAACAACAATTGATCATTCAATAGTAATTAATATCGTAACGTTGATAAATCAATTGAATATCAAATAAATTGCAAAATTCACAACATAAATCAAATTTGTACACGATGGGCTTGGAGGCTATAGAAACGGAGTGGAACGAGTTGTCCAATGAATTTGCCGCGTTAGAAGTAAGTGAAATCGAAAGCAAACGTGCCAATCAAAGTGAAATTCCAATTCGTCGCAAAAAAATGAATTAAAATAAATCGTTTTGATGTGTTCAATTTTTTTTTTGTTCGAAGGAAACGAGTAATGAATATGGAGAATTGCTAGAGAAACTAGAATCATTACAACAAAAATGCATGAAGGACATTTCCCATCAACGTTATCGCATTAGCCAAATTAGTAGCAATCTGAAAAAGTGAGTATGACCAAATTTTACCCGGAAAGCGGTTTGGTTGCTGTCTTTTTTTATCGTTTTATGCAAATGTTTTTGTGTGATTTGATAGATATGTGAGCAGCAATGTGACTACATCGGATGAAAAAGATCAAGTGGCTGACCTTGAGAAAAACATTATAAAACGAAAAGCACAACTATATGACATTGACCAAACACTTCCACAAAAGAACGGAACATATTTAAATGTACGTGTTTATTTCATTAAGAACGTGCTTTTTTGTGTTTGTCATTAAAAAAAAATAATACTGAACGATAAATTGTCAACAAGTAATAATTTTACTTAATTGTGCATTTGTGTTACGTCCACGTGTACGCACATTTCGCACAATATTCTATTTCTGTTGAATCATTTTCCATAGATCATACTGGGCAATGTGAACGTGTCAATATTGAATCGAAAGAGTAAATATCAGTATAAGGACGATTATGAGAAATTCAAATTGATTTTGAATGGAATCGGGCTGTTCATGGCAATCCTAAATTTATCACACAATAGCAGGTAATAAATAATTATCGATTGCGTGATTAATCATTGATTGCGTCGATATCATGTCATATGTCGATTACGATTTAATTATTGATTTCGTTCATATTTTCTTTTTTCATTTTCAGAATACTCGAATTAGCGTTTATATTTCTCCTCGTTTGGTACTATTGCACACTCACCATTCGCGAGTCCATTTTAAAAGTGAACGGTTCACGTATCAAGGGCTGGTGGCGTACACATCATTTTATATCGACGGCATGTGCTGGTGTTTTATTGATTTGGCCACAAGGCGAACCATGGCAGCTATTTCGTCATCAATTTATGTATTTCAATGCATACATTTCGATGGTTCAATTTTTGCAATTTCGTTACCAAAGAGGCGTTTTGTATCGGCTTAAGGCGCTCGGCGAACGTCATGACATGGACATCACCATTGAAGGTTTCCACTCGTGGATGTGGCGTGGACTTTCATTTTTGTTACCATTCCTGTTTGCTGGATACGTTTTTCAAGCATACAATTCATATGCGCTGTACAAATTGAGCTCACATCCAGACGCACCGTGGCAAGTCAGCGTATTGAGTTTACTATTTTTCATTTTATTTGTCGGCAACTTTTGCACCACATTGTCGGTTATACCGGAGAAAATTCGCACACGAGTTAAAGAACATTATCGTTTATGTGCGATTGCCAAACTTAAAGAGAAGGTACATTTTGAATAATCATCTATTTTCGATACACTCATATGTGAACCGATTCACGCCGATTTTGTGTGTATTTTATACCTGATGCATTAGCCTCAGAGAAGTTTGAACCCGGAAAATTCCACATAAAATTGACATGATAAACGTTCAACAAACTCAAATATGACGATAACAAATTGATTTCTCTTATCATTGTACAACGTTTTTATCTCTCTTTCTCTTTCTCTCTCATCTATTTACAGGAGGGTTAACTTTTTCAACAAACGATCAGCATATTGTGTTAGACCGTTAAAACCGGCGCTGTCCAATTTATTTATTCAATGGAAAAAATCAACTTCCATACATCTTTCCTTCAAAACTTGTTTTTATATAAATGTATTTCTAAAAATAGTATGCTGTCGTGTATAATCAATGAAACTGTTCTTTTTTGTATGACGAATGATTCAACATTGGGAAATGTTATTTGTATGCACAAAACCTAGGGTACTAGACAAATGTTATAATAGAGAGAACCATGTTTTTTTTAAATTGTATTTGTCTATGATATATTACCTCTTTGTAAATTATGGCAACTAATTAATTCAGTGTTTTTATCTATTTGGTAATATTATACACAAAGAGAGAACGTATTTTCAAGAACCACCAACGAAATGTGATGATAAATTCAACAGAACAGAGAAGACTAATGGACGACGAATCAGTTCTTTTTCTTCGAAAAGGAGCAAACTTATCAGACATAGGAAAGAATGGCATTGTTTACCAAAATTAAAAAACAAAAAAAAACAACTAATGAAACCAATAAACTAGCGTAAATTTTTCTTCTTGTTTGTATTTATTTTGATGAGAATAATATAATAATGTGTGTGTTTTAATTCTATGCATCAGTATAGAAACTAAATTACGAATATATTTGAAAAAAAAAAAAACAAAATTGATTATGCATTCGATGAATTGACTTGAATGTGGAATTTACACGATGGCATATTTTGCACTTCAGCCGTCACGGTACTGTTAATTCCCAAATTGGATAAGCTACCACGAACCAAGCCACAAGTGTAAGCAACAAACTTTGGTGCCTCCTCCAAATACTGTGAATTGTTTGAAATGTTGACCAAGAATCGGAATGCATTGTCTTGTAACACATACACCCCTTTGTGATTTGTTCGAAGATTGTCAATTTGCTTTCCGTAAATCGATGTCCAAAAATCGGTGCAAATGAATTTCATCGTCTCCAAATCGTCTTTGAATCGAAATCGTGGCCATTCGCGTGTCAAACGCTCCGTCAATCGATAGCCCGTCGAAAATCCAATATATTCCAGCGTTGATAGATTTGTGTTGTTAGTTTGTTGTGACGAATTCTCATCGCCCATCGAGTATTTCACGACTTCATAATGCAAAATATCAAATACACTTTCGATCATTTTGAATGCTTTTTATACTCTCTCACTTTTTGATTGGAATCTTATTTTTTATTCAAATTTGATTTATCTTGAGTTTCTTTTTTAATTATCACAAATGGAATCGCAAACATAACATAATCTCTTAAATTTTCACATTCCATACGTTTCACATATACTGTTTGACAATTGACCATTGAAACATGAAATAAACTGCAACTTCATATCGAACGTACCGAATGCCAACCTCGCGCACCGCTCTGTCACTAGTCTTTTAATAAGACGATAAAATATTTGCTCGTCACCGCACGGCAATATTTGGTTTTAAAAAAACGTGAATTATTGTGAACATAATTGGAATAAAAAGTGTTTTAATTTATTAACAAGATGTCTCGTTACATGAATCGCCCGGAGAATGCTCTGAAAAGAGCAAATGGTATGTAAAATATTGCAAATGAAAATTTCGAAAGTGTAAATAGTTGTGTATAGTTGAATTGGGTTCAAAATGGTTGCCGCACCTCTAAACACCGCAACCACGTTGACTGCTTTTCATAACCCAAAAACGTGTGGAAAATTTTTTATGACAAATTTTCGCCAAATGCACCATAAAAAATGATACATGAATGAAAGTTTTGTGAATAATTCGATGAAATTTGAAGAAAAATGTTGAAATTTTTGATTTTTCATGTGAAATTTGTCATGAACAAAGCAAAGATAATTGGTGTTAGTGTACGAGTGATACAATCTATTTTTGTATATATCAGATATACACGTATTTGGGTGATGAAAAGGTCACGATGAAAGATGCAACGCAAATTCTATTTGCTTTTTTGCAATTTTTTCGTCAATTTTTCTGTGAAACGAAATTTATTTCAAATGAATTAATGCTAATGAGTATTTTTTTCGTTATTTTTCTAATTTTTTTGACACAAAGAATTTATCGATGTCGGAAAAAAGTCCAGAGCTTTGGACACTCTTCAAGAGGTGTTCCGCAACAAGAAATTCACGTATAGCTATTCGGAATCGGTGATTGAGCCGATTATGTTTAAATACTTGGATTTGTGTGTTGAATTGAAAAAATCGCACATCGCCAAAGAAGGTCTCTTCCAATACCGAAACATGTTTCAATTGGTGAATGTTGGCTCGTTGGAAAATGTGATTCGTGGCTACTTGAAAATGGCCGAAGAGCGCACTGAAGCCGCACAACAACAATCATCGCAAGCCGTTATCGACATCGATGATTTGGACAATTTAGCAACGCCCGAAAGTATTTTAATGAGCGCCGTTTGTGGTGAAGACGCCCAGGACCGGTCCGACCGTACCATTTTATTGCCATGGGTGAAATTTTTGTGGGAATCATACTGCCAATGTTTGGAATTGTTGCGTGTTAACGCACATTGCGAAGCTTTATACCATGACATCGCACGCATGGCATTCGCTTTCTGCTTGAAATACAATCGCAAGATGGAATTCCGTAAATTATGCGAAAAATTACGTAAACATTTGGAAGATATTTGCAAATCAACCAATCAAGCACAAGGTGTTAGCATCTCAAAACCAGAAACACAACAATTGAATTTGGATACGAGGTAAGGAACCGAACATGTTTCTAGTATTTTTTATGCATTTTTTCCTTTCACTTTTTCTTCGATTGATCAAACCACTTGTTCTTTATCGCAAAACTAATATGAATTTTCGTTTATTTTCAGATTGAATCAATTGGACAGTGCAATTCAAATGGAATTGTGGCAAGAAGCTTACAAAGCCATTGAAGATATTCATGGTTTGATGAACTTGGCCAAAAAGCAACCGGTTGCTAAAACAATGGCAAATTATTACCAAAAATTGGCAATGGTCTTCTGGAAAGCTGGTAATCATTTGTTCCATGCAGCTGCTCTCTTGAAACTCTTCCAATTGACCCGTGAAATGAAGAAAAATATTACGGCCGAAGAGCTTCAGCGTATGGCAAGTCATGTATTGATCGCCACATTGGCTGTGCCATTGCCTTCGGCTCATCCTGAATTCGATCGGTTCATCGAAACCGACAAGAGCCCATTGGAAAAGGCACAACGTTTGGCCGTTTTGTTGGGTCTTCAAAATCCACCCACTCGTGCTTCATTGCTCAAGGACATGATTCGTTTCAATGTCGTTTCATTGGCCGGTGAACAGTACCGTAATTTATACCAATGGCTCGAGATCGATTTTGATCCATTGAATTTATGTGCACGCGTTAAAGACATCACCGATTTAATCGTTGCTGACGAAAAGCATCCATTGCAACAATATGTTAATTCATTGCATGACGTCACGATTGTTCGTTTGATTCGTGAAATCTCCCAAGTTTATCAATCAATCGAATTTGCACGCATCTTGTCTCTAGCCAAATTCACCAACAAATTCAGTTTGGAGCGTATTTTGGTCGATTGTGTGCGTCACAATGATATGCAAATTCGCATTGATCATCAAGAAAATTGCATTCACTTCGGAACGGAATTGTCGGAAAGTCAACGTGACCATCGTCCAGATGGTCCAATGCTTCAATCAATGCCATCCGAACAAATTCGGTCGCAATTGGTGAATATGTCAATTGTCTTGCATCGTGCTATCAACACCATCAATCCAAATCGCAAGAAGGCCGACCGTGATCGTATTCGCGCACAAATCGTTGAAAGCTACCATGCCACCAAAAATAAGGAGCATCAACGCATTTTGCAACGTCAAAAGATGATCGAAGACTTGAAAGAGTCGATCGAACGTAAAAACAATGAACGCGAAGAGGAAGAGATCCGTCGTCAAGAGGAAGAACAGCGACGACTTAAATTGGCCGAACAAAAACGTTTGGAATTGGAACTTGAGGAACGTGAACGAAAACGTGCGGCCAACGAAATTCAGCAAATCAAGGAGAAGAGCTTGAAAGAAAAAATGGCACAAATTTCACAAACAACACACGGTCAAAAGGTGCTCAAGAAATTGGATGAAGATGAAATTAAGAAATTGGATGCTGAACAAATTGCCAAACGTGAATCGGAAGAATTGCAACGGGAACGCAAAGAATTACAATCAAAATTAAAGTCACAAGAAAAGAAGGTCGATTACCTCGAACGGGCTAAGCGACAAGAAGAAATTCCATTGATTGAAAAATACTTGGAAGATAAACAATCTGGTGACAAAGAATTCTGGGAACAACAGGAGAAACAACGTATTGAAAATGCTATTTCTGAACGTGAATTGGCATTGAAGGAACAAGTTCGTTTGTCACGCATGTATCCAGACCGTAATGCATTCTTGGATCGTTTGCGCAAAGAACGTAGCTCAAACTTTGAAGAAAAAGCCGCTGCATTTGAGAAATTACTTGAAGAAGAGCGCAAGAAACGTATAGCCGAACGTGTTGTTGAACGCTATGAAGAACGTAAACAAAAATATTTGGACGAAGTGGCAGCCGAAAAGAAACGGCGTGAAGATGAAGAGCGTCGTGTTAAAGAGGAGGCTGAACGTGCCGAACGTGAACGTCGGGCAAAGGAACGTGAAGCCGAATTTGAACGAAATGCACAAATTCAACGCGCTAAAGAAGAAGAAAGTGAACGCAAACTCGCCGAACGCAGAGCGCAGGAACAAAAAGAAAAAGAAGCTCAATCGTCATGGAGAAATGCACCAACAGCCGAAAAACCAGCCGCACCAGCCGCTGGAGACAAATATCGACCACCTGGTAAGGAATATTTTCAGCTGTTTTTTTTTTCTTTATTTAGAAAATATTGATTTTAACAATTATTTTTTTAATAAATAGGCCAACGAGGAGGCACTGAAGAATCCCAACCACCTAGCGCTTGGCGAAAAGAACGTGTCGAAGCCAAACCAGACACCGAAAACAAATGGCGCCGTGACGAAACTAAAGTTGGTCGAGATGATAGGGAAATACGTCGTGGCGGAGAAGACAGAGAAATCCGTCGTGGCGGTGAAGACAGAGAAATCCGTCGTGATGACCGAGGCAACAGGCGAGATGAACGAGATTTTCGAAGAGGTGACGGAGAAATCCGTCGTAATGATGATAGAGAAATCCGCCGTAGTGATCGTGGCGGTGAAGATAGAGAAATCCGTCGTAGTGATCGTGGTGGTGAAGATAGAGAAATCCGCCGTAATGATCGTGGCGGTGAGAATGATAGACGTGGTGGAGATAGACGCGGTGGAAACCGTGGTGATGATCGTCGAGGCAATGATCGTCGCAATGATGCTGGCGGCTGGAGAGATACCAACCGCGATAGCAACCGCGGTGGCGAAATTCGTCGCTCCGACCAGCCACCACAGGATGGTGGTAATTGGCGATCGGTTGCACCACGCAAGGAAGAAATCAAACGGGCAAAATCACCAGCAAAAGGTAATGATAATTTGATTTGATTCAAACCTTCTTCTCGAGTCTCTTTTGAATTCCAATATATTAATTTGATTTTTTTTTTATTCAAACAGTTTCAGATGATGGTGGCTGGGAAGAGGTCCGTCGCAAGTAGATCAGTGCATTTCCAACAGCCATGGATTATTTTTATTATTTCTATAAAATTATGCATAAAATTTAAACTCTGTGTAAAACTGAAGTAAATAAATAAATAACCAGAGTCATTAACTAAAAATTCATTCAGTCCATTTCTATTCAATGTTTCCTACAAAAGCAAAAGAAGAAAAGAAAAACAAAAAGATTGTTTACTCACGAAAAATCGAAAAACATAACCACAGTCAATGTATGTTGACGCAAAATGTATTTTCCGTACATATTGATTTAGCCCGGCAACGAAATGTGTCAAAAATTCACGCATTGTATTCGCATTCCATGCCGTTTCATATTTCTCAAAGCAAACACATAACACACATACCATAAAGTAATTCCAGTAGTTTCACACGGTTCCGTGAAAGCGATTTCTGTTCTCTCTCTTCGTTCTTTTTCTACATTACATTCAATGGCTCAACGTCATCGCGCTTCACAAACATTTGCACAACTACAAGCGCAACAGGCAAAACAACGCAAACAATGAATCGCAAGCAAAATGGCTGGCGGTTAGTCTTTATTTGATCGTCATCGTGAACGGATTGCTATAGTATACACGCATATATCAACGCGGTCATTGAAACCAGTTCTCTTTTTTTTTTCTCCTGCTTTCATCTAAATAGAAAAAAAGCATTTCAATTTCTTGGTGCGCTCTGGTTGCAACAAGACAAATAGAAAAAAGAAAATTTAAAAGCGATCATCGAACTGAATGAGGAGCAAACAACAAATTAGAAACAGGAATTCTTCTTTGGTTGTTTTAGCGGACACAAATTGTTTCTACGTGACGAGAAATAGATTTAGTGTTATTCCTTACTGGGTGTCAATCGCTTGGTGTGCATTTTATGATCTATAATTGCTCAAGTGTCAAGCCGTTCAACTTTGTCAATATCGAAGCATTCTTGAATTAGCAACAAAAACGAACAAGAACAGAAAACTGTTAAAGAGAATCAGTGAAGGGAAGAAGAAGAAGAAGAAGAAGAAAAATATATACAAAAAAGACGCATCCGTAAGTTGTGCGATTGAAATTGTATCAGCGACATTACGTTCTATACATAAATATCGGTTTGTTATCTATAAGTGTGCGTTCAAGTGTGACCATAACTTGTGAGCTAGATTTATCGGTATTTTTTTGTGTGAAAACGACAACATTTTCATTTTGCTTTCGCGAACGAATTCATCGAATCGAACAATGTCTGAGGATAACAATCAAACTAATGGGACTACCAATGGTGATGTGCCCGAAATCGAATTGATTATTAAGGTAAGACCATCTACTAAATCTCTTTCGCTTGTCTCTCTATTCTATTAACTCCCTCTCTTTTATTTTTCTATTCATAATTGCTTTGTTCTCATTTTCTAAGATTCTGCAAATCCGTTTTTGGATTTAGCGTCTCGTCACACGTAATCCGTGTGTGATGGATGCGATTGTGTGTGTCGGTGTGCATGTATGTGAGTGACATTTCACCACGGTTATTGCATTAAGCATTTCTGTGTTGTGGCCTTGTGGTATTCGTTTGATATTTTTTTCTCTTCTTTGATTTGTTGGCGACGTTGCAATCACAAGTTTCGAGCAAATTACGGACCCGTACAACCGAAGCTGATTGTCCGGTTGATTTTTTATTCACGCTTCGTACATCGATGTGTTTATTTTCTGAATTAGACATGTTCTCAAATGCAAATATACGCATATTTTTTTTTGTTGTCGCTGTTTGTTGCGAGCGCCCGCTCAACGAAATACATACTTCTCAAACATTCGATATGACGATTCTTGGTGATATATCATTCTCTCTGCTTTTTTTCTTCTTCTCTCGCTTACCGCCGCATGTTCCATTCGAATTTTATTTTAAATATAGAATATTCGCGCAATGACGTAATTTCGAGTGGTGTTACCGATCGTGCACAAACACAAATATTCGCGGCGATGTTAAGCCACGAATTAATTACAAATTGCTTTCCAAATTTAATATTTCAATATTTATTTTCTTATTTTATTATTACACGTTAAATTTGCTAGTCGGTTTTATTTTATTGTCAGTCATTAAACTGCCAACAAAATCTGCTCGAAATTATTATTGCATTGCATACAATGAACGCCAATCCAAGTTGCGCTATTTTATTTTCGCTTAGTAATGCATTTTCATGTCTTCACTTCGACGGGCCGTGCAGATGTCAGTCATACAATAAAATGCGAACGTTTTTTTTTTCTGTTCACAAATATTGCGGCCATATTCAGTCACCACGGTAACTTTTTTCTTAGTTCATACTTTTTTGTTGTTGTTTTCTTTTTTGCCCAATGACGACAGTTCGATAAAACAAAACCAAAAAAAAAACGAATATAAATTGAAAGAGATATCATATATTTTCATCGTTTCGGATTTTGTCACACCAAGCGCGGCTGATTCGACCAAACCATTTGCGCCGGTTGTTTACATTTGTGAGCAACAAGTTGGTGGGTGGATGTTTTCATTTGCAATCACCATAAATTCAAACGTTTTTCGCCTAGTCTCGAATTCTATACTATTATTATCTCGTGTCGTTTACAGAATAATAGTGTTTGCTCGAAGATTAAATCAAGTCAATGAATGTTTTATCATTTCGTTGCAAAAGCATATCTCTAATGATGGTTATTCCGTGTTTTTTTATCAAATGATTAAGTAGCACCTTAATTACAGAGATTACAATGCAAATATTTACAAAGTTATTCGATGACAACATTTTTCGATGATCTTTACATGATCAAAATATTTTTTTTTTTCCTCTCGCTATCAATGACGAGAATTGCGTCAGGAATACAAACTTAATGATTACAAAACATTCTATTGTTTGAATCATTGTACGAAAACATATACCGCTAGATACGGATTGTCAATGAATTCCCGACTCTTTTTTTGCTATGCTTGTGTATTGCCTTCAGTTATTTGTTTTTCACCGGTCTGAATCACCATGCAATATATCAATTAAGCAACGTTGTTAGTCTATTTCGTTGAATTTTTATGATTCTTTAATGAAAATGTCTAGTTACGTGAACGGCATTAGAAAAATACGAATCGACAAGCAAAAAAGGTTGAAGAAGAAGGAGAAAAAAATGATTGATTCATTCCATTTCAAATGTTAAAATTCTTGTGTTTTTTTTTTTGACGCATTATTTCAAAGTCACACTTTCCAGAATTGGCGTTAAATGAACGCAGTCAATAAACAATCCGTACGAATTGTTGTTGAATCACAGTTTAAAGCGTATGTTTTCATTTTCATATTGCGTATTGAATATGAGGTCTCTGGGGCATTAAGTAGTTGAAGAATGACACGATTGACGAGGCCCATTTTAATATAGTCAACATTACCATATATAGGCGTGTACAACGACTTGATTGGCAGTTTTCTAAATAAATGGAACAAGAACATACATTTTGATGAAAAAGATAATGTGAAATTACCGATGTATCCAAATACAGCAGAAAACGTGCGCGCACATTCACTGTGACCGATTGTGGTATTTGAATGAGAATAAATTATTGATTGAATAAGAAAAAATAATATTCATATTTTTTTCTCTCCTCTCTGCCGCTTGAGTTCATGATCACCAAAAAGATTAATGATCGTTCGGTGAATGACGAATAAATTGAACTTAAACCTAATCATCAATTTTTCAAAAGCAGTTCACTCTTTTTAATGATAGCACCAGGTATTAATGAGCGAACAAAGATGAAGTCATTGATTATATCGATATTTGTGAGCATTAACACCAGAGAAAAACAAATTCAACGTCGAAATGACATCATATTCAACGTCGCAACAATAAACAAAGACAATGATTGTTTAAATTTTGGTGCATTTTTAATGAAAAAAAAATTAAGCTTAGCCTCTCAAGTTACTTGTTTTTCTTTCATTCCATCGTGTATAAGGCGGTGGCGTCTCTCGAAAAAAAATGCATTGAAAAACATAAATTTGCGCACACAATAGACAATTGGCAAACAAAAATCGACGGCGTAGTAGACAAAAAAAAAATGTAGACACTGAAAATCTCACGGTAGCGAAATGCTGTAAACGATTTGAAAACTGCTAACTTTCGATTAAAAAAAATCGTTTCTATTAGCACCGATGCAGCATCAACAAGCTTGGAAAACTGATTGCAAGTTATGTATTGATTCTTGGTGTAATTTTGTTATTGTTTTAGTTGTTTTTGTGGAGCATAGCATAACAGCATAAAACACGCACGTGCAAATCGGTGGCAAAACACAAAGAGTGATTAACTATCTTAAAAATAGAGAGTGAAACGAAGGAGACATATATTTTTCAGCGAAACATAAAACCGCATCGTTAAACACTGCCTTTGCCAAGTATTTTTTCTTCTTCTTCTTCTTCTCTATTGCAGCGAATAATAATATGTGTCTTATGAATCAAAGTCACACACAAACGAAGAAACGCCACGTGAAACAACGGGCGATGGAAATTACAAACAAACAAAATTTAAAAAAAAAACGAAAAAGAAAATTGTAGTTGAATAAACGTGAAACGTAGCGAAAAAAAAACTATGTGAAGCGCATACCAAGTAAAGAAAAATCTGTAATTGTTGCAGTTAAAACAACGAACACTTTGTATTCAATCAAGTAATGCTCTCACTTCGTTTTTTCCATCTCCTTACTCGCTTCTTTCCAAAAGTTTTGACCGAGAAGTTTTGGCATTTTTTTTTCATTTTCAATGTGCTCGCATTTTGTTTTTGCAAAGCACGTCCGTACAATGAACAACAATCCATTGTTGATGGTAAATCAAGCTAAAGTAAATCAAGCGCCATCCACAAACAATGAGCGCATATTTTTTGCAAATATTGACGATGAACTTTTTGCATTTTGAATTAGTTTCTGTGGTTATTTGGGGCCATGTACGTACGTGCGATACATCAGGGCATATGGATAAATGGGCTTTTCAAAAATTGGTGCATTATCATTTACAGTGCCGTCATTGTAACGTGCTTCAATATATAAATGATATTCGTCCAACATTTCTAGAATGTACAATAAAAACACTACTGCCACACATTAATTTGAAAAGAAAGTGTAGCAAAGCCCACGAAATTATACATATTTTTTTTTGCCACATTGCACACCTTTCTATGCACATCACGTTCACATTTGTTTGTATCTCGAAGAAGAAATCTGAATCGGTTTCCATGAAAAAAAAAATTCACTGAGCTCAGCAAAATTATGTTGATGTTTGTCGCGCAACACAACATAGTCACCACTAACTATAACAACAACATTGCCACAATGATAGAGGCAGATAGAGACAAAGAGTATTAAAAGAAAATTGCTGACTTATCTTTTTCATCAGATCTTTTATTTCGGCGAACGAGAGGCAAGAATTAAGACTTCGACACGTAATAAGTTCGACAAACGTGTTTATTGCCGTTAAGAAGGAAGAACGAACAATGTTGCTCGAAACCCATGACAAGATCATGTGATTAAGCGAATTCAGTCAAATGATACACAGTACATTTTTTCTTTCTTGTGTCGGTTTTCCTTATTGCTGTTCCTATTTAGTTCAGTGAATTTCGACAGCCAATGTACGATTAGCCTATAATTTGATAATTCATGACGCAGAAAGAAGAGGAGTGGAACATCAACCGAAAAAAAATTAAATATTAAGTGGAATCTACTTGAAACACGTGCACAGACAAACCACAGTGCTTTTCTTTCGCCGTCATTTAATCGCATCCAAACGTAATTATAATATGAACAGAGCGTGTGGCAATAATAATAATACTCGGTTTCATCTGAAAAGTCCTCACTTGTCAAGTGGGAGTAATTATACATGGGGGCATGATTGTCAAAACAACACTTCAAATATTGTAATAATTATTCAAGTTGATTTCAAGAACGACAACGACAAAAAAAAAGTCGTCTTAAATTAGAACACAGTATTATATTTATATTGTGAATGCCAAAGTCGAATTGAAGTTGAATTGTGCTATTGAGTCAAGATAAGAAGCATTTCATCTTCCTCTGAATGGCAAAAAAAGCGACAAAACTATAAAAAGGCATACATTTTATCACAATTCAAAGTCAATAACAATGCTTTTTGTTCCAGCGAATCGGACACGTTTAAAGCAAAAAACTAACAAACGAAATCTTACATTTTGAATCGTGCATGAGAATTCCCATGGTCAGGAAAGCGCGAAATTGCTTGATAATGTGATTAAACAGAACACTGTTTTACGAATATTTATGAGTTTCGGCTGATTAACGGAAATTCATTGCACGGAAAAATACAATATTCCAGAAGAAAAACCACTTAACAGCGGAAATTCAAATAAAACTGTTTGTTTTAAGTGAACGAAAAAAAAAAATTCGGCACAAACTTTAAAATATTTGCTTAGTGAGACTTGATAATGCCGATTCCTGAAGTGATAAGATATGTATGTGTATATTTGGCGCGAATACATTTTGAACATGCCAATTGCGTCATTGCCATGATATTTGCTCAGCGTGAGAAAATCAACCATTTTTTCCGCGTTAATTTACTTGCATTTATGAATATTGGAATATAATAGACGTTTCAATGAATAGAAAGAAAAAAACACTTCGACACGATAACAAACCAAGAATATTCCCAATTGATTACATTTCCAGATGATCTGATAGGCGAGTGTTTTCGAAAACGTGATCAATTCATTTTCTTTTATCGATTCCATTGTATCTTTCATTCTACCTTCCTCCCTTTTTTATTCTCTATCTCTCTTCATTCTTTTTATTTTCCATTCAATACCGACTTGATACTATCGAATACTAATAAAAATCCACAATTTAATAAAGAACCCTCAAATCAGCGCAACTAACATACTTCTAACTAAAAAATCGCATGGGAATTATAATTATGCTAATTATATTTTGAATCCGTTCCGGAATCTATGCGATTTTCAACGAGGAGTAATTTTCAATAGTAATTACTTTGTTGCCGACGAAAAACATCTTCATTCAATTACGATTTCATTAATCAACAGATGAGATTGTTCATTTTAACATTGAATTTTCATCCAATTTTCATTGAAGTCTCTACTACGCCGTACGAAAAAAAGACTGCAAATTTCAATAGCAATCGTTGAAAAGAAAAGTTTGTTTTGTTTTCTATTTATCATTCAGCCAGTCATTGTGTAAAATCGATGGCATTAAATGAAGGTTGACTGCCGCTAATCTAATTACTCAAGTGTATGCTCAAGCACAACAACAAAAGCTTCGACATTCTTGTGTCTCCGGCCAACGCTGTTATCAATAAATCAATATTTCCATTCTTTTGACATGATTCAGTCACTAACAAAGGTCAAAAATGGAGCACGCTATCATGTGTTACTTTTTCTGCATTCCATCGCTTTCTCATTGCTATCAATAATTTCAGGCTCTTCAGTTTTTTTCTCTGCTTTTTTATGTGTTATCGATTGATTCTCTCCGATGTTAATAGATATAGTGTAAATTTGCACGTAGCAAATTGAAAATCCTCGTGGCATAATTTGCACACACTAAAGAAATAGATGCACGATGCAAAAATATGCTATCCACTTGAGTGCTTGGAAGGCCAATGTTTTGGTTGATTTTTTTTTTCTTTTTCAATTTGTTTCATTTGCTCAAATTCAACTTTCGATTCCAATTACAAAACAAGTGTGCGAGATAGAGAGAGATGCGCATTTATTTATTATTTCTTTCATTCCATATGTGCAACATACTATTATCATCACGGAGCTTCATACGCGCTTTTTTGCGTGGTGATTTCTACTTTTTCTATATAGCTCTTTTGTTAAATCATTGTTATTATCGTAATCGTAGGAATGGCGGGCAACGTGTGTGATTGTAGTGATGGTGTGCTAATATGATAAATTACGTATCACCATAGCATATGTTCTGCAGCGCTCGATCCGCTGAAAATAAAAAACCAAAAAAGCAATAACAACAACGAAAAAAAGTGGCGCGATTGGAAAAATCAAAACAGAAAAACTGTACACACACAAAATATCAGTTTCTGCGAAAAATAAAAACTAGATAAATATATAGCAGAATGAAAAGATGAACAAATTTTTGGATGCGCACGTGCGCAAAACAAAACAGAGACGGCCAACATTAGAGAGAAAGCAATAAATCGTACAAGTTTGTGTCTATGTAATCGTTGTACTTTTTAGCATGGTCAAGCATGAAAACTATGCAACACGCGATCAATTATATTTACTTTTCTTCTTCTTTAATTACACGAATTTAATTCAATTTGTGAATGTGCGCGCACACTCTAACGAAAAATCTCTGATGAAATTTTGTGCAGCGAACAAAATTAAGCAAACAAAGAAAGATAGAAAACAAAACTAATTCTGGGATTAGTTGAAATAATAGAAAAAAATGGAATTTGTGGCATTTTAAATGGTGAAATTGTATGAATGACCTATGTAGTAACTAGAAAAATATCTAAAACATACACGCATATGGCATGATTCTAATGCCGATCATAATACAAAGCTATGCCAATAAAATATATATGTATGTGATATTTGATCAAATGAAAACCGTTAAATTGAAAGAGCACGCGCGTGTGGAAGTCTGAAGTCTTTTATATAATCACCTCTATTGACTTCTAAGTAGCCATTGACTCAAATTTAATGGCACCTTCAACACAACCACCAAACACAACGATAAAACAAATTCCATTAAATATGAATGGCCTTATTGACGCGCTTTTAACAATAATTCGTCTCTGACGCAGAATACAAAAGACACACCGGTTATTATAAATACATGTGAAGTAACACAATTTACGGTTAATTGAAGCACACAATGCATAAAAGCGGTTTCTTTTAAAAACCAGTCGTGATGAATCATAATGCCGCAATTTTCACATAAACTAAGCGACTTGTTTTTTTTTCTCTTCCATTTATTGCTTTGAAATCAGAAAGCACCGAGATATGCATTTATTTAATGAAAAAATATTTGTCGTTACAGGCATCGACCATTGACGGTAGACGAAAGGGAGCATGCTTGTTCTGTCAAGAATATTTCATGGACTTGTATCTTTTGGCCGAATTGAAAACGATCAGTTTAAAGGTAAGAACAATTATGACTTTCTTCGGATCAATCATCGTATACAATAACATCTTCTTTGACAATCAAATGGTTAATGCTTTTTATCGTGGATATTTAATGAATGAAGGTCACAACAGTTGATATGCAAAAGCCACCACCAGATTTCCGTACCAATTTCGAAGCAACACATCCACCAATTTTAATTGACAACGGATTGGCCATCTTGGAAAATGATAAAATCGAAAGACACATCATGAAAAGCATTCCAGGTGGCTACAATCTCTTCGTACAGGTACGTTTATTTTTACATTATCAGCATTGGCAACAATCATCTTTAATTAATTTGAATATATTCATTAATAATTCTTTAATATTGAAAATGCGAAATATTTTTAAAATAATTTCATATTTTCACACAAAAGGACAAAGAGGTTGCCACATTGATTGAGAATATCTATTCAAAGTTGAAATTGATGTTGGTGAAAAAGGATGAAACAAAGAATAACGCATTGTTAGGCCATTTAACAAAGATCAACGACCATTTGGCACAAAGAGCTACACGTTTCTTGACTGGCGACACAATGTGCTGTTTCGATTGCGAACTCATGCCACGACTTCAACACATTCGAGTAGCTGGAAAATACTTTGTTGACTTTGAAATTCCGGTAAGTTCTTCAACTTAAAATTGACATTACACTTGAATATCGCAATGCATTGCACTATGGCAATGTCCAAAACAAAAACTATAAAACTCAACCGCAATCTTGACATTTTTTCATCCACTTTAATTGAATATCGCCTCAAACGATTGCAAACGTTATTTGCGTTTCAATTGAAATTCACATGGTATGTTGTTGATTCCATATAAAATTTTATGATATATCCATTGCATTGTAGGTACATCTGACAGCATTGTGGCGATACATGTATCATATGTATCAATTGGATGCGTTCACACAGTCGTGCCCGGCCGACCAAGATATCATAAATCACTATAAATTACAGCAGGTATGTTGAACACTCTAAATTTTATTATGCAAAATTCTTTTATATATTAATTATATTATGCGCGAGCGACTCTTTTTTTTAATGAAATTTTTCCTTTTTTGTCTTCTTTCACTTTTTCGTCAAACTTTCAATGAAAACCAAAATAAAAACAAATCCAATTATTCTTGTGCTTAAAATAAAAAACAATCAATCAGTCGAAAGGTGATCACAAGGTACCGATAAAAAAATTAATTGAAAATACTATGTGTTTATTTGTTACGCTCGACTAAAAATATTGCAGCTTCAAAACAAAAAAAATTACGTTTCGCAAAAGTTCACCTCTCAAAATTTAATGTTTCATGTATTATTTAGCGCTTGTTATTCACACCCACCTCAAAACAGTATAACAAAACAGCGGCTATAAAAAAAGCGTGCTGCATTTTTCTAGTTAGTTTTCTCTCTTTTATTATCACACACACACGCTCATATATGCTATTGACCCATATGAAAGTGCACATTTCAAACGGCGTCGCTCATCTTTTCATATATTATTTTATGTGTTGTGGTGGAAATTTGTCTCTGTGTCTGTTTTGTTTTTATGCCATCATAAAAAATTAATTCAAACCTTTCTTTTTTTATATTTCGACGCCGTTTCAATCATATAGATGCTGAAAATGAAGAAACACGAGGAATTGGAAACTCCAACATTTACAACATCAATTCCAATTGATATTGTTGAATAAAGAGCACAAAGGTTCTTGATGCATACAACAAAACAAACAACCAACGCAATTTGCAATCAACAATAATTCTACAGAAGAAGAAAATACACACACACACTTCAAGGATAAAGAAAAACAAACAACATCAACATAAAAAAAAACTAACTAAATATTACGATATTTACACAAACACACACACATATACGAGGCCAATTCGAGATAAATAGCAAATTGTTTAGCCGCTGTTTTCAAGCAAACATTTTTATGTATTCTTCATGATAGACTCATAAGCGAATGCAGAATTAAATAAATACAAAAAAATCAAAACACTTTGAAGAAGTATCAAAAAAAATCTGAGAGCAAAACAACAATTTATATAATATAATGAAATTGCGAACAACAGCGAATGTTGTCTTAGTCTAACTTACATCCGCCTTATATTCAAATAGAATACGTACAAATATGAAAGATGAAAATATATAAAGTATTTTAGATTAAATTACCAACGAAATGCACTTTTCTTAAATGAATTTCGATTTTATTTTTTTGATTTTTGTTTGTTTCGCAGTTGAAAAAGAGAGGCCAAGTTTTTAACACCTTTGGAATATAACAGTCGATCAAATTCTTTTTTTTTTGTATTTCGAACATCGAAAAATTTTCTTGTTTTTTGTCAAGTCAAAATTTAAAATATAGAAAAAAATGTAATTCAACAACGAAAATCGCTTTAAAGATCATAGATTTTTAGTGAACTCTTTTTCTCGTTTAAAGCAACCGCTTTGAACACGGAGTGACTATATTATATTCAAGTGTTTGAAATGTAAATATAGAATTAATGGTAATTTTTTACTACGCGTATTTTAGAAGGATTTTTTTTTGTTTTTTTAAGGAAACATTGCATAGAAATTAGACACACACACAAACGTAGTGGTAGGGCCAATTTTTTTTAGCAAAACGAACACTTGACAAAATAAAATGCATCTGCAGAATGATATGATAAAAATTAACAAACGAAAGAAACAACAATCTAACAAAATATCATCGAATTAGTTAATTTAAAAGACGAGAAGATAAGAAAATCAATTGACACACAGCAAATGCCTTCTTTGAAAAAATCCAATTCAATTTTATTAATATTAGTGGTGTTTTCTGCGCCTTCCAAATTTATCAAGGTTAAGATTGAAGAATAAGTTATCACAGAGATTGCTATGCTCCACATGGGAGGAGGAAGGATGAGAAAGATGACAATGGAAGTCGCTCATTTAACATATTTGAAATATGTATGTTTTCCGAATCCACTCATATCAGTATGTATTGAAAAAATGAGCCACTTCCCTTGGATGAAAGCGGATATACCGAAAATATGTTTCAAGAAAAAATATTCTTACAGAAACAAAACGTTTCCATAGATATACGCTTTTGAGCAAAAGCACTTTTCTTCCACAATGGAGAGTAATCTATACTGTCTCCTTTGTTCAAAATGTTTCGTCAATTTTCCTCCCACTATTGATGAAAATTGGTTCTTCATGATAATACATGCATTAAAAAAAAGATGTACATGTAAAAGATGAATCAAATATGCAAAAATTCTAAAATAAAATACTAGAACAAAAATTGCTCGTTAAAACAAAAATAAAATATATATATAAATGGTTTTATTATGTATTTTCATGTAAAATGAAAGGTTACACATTAAGCTTAATCATCTTTTCGATCATTTTAAAAAAAAATATTGCGGTTTCGTTTAATTCGTTATTTAAACATTTGGAAAATAAAATAAAACATAGAAGCTTCAGAACGCGTATCGTGTGTTTTATTTCAACTGAACTATTTTATAAATAGAGTCACAGCAAAATCTCCCATGAAAAAATTTATAAACAAATAACATGTTATCAAAAAGAGGTCGATTTGGAAAGGTAAACATTTTTAACATTTGATAAATCTCATTAAAACTATTTTACTACAAAATTCATTTAAACTATTTTGTGCATTTTTTCTTCTTCTTCAATTAATTAATTTAACGTCGAAAATATGTATTCACATTACATTGTTCATTTGTATTTTTTTATAAATGGAATTTGTCTGTCGTATATTTGTGCGGGTAAAAGTGATTGCAAAAATAGATGAGTTAATATCGCTGTGATCCCCCAGATTCTTGGCAGTGATTCTTCCGAACTCGATTTTTCGCTAATTGTAAATACCGGTATGCTATATGCGGCTGATATTGTTGTAATATCGCTGATATTGCGAACATTCCGCGGAACCAGACGAAATTGTGTGTGTCGTTTTTGTGCCATCAAAACGGATATTGGCACCGTAAACACTTTGTCCACCTCCTGTTCATTTAATTTCAATTGGTCACTATTATAATTATTCACCATTCCAATAACTGGCATTATTGCTGGAGCATTTCGTAAATGCACCAAATGCGTTTCGCCCCATACAAATACTTGGTCACGCTTAATTCCGATTTCTTCTTCTGTTTCTCGCAATGCACAGTCGATATGGGATTGATCGTGTTCTTCCAAAATGCCACCTGTTTATTTTGTTGTGAAAAATTTAGTAATTATCGATTAAAAAGCTGAATTATTTACATATTTTGACAGCTATTACCTGGAAATGACACTTGGTTTACGTGTTTTCGCATTTTATGTGACCGCAATGTGTACAGTAATGAGGGTTCATCGTGTGGTTTATCGCAATTCACAATTGGAATCAGCACCGAAGCTAATTTTGTTGACGGATGCAGTTTTATTGTCGTTTTTTTCGATGCAGATATCATATTTTCCAAACATTTTATCTGATTTTCCTCATTGCACAGCGATGCCACTGTCAACTGACCACTCGAATCACTGAACTTTCTCCGCAAATTTAACAGTACTGTTCGTGGTAGTAACATTACTTTTTTAGGTTTTTTTTGGTAGTCAGTGTGTTTAAAAAATATTTATAGCTTTTCGCACTTTTATCAGAATGACCTTATCTGCATCGAAAAATGAATTTTTATCTATATTACTGCATGGTATTTATTAAAATAAACTTTGTACTGTGTCTTTTAAGAGTTTAATTGAGTTTAACCTGATGACAGCTGTTTTAACTCGTTTCTCTTTCCATTCGATTTCAATATTTTGACGTTTTGATGTTTCGATGTACGGTAAAGAGAAAGTTTTTTTGTCAAATTCTCCCATCAATGAATATTTTGACAGTTATGAAGTATGACAACAATCTATTGCATGTGAGATAAATATTGACGAGAATGCTTCTAGTGAAATTTATAAAAATATTAAATCAAGAGAGAATAAGACATTTAATTTAGAAATCAATTATGTGTCTTTTATTTGTTTTCTGCTTTAGACTGTCTTGATCGTTTTTTGCGCAACAATTTTTCTTACATTAAATAGACAAAACTTAAGAAATTTCACAAAAAAACATCAATTGATTATGTTGATAACCTATCATATCAATAACAAAAAAATATGTTGAGCACATAGCATGAATCAGTGGTTTGAACAAATCAACCCGTAGAAAGTAAAAAAATCTTCAAGTTTTTTGTGTCAATTATAAATGCACCTTCAAGCATCAACTTTTGAATAGTTCTCTTCAATTTAATGTTTAATCCACCCGTGTGGAAAAAAAGTGACTGACTGACTGGTTAGCTGAAATCGACTGAAATTCAATTTTGTTAACTGAAGTCGTCTACCCAGTCGACTTTAGTCGTCTATGTATCTCATTTGAATCATATGACCAATTTGGGACGTTTTTGTCTATAGTGAACTGCGATTGAAGTTGAATTAAGTTATATTTTTCTCTACTAGGATTGACTGAAAAATCAGACAAATCAACTTAAAACAACTTCATTCTCAGTTGGCTTTAACCAAAAACGTCCCAAATTAGTTAACTGACTAGTCAGTCAGTAATTTTCCACAAGGGTATGACAATGTATTTCTACCCATCAAAGCACTCAGTTATCGTCTACAATTGCATTTTTTAACTCACTTGAACGATGGGTTATTCCGCTTTTATAATTGGCCTATAAGTGCGTCATTTGCCTTTCACTCTTCTCATGTTTTCTTATTGCATTTATTTTTAAATGAAACTTTTGAATTCAAACAGAAATGACATTATACTTAAATCCGAATTAAGCAGAATTACCTTTACCTGTATTTAGAGATATTTTGTGTTTCATGACCCGAAGAACCGCTGGACACGTATGAATTATTAACACAATCATCTTATTTGCATTCGTTAATGGTGTGACGGATACGTATGAAATTGCTATCTGAAGAAATGAATTTGAACAAGTTTCAGTTCTCTTCTACATGTTTATGTTATTGTGGCATGAAAACCTAGATGAAAACAATGGTTTTTGAACAAAATAACAGACCTTTCCTGTTAGATGAATTCAGATGATGGATTTATCAGATAAATGTACTTACCATAAAACTACTATTCAGAAACGAGATTCTTCAAAGCAAACAAATTTTCCGATTCAAAAGAGGCCAGCATATTTTGATTTAGCAAATAGATGTATTTCTTTTTATTCAAGTCTCATTAAATTAAACATTCCATTTTCCATCTACATCTAATCACTTATTTGGTAATTTCAATTTTTTTTATAAAAAAATTCATTATCATATATTTTTTTATTGATTTATTGTTTACACAATGTAAACGGTCCGGTAATTGCACAGCATCCTCTAGAAACTAAACAAAACATACATATACATGATGCAGATCTCTTGATTTACCATTCTACTATTAAAATAATCATAAATTATCTGTAGACACAGTATGATTGTGTCAATATTCGATTCATTTCATAGAAAATTATTTAATTGAAACGTATTTGTGTGTAGATCAGAAGAAGCTGAGAAGAAAGTTAGATTGAAAGTGTTCACTCAGGCAATTGGTATGAAATTTAGAATTAGCATTGGAAGGAGAAAGACATTAAAAGTTGTTTTTCTATTCGTTATTTCTAAATTATTGAATTAATTTTCTAGTGTTATTGGTGTGAAGTGATTTTAGATAGGTTGGCTAGGTTGGCTAGGTACTGGTAAATTTATCTAATATTTATATCTCTAATCTCTGCGGAGGAGAAGGGGGAGGGTGACACACAATTATATTTCAAGGATGGACAGTACACTTTAAAACATTTTACTTTTTCTTCGCTAACAGTTCAAACATTAAACTACATAGAACCACAGAACATTTCGGTTTATTGTTTAATTGTATTATTCTTTCAGTTTATCGTCGCTTCAATGAAACCAATCGTCATGGACTTTAATTTCTGTTTTTGAAACGATTTTTTTTTTTGAAAAAATGACTATATTTTTTTATTTGTAAACTCAATTCTTTTTTTTCATAAATATTCATTATAATCGAGACAAATCGAGCTGGTCGTTAAGTACCTAAGGAAAGACCTCTTTCCACCGATTAAAGCTCAAATTTATAAACTAAAAAAAGAATGAAATAAATATATAAATCACACGGTATTTTTTCTCTTGAATCGACCAGTCGATAGATGGTTCTTTTTTTTACTTCATTCTTAAACACTTTTCATAAATAACATATAAATCAAACAATTCCATTTTCATACACGGTTCAATTGTCTCTTTTTTTTTAAATATAAGTTTGTATCTATAGACCGATCAATCTTGAAAATTAAGATACATTTTTTTTTATCTCAAAAGTATAAAGATGATGCGCGCTGATTATTATTTTTTTGTTATTATCCAAATAAACGATGGACATGTTAGTCGACGTGTTTGTGTGTGTGTGTGTAAATAAAGCGTGCAAGGACATTATTTTTCTTCTTTAAATAGAATCGTGTCAATTAGCTCAATTGAGTTTGGCACAATAAATGACTAAAAATGAGCACAATTGTATTGTTATCATTTCTGTTGACATTTTCCATTTCTCTACAAAAACTGATTCACTACTTATAAATGTATACATGTATTGTGAAGATGTTGCAGTGTTGTCATTTTTATACATTGCTTTCGGTGCGTTTGGATGGTGAATATCGTGGCGGCGATGAGGTGATTGGATAAACAGTATGATTTCTGCGTCGATTAAAGCTATTTGGTGAACTTCGTTCAACTAAATTTGCAAGCAATGGAAGGGAATCGTTGCGTGAAACGCGCCGTTCATTTTCATAATCGTTGGCATATCGTTTGAAACCGGCATCCTTTTTCCCATTATTCGTGTGCCGATTGTTGTCCACTCGGACAATTTTCGAGGATCGAACGCTGGCCGGTAATAATGATGTTGATTCTTCATTACCTGCATTATCCGAATAAACGGGAAAATGTGATTCAAGAACGCCACACGGCAATGGTCGTTGTAACGGATACGTTTCGATGGTGGCCAATGATGAGAATGCACTGTGATACGTATCACTTGAACTGGTTTGATTTTGTGATGGATCGTCTGGCATTTCCATGCACCAACTATGATCATTGCGTCGACAACATGGAACGCGTAACGATGATGTTGATCGTGTGCACGGACAACGTGGACACTTTGAATTACATCCATCCAATATGGCACTGTCACTCATTGTCAATTTATTTGTGTTAATCGATGATGCTTTGATCGGTGTATCGTTATCCAAATTATCTGCTGATCTGCTGGAATTTTCCGTTGGATTCGTTGTACAGCATTTCGATTTAGTGAGGCTATGCGTTGACTCAAAGCTATCGCCGCTTGAATTGCTGCTTAACAAAGGCACTGGATTTGTGATGAAAATTTTTCCCATTCGCTTGTATTTGTCAACCGATTGCCAATCATCAGCGCATGTTGATAGATTGCCAGTTATTTTTGGTGCTCTTCGCATCACCTTTGGTGTATGTAACTGAGATTCAATGAGATCACAATCATTTAGATCGATATGATTTGCATTCGATGGCATTGTATTTATTCGATGCAAATAGTTTTCAATTGATGATGCCAAATTAAATGCTAAACTAGTACGAGAGCTGATGCTTGATATTTCCGAAAGTGTTTCGGGGCTGGCAAGTGGTGCCATGCCAAGACAATCGTCTTTTGCAAACTCAATCCGTCGTGGTGGTGGTCGCCGTGATTGCGACCCTTCAACGTTCACTTTTCGTTTTGCCTCATTGGTTTGGCGATGTAGAATGCTTTTTAAGAAGAAATTGGGTGACGGTGATGTGGTCGATACAGTCGAACTTTTTATATCAAATGCAACACTTTTTGTTCGATACGAGTGATCGGCTAATATCACAGTGGTTGCATCACTCGGCACAGCTGATGTACTTCGTGCGATCAAATGTTCATCACCCGTACCATCATAATGTAATATTGAATTTAATTGACTTCGACTGAATAAACTGCCGGCCATCGATGATGCTTTGCTTGAACATGAGATTAATGGAAATGGTTCACCAGGACTTTGAAGGCTTGTAAATGATGTTTCTAAACACACTTGTTGCGAATTATTTGGCGTCATCATCATATTTAGATCAGACTCAATAGATAAATTAACATTCGATGATTGACGTTGTGGCTTTCGCGGACCATGCGTTGTTATAACCTGAATAGAGAAATGTTTGTTGTTTAATTAAGTTTCATTGCAATGCATAATGATAACGATCAACAGAAAGATAGAGAGAGAGAGATAGTTGCGTAACAAACAAACAGCAATTAACTACTTTGGATATACACAATACATATATAAACACTATACAGTATGTATAAATAATATATTTACGTATGCTAATAAATCGCAAGGACGAATTGTGCTTATTTGAATTAATAGAGATTAATAAGTCACGGATTGTTTTTTTTTTTTTTGTTTGAACCATTCAAATGGAATTAATATTTGTTTAAAAAAGAATGGGGTATCTAATTTATTTATTATTTATATTTTTAGATTGATTTTTCAATGCAACATCTAATTTTATCGTGCACATTCATTTTTTATTGATGCAAAGGATTTTGTATTTATTTGGAGCAAACGTAAAAATTAAAATTGGTCATACACAATGTTTTCAACCGAAAGAGAAAAAAAACATTCTCAATGGTTTTTTTTTTTAAAAAACAAAACACATTTTATTTTCGTTTCTCGAGATAAATTCTTAAATTTCATTATTAAAACGACTAGTAAAATCTAAAAAAAGCATCAACGAAACACTTCTTGCTTTAAACATCAATGAAAATCACGAAATCACATTTATTACATTGTGTTAAATACACACGCTCACGCAGATGTACACACACGTTCCTAAGAAAAACCAAAGTGAAAAACGCAAACAAAAACATTCAGCTCGAAATTCAATACGACTCACGTTAATTACCTAAACTCGTATACTACGAACACTTAATGATAATAACATATATAAATATAGAACTGAGATGAAGAGAAGTACAAAGGGGGGAAAATATATGAATAAGTTCGGATAAATATTTAGTTAAAAATGTAAATCCAACCTTTTTTTTGTGTCAAGAAAAATTGGAAACAGAGAAATAGAGAACTGCCATTCCAGACTAACAAACTCTATTTGATTTGTGTAATACACACGACATAGGAAATACGTCACTCAATCGATAAATCATAAAATACATCCATTTAACGAAAGCAAAATTTCAAATTAAGTTATAAACTTAAAAAGTAAATAAATCAACGAAAAAAAGTAAAAAAAAAACTAAAGAATAAATAATAAAATAATAAATAAATAAAAATATAAATTGATCAAGTACCTGGTATCATTAATGGGTCTGGATATCGAATTTAAGGTAGCTGTAGAGCCCGTACAATTGGTGGCGTATTTTAGAGGCAGATCTTTGAAATGAATTACCTACAGAATACAATATTTGTATGTGTCACATGTGATGTTTTTTTATCAAATAAAGATGAATGCACAAATATAGATGAATAGAGAGAGATAGAGAGAGAGAATATCAAATTAGAGGTGAACTTTCACATAAGGTCAATTGTTGTTTTGATTGTTGTTGTTGTTTTTGGATCGACCCGGTGATTGTTTTTTTTTGTACTAATCAAATATTGTAGTGGTTTTCGTATACATAGATTCTGGTATAACATAATTAAGCCTACACGATAAAGAGAGAGTAATCAAGTAATACGATAGCATCAATGCCAAAACAAATCTGATAATTATGTGGAAAAATGTTCATTCAGGTTTAATTACGTTTTGGTAGAAGTTCGGTTTAATCAATCGTATGACATTCTCACAGTTTGAAAATAGACTTTTTTTTTTCTACTTCAAAAACATGATTTGGAGAGGAAAAGATAAAGATAAACAGAAAGAGAGACAGAGATAGACTTAGAGAGTAATAGAGATGGGGACTAAGAAAGCAACTGGAAAGATAGAGAAATACAAACAAGCAAAACAGATAGATGAACTGCGGCATTCAAGGAACAAAGAGAAAAACGAATTATATAATTATAATGAATTAAGTTTAAACGCTTTATTATGAACAGCAAACGACGCCTATTCATAAAAATGGTAATATTCGATTGCTTTTTGAATTTCGGGACCATAGAAACTATTTGGAACTATATACAATGTGCGTTTTTCATATTGAAGATATGTGATATGGTACTAGAACTGTTTTGTGTGCGATCGAAAGAGAGAGCTTTTCGCAAATTTAATGGCGAAAACCCCATTGTAATGGTGCATGAAAATCATATAAAACAAACAAAATGATAAAATCTCATTTTTATACACGAAATAATAAAGCGAAGAATATTTCGATTGTATGTATTGAATTGTGTAAATAAGCAAAAACAAAAGAAAAAGTACTGAATGCAAAATCAACACTTCAAAATGTTAGATATAATAAAGATGCAAAAACACAAAGATTATGTGTGAAAAAAAAATACGCATGCATACTCACGCGGTGCACACTCCATTAACAATTTCTACTAAATACGGTTATTATATATCAAATGAATCATGAACGGAATACAGAAAGGGTGTGAGAGAGGGAGAGACTAAAGCGAGAGAGCGCAACTACCAAACAAAAACAACAACAAAATCAATAAGAAAAATAAAACAGAAAATAATTGTGGTAATAAAATGGAGAAAAGAGCAGCACATAAAATACATTTTGTGATAAAGATACACACACTTATACATGTACATATAAATTTGTATGGATAAAAGCTCGCAAAAATTGTACTTACTTTATTAAGCGCGGCTAAGACAGTGTCAGGCATATGGTCCTAGATCATACAAAATACATTTGGATGAATAAAACTCGAATCGTCTTTAGAACAACGTGGTTGCATATATCAAAACCATAAATAAAAAGGTTTACGTACCTGTATCATGGCTGGCGAGATGAGCACTTCATCGAAATCATTGTTATCCACCCAAATGGCTTGATACACCGGCTCATGAGTTTTCAATACTTGTCTGCGTGTAATGGAATAAAAAACAAAGATTTATAACACACATACATAAATGTATCATTTACTTTCGCTTTTCTTAAATGTCATTTCACATGGAATGAAACCGCACAAAAGGTAAATCAAATGCACAAATGGACTCGTATACTAATATATTATGAAATGTAATAGATTATTCAAATATCTTAAAATTAAGGATGGTTAATTTGCTCATGCTCAATTTATTTTGTATTTTTATATTTAGGTAGGAAACAAAGTAAAACCAAATGCACACAGCAAAAGCAGCAAATGAGCGAGAGATAATCGTCATATCGACGGACGGGAAATATTTTATCTATTCGATGTTAATGCATGTTTTATGTTATACATTGCCGAATCAAAACATTTCCCTGGTTACGGATTTACCGCGCTCTAAATATATAAATAACCATGCATTATTAATTTTTCGTAATAACAAAACTCAACCGCAAAATATATCGCAACCCCCTTTTTCGCATCAAATAAAATAAATGTACAAAATTTCGTTTACACTCTGAACATTTTCTTTCCGTTTCAAACAATTTTATATATGGATATTTCTACAAACTAGATATATACTAATATAAAATCTTTTATTGGCTGCACTTATTCCATGCCATTCAACCATGAAATTTGATCAAAAGTGAGAGACAGAAAGGAAGAGAGAGAGAACAGGGACTGAAATCTCGTTATAATTTCATTGATATATTTTTGGATCACATGCATTAGAGATAGTTAATTGACATTTGTCGGGAATAATTCAACAACACTTTATGGAGCAAAGTTCTTCAATCTCACAATTAACATCCCATTAAAAAAAATCGGATAGATGATTTAAATATATTATTCCTTCTGCAATTTCTAGTTCGACTGCAAATTGTTTCACACACGCACACAAAACAAACTCATCAAAGGCAAAACCAAAGTCAACTACGTTAGATACATATGTATAAAACTATAGCTCGATAATGTACATTGTCATTGTTTATCAAGAGAAAATGTCACCAATTCAGGACTAAGTATAAGGAAGAATTTTGCAAACAGTTAAAATTAAAATAGTTACAGAAAAAGAGACAGAAAGACAGACAGATAGTGAAAAAGTTTCCTTTTTTGTAAGTATAAACAAGAACGCCGTCTTCTTGTACGCTCATAAAAAGCACTCTAGTCAATATATCTAGGTTTATGCTTCGTCTTATACATTTTTTTCGGTTCGTTTATGTACTTTAGGCAATATTTTTTGTGTGTGTTAGAGTTTAGTGGGTTTAAATCGTACCTCCAGCCTTGCTCGTATTTTTGTCTGTAAAACCAAAAATATTTTTTTTTTATGTTATGGTTGTTGTATGCATATAGTTTTACTAGAGACACTTTTTATCATTTCGCTTTAGCCAACACACACACGCACACACAATCATGCACACTTTGAATTTATTCGGAATATATTCATATTCCCATAGCGTGACAAACAAGCGATATAAAAGAATAACTTTTATTTTTCTCTGACACACTGTCAGATAATAGTAATTGAGTTTAAAGTGTTAGTCAGTGTTAATAGTTTAAAAAAAGAGTTATTATAAAGTTTTGGCTTTATTGGTTTGCGTCAAGGCAATTTGTTACAGTTTCGTTCGTTTATCAAATTAAATGAAATTGTTACAAAAAGAGAACGAAATTAAGTGAATGAGAAAAGATTTGAGTCTGCGAATAAGCAGTGAAGATGATCACGTGAAAAAACTATTTGTATTATTATTATTAAAGAAGCGAACAATATGAAAAGTCATAAAATGAATAAAAATCGGACAGTGAAAAATCGAAATGATTGAACTTACTCTTCGGGACTCGGGTGATGACGAACGATGTGAATGATTCTTCCAGGTGGATACAATGGATTGTGTAGTGTCAGCGCAATTGAACTGTCATTCGGATGGGTGCTAGCTTTGCGGGCGGTATATCTCTCCTGAAATATTGAAAACGCAAACAAATCGTTGAACATTCAACAAACTCAAATTATTTATAGTTTTCGTAAAGTTTTCACATTTTCAACTTTGGAAATCGACATCGGCATCGATGATTGACGATGGAGTGCATTGCACACACGCACATCCACAAAACACACGAGTGTGCTTGAATTTAATCGTCACTCACCTGTTCGTAGTTATTTACATGGGCATCGTGACTGCTCATTTCAAGCACCGATGTTGGCAGGATATTACAGCAGCATATCATCGAACATGTGATAGTTTTCCACTTTGGATCAACACTTCGTTTTATAGCATTTATTAAATCAGCTCGAAGCGCTTCCATTTGATATAAACCGATACGTGGCACAACATCTTTACCCACAACCACCGATGTTATAAAAGACTTTGAGTACTCAACCGCTGGCATACTATACGAACACAAAATAACACCAAATCGCAAACATAAACATACATTGAGTTTTTAAGACCATCGAATATTGTGCGGTTTTGATAATAAAACTCAATCGCATTTTGTTTGAATATACGAAACTACTTACCTCAATAATCCTACGGAGAAGAATGAAAAGCAAACAGAAAATTGAATGTTATTAGAAAAGAGTGGAAAATACAATGGTCGTTATAAAAATAGCGAATTGAAGACGAAAAAAAATGATGATGATGTATAAAAATCTATATAAATGACTATGTATTTTGATATGGTCATAACTATCTTGTAATAACTTAATACCTCCGGGTGGCGAATATGAGAAACATAGGATCGATGGATATTGTGGTTTCAATAAAATTGACAAAATCGCTGCTGTCCCAGCACCAAGCGAGTGTCCAACCAACACCAAACCGAATTTATCGGTTTTTCGCTCAAGATTATGCTGTTGTGCTCGTTGAATTAAATTTTCGTCCTCCAATTTATTACGAATATAGACAGCCGCCTGAACCATACCCTTATGCCCGACCCATTCATCGCGACGCGGTTCAAGTGGTAACACATCACCTTCTGCATTTAAATCGGTAAGCACATCTTTCATGCTCAACGTTCCCCGAATGCTCACCACAATCTTTTCTTTTGTATAATCAACTGCAAATAATCAAAATTAATGACATTCCACCACAGTCTTGTTCGTTGATATAAAAATGACATTTACCTGCAACAAAAAATGGTGTTTCACCCACGTCAACATGAAATGTTGTATAAATCACTTCAGCTTCGGTTTGACTTAACATGCGTTTCATCGCTGCATAGTTGCATTTACAGCAATTATCATCAATAATATCAGTGGTTTCTTTGTTACTGCGACAACATGAGAAACAACAGCATCGAACTTTTGTGCATAGTTGACACAATCCAGTTTTTGAGTGTGTCATTAAGAACATAGGCCAACCATACGCGCTGAGAGCGTAGTGCATGTAATGTATGACCATCTTGATTGAATACAGAAAAGAAAATAAAATTAATACGCAAACTAATGGAATTAGCAAAAGTGAAAGCGATGCATGTATATATATGTCAATGATTCGGTGTGTGGGAGAGATAAAGAGAGTATTTTTTTTACCTGAAAACATTCATAGTCTTTGGGATCGTTGAGTCGAAGGAATTGTGTTCGTTCGGTAATTGGAACACCACTTAAAAACTCGTAAGTTCCGTTCCTTTTCTGCGCATCGGTACAACATCACCACATCCGCCACCATGAGAAATCAAATAAAGTTTTATTCAATTTTAGTTGTTTAATCAAATCAATTAAATGAGTTTAGCACATTACCTGTCTGACAATGTGTTGACGTTCAACCTTTTGAAATTTTCGCAATAACACCAAACCAGCAACAACATCAGACGGTACAACATCTAACTCACGAAAGAAATCGCTCAATAAACGTGCAATATCAGCAAATGAGTTGTGATTACGTTCAGATGAGCTCATGCAACAGAATAGCAGACGACATCGGTGATCCCAGCTGTCTTGATAAGCTCGAATTACTTTTCTGTAAGTCATACAAACAGAATTTATGAAATTTTCGTTGTTTTTTTTCTCGTTTCAATTTCTTCGCATCTCTGCGAAATGCATAAAACCACATAAAGATATACGTTTAATCTTGGAAAGTTTATTATTCGCAATAAATAAATTATTCGAAGAATATATTTTTCTTTCTCAATTTAATTTGATAAGAAAGTGCGATAATTTCGTTGAAGAGCACGAAACGAGAGAATGAAGCAAACGCACCTTTGTCTCCAATTACGATTCATGCTACCGCTCCTTTTGTAGTTAAATCTAGATTCACTTTCTCTCATTGACCGTTGATATTTTTTCATTTTTACCCATGAACGACCAGCCGCATCGAACGTACACCATATTGTTATAAAAATACTCAGTAAAACAGCCCAGTTACATATGACTAATCCTATAAGAAGATATGAAAAATATAACAGTCACAAATATGAAAATAACATGGATTCGGATTTAATTACATCAACTTTTTCGACGAAAATTCCTTTATATAATTGATAATACGATTTTAAGAGTTTTTGCAGGTCAAAATATATCATAACTACCTGTACATAATGAATGGGCAACAGTATCGCTGAACTTATCAGAGCATTAGTCATATAGTTGACTAGAATCAGGAATTTTCAATGATGTCGCTTCGTCAAATTTTCTGACATCGAATAAATAGGCTTAAATACTGTTGCCCACCGGTATATAGTACAGTTACTCTTGTACATAAGTCCATATTTCATTATTTGTAATTTTACGTACCGAGCATAATTTCTCTGGCTTCACCAATTTGCACGGACATATAGTAGTTTAAGAGCCACACTACGCCCAATGTGAGCCACGTTACATCTACAATAATCATAGCTGCATCAACAGTAGTCATCACAGCAAACCAAATTTCCAACGCCACATGTCATCGGTAAATCATCGGCCGTCACAGAAAAAAATTAAATGAAAAAAAAAAACGAATACACAAATAAATAAGTGAAGGAAAATCGGATTAAAATGGTGAAGTATGAAACTTTCCAACAAACTAATTCAAAAACATGAATGTGGTGCTGGTATTTTTCATCTTCGCCGTAAGTTGAATCGATATTATATATCGATTTAAGGATTCTTTGGTATTTTTTTTACAGTATTTTCGACATTTTCGATCAGATAATTGAATACCATTTTATTTTTTAGTAATTTTACAGTCGTTCACATGTGAAAAACTGGCGCAAATTCATTAAATAAATATTGATTGATTTTGTCGCCGTCGTCAGTTTTTCTTTTCATCTATAAATAAGCAGACGTTCCGCAATGAATCAGGTTAAAATGTTCAACATGTTTTATTAAATTAGTCGATTCATTTTTTAAATTTTCAATTCCACCATCATTCTCTCCGCCCTCTATTCTCCTCTATATCTGTGAGTCTTTCGGCTCTAATTATTGCCATTTCATTTTTGCATTTTTCAAACATTTGAATGTCATGTTATATTCCATAAATTACCTAGTTTTGAATATAGCCAGTAGTGTATGTGGACTCTAGGCGCCGTATCTAAAATGCTTCCTCGCATTGATATAATACATATTCCCAACTCTATAGTTATCGAAACTGGAAAAGCAAGAGAAAAAAAATGGAAAATGATAAAACGACAAAGTTGCGAATTTATTCATAAATAAAAAGAGAGAAAAAAAGGCAATTCTGTCCAGTTTCAGAGTTTGAAATAAATTTTTGATTGTATGCATAAAATGTGTTTTGCAAAATGAAAACATGCAGATATTCAGTATGGTTGAAGCATGCATAAAGAATAACTTACCAACAAGTATGCAAATATATCCGATTTTATAGAAAAACAACAGCTCTATGGGTTTGTTGGACATATCATATTCTAAGTATATAACTGACAACGACAATATGATAAGCCTGTGAATGTGACAAAGATACAGTATGGATTAGCCTTTCATTCAATTCTTCCTTTTTTTTATATGTGGCTGGATGTGTGTTTATGTTTGTGAATGATGTGAATCACAACTTTCGACGTGACACAAAATGCTTGCAGTGCAAAGCAGCCTTCATCAACGTCGATTGCATAGAAAAAAAACATTTCTCTCTGGGCAAAGGAAATGTTTCCTGCCACACACCGACGTTTGTTTACCGAAACAGCAAGAAAAACTATTGTAAATCATACTTACCAAATCAAATGAACTGTGAATAAAAATGCGCCGGGAACAACGAGGTCGTCTGAACCAACGGACCAGCGCCTTCGAAACACAATTAAACCGGGCATCTGAAAATATAATTAACGAAATGGATATTAAAAAAAACTCTGTAAACGATGTATATATAAATGAAATGACTAATGAGTTATAAGCTAATTTAATCACATTATTTTTTTCGGGGCGCACAACATTGTGTTGTTGTTGTTGTTTTTCTCATTAAAGTGATTTTTTGCGTGTTGTGCATGAATGACCAAAGGTATTCGAGGGCACAGAAAGACAAGTGAATGAAATTTTGTATCTGACACGAGCTAAATCAATCACATTGCACAGAGAATCGAGTAGCCGCGCACACAAAATCATCTTCAACGGTGGACATTTACGATGCGATGTGGACCAGATGTGTAAATTCGTCGCTGATATCAACGGCAAAACAAATAACGCAATTCTTCGTCGATATATTTTTAGGTCAATAAACATTCATTTGAAAACATCAAATCAATTCCGCGCAAATAGATAGCCCGTATGAATAATGTCACATATGCCGATGAGAGATGAATATTGTACACGTTACAATGTGTGAAACGGAAGCAACAGCGACGTGGACTATTTGTATGATATACAACTTCTCTTTTTTTTATAAATAACACATGAAACAGAGAGTGCGTACCGCAACATATCCACAAAAGGCACAGGCAACAACTATGACAACAGCAGCAACAACGGTTGCAAAACAGCACAACTCATTTAATTACAACAGATAAGAAATCGATTATCAGAGGCACCGATTTCAGCATAACATACACATCATACTGTGCACGCAATTAATACGAATTGAACATGGAGCCAGTAAGTCAGCTAACCAAGCAATGTTGCCGCTGTTGAAATTGGTTGTTGTTTTATTTTTTTTTTGCCCAAGAAAAATTGATGAATTAAATAATTCCGATGGTGTGGCCTATTTATGCAAAAAAGCTGAACTAATTAAAATTTGATTTGCTTGTTCGGTCGGATTCGTTCATTTGCTTTTATTTAAAAATATTTCGACCCAGAAAAATGTTTGAAAATCCAATATTGATATATGAGAATATTGAGTTTCGTAAAAGACAAATAGACCACAGGCACATATACATTCATACGAACACCGAAAACTGATGATATGGGATTCCACGAAGCAAAGAAACAAAAAGAGACCAAAGTTTAATTCAGAAAATAGATGATCCATGCATATGCACACAAAACGATGTAAACAAAATTACACAAAGAGCATAATGAACTTTGAGTTTGCGGTTAAGTCATTCCATCAAATACTCATACTGGTAAATCCCAGTGCTTGTCAGCAGCACAATTACTGAAGGTTATCGTTTTGTTCATTTTCAACTTTCTGCCAATATACAACATAAAAAAATGCCGCATATCAAACCCATTTCATGAGGCAAACTAATCAAATACAAGGAGTTTTTTCGTTTGTTTCATTTTCCAGTTGCTACTGCTGTTTATTTTCAATGTGCGCTTATTTCGATGCAGAGATTTAAACATGTGCAAACGGTTAAATGCTGACACATTGAAAATTCTCAATTGGTTTGAAATCAGTTCAGAAACTGAAACTCGCATTCAAATCATGTTCGAGTGAGAATGAAGGAAAATAGAATGAACACGCTTCATTTCCATTGGGGAAATGATATAGATTGATGTGGTCGTAAATTATGAAAATAGACAATCTTTTCAGTTCTATGATTTCAGTGGCAATGTAAAGTATTGATTTCAAAAATGAAGAAATCGCCGCACTATTGGATTCTCTACAAGGGTCAACGTTCTATGGCAGAATAGTGCTTATTTCTTTTCTTTCTCTCTATCGCTACTGACCATAATTGCCTAATAAACCTTTCTTTCTTTATGCATATTTTATTGGGAAAATCACCATTTCTGTTTTGCACCGCACAGCGGTATACACACCATTGTACACATAAAAGATCCACATTGATGAATGGGGATGGATGTAATTTCGAATCGACCGCGCGATAACTTCGACTCGAATCGATAGGAAATAGGTGCCTTTTTTCCGCGAAAGTACGTCGCGTTCGATAACATTTCAATGGAATTGCCAACGAATGACGGTGCATTAGAAACTATTGTACACTCACCTTTTCGAATGGTTGATGATGATTACTGAATTTTGTCCGAAATAGTATAAAGCCGTCATTCACGTGACGCTTCGCAGACGTCGATTTATTTACGACGATTCGATGAGTTTTTTTGTATTAATTATTCGATAAGACATTTTTGCCGCAGTATAAATTTTTCAAGTCCAAAAATACGACTGTAAGTACACACATTAAACTGAATGATTGGGATCCGGATTTCGGAATAGAACGGCACTACACTGGATTTTTTTATTCGGTGTGTGTGTGTGTTTACGGAGTTACGGTCTGCAGGAAAAACATAAGCATATGGTTAGATATATAACATAGATATTTAGCACTTTCACAACAAAACAACGAAAATTTAGTGTGCACGCTCTGGAATCGTTCTATCGAGATTCGTGCATAGTAAACAGTTTCCGGTTGTCGACGTTTAAAAGTCCAAATGGGTTTTTCATTTGCTCCACACACTCACTCGCTCACTCACAGCACAAAAACACAGTTGTTATTTTTATTATTTTCTCGATTCGTTTTATTCGTCGGTTCTATAAGTCTTTATGTTGTGGCAGTCGATTGTAAATGTTTGTATAACTCCACTTGAGTTGGATTTTTCTCTCCACCGACGAGAAACTATGCCATTTTCTCTCTATATCTTCGAAACGGTGTGTTTTTTTTTCTCTCATTCATTTTGTTCTGATAAAGTGAAGCATTCATTCGTCAACAATTTCAATCGTATTTCCTCTTTGAATGGGAATTTTCATCATTCACTCACTCGATGAAGAATAAAAGTTATTTTTTTAAATTCCTCACTGTTTTATTTTTATTTTTTTTTATATTTGTCGATTTAAACTAATGAAATGTAGATGGGAAAAATAACTGTGTGCATTTGAAAGGTAGAAGTTGCTTCAATATGTTCTTCAAACGAACGACTTCATCGTCTTGAAAACTGTGTTCCCTTCTGAAGTTGAAACTTCACATGAGCATTAGAAGGCGCACTTACTCGAGTGCTTTTGATTTGATGCACTTCGATCTCTTGAACATCTTTTGCACATTGAATTTAACCTAAATAATTGTTTTATAATCAATTTTTACAACTCGATTATTTTTTCTTTAAGTTACTGCTTTTGCTGCACCTCTTCACATTCGTTTGTAAGCAGTTCTGACTGAACCGGTTTTTTTTTTCGAAATATACAGACGGAATCAAGTGTGGAATACAAAGCAAACAAGCAACGAGCTGTCAAATCGTAATCGTCGTTGTTAAGTAAAACTTCGAAGAGAGAATAAAATTTTAAAAACCATAAAAAAGTATTTTACGTAACACTAAACGTGCGGAATGTTTAGAAGTTTTTGCATTCAGGATATGCCCCCGCTGCTTGCCCGAAAAATGAGGAAATGTCTTCGTCATTTAATGTGGCTTTAAAACTTTAGGGAAACGGCAATAAGAGAGCAGAAGCAGCAGCAGCCGCTGCCTCTAGTATCAGAAATCGCTTATCGCATGCACAACCCTCTTTTCACGCTCACCACGGCCAAAACACAAGATAATTCAACAGCATCGAAATGAAGGAATTAATTTCACCCCCGAAATATTTAGTGGATGCTTCAGTTGTGCAACACTGAAGCGAGACCAGGCCACCGAGGGAAAGAGGGAGAGACAGAGAAAGAAGGATAGAAAGATAGCGAGCATGGCTTCATCTCATACACACATACACCACATTCATAATCACATTGCCGAAATATAGTATTCCCTGTTTGTTTGCCATTGCCATTGTGCCGAAATAATAATAATAATATGTATGTAACTATATACATCGAAAGAAATGTTTGACGTTTTGCTGCTTTGGGTCGTTCTAACACATCGTAATACATAAACGCGTATTTCATTTCGTTGAATATATTAAGGGAAAATTTTGCGTTATATAGTACATTTTTTATATGGATCTATTCTGCGTAGAGTGACTGTGTAATATGTCACAACGACGGACCGACCGACAGGGAAGCAGAACGAATGATGAGAGTGGATAAAAAAAAAATCTGGTAAAAATTTATTGGTACATATTACATCGTGACCAAATGTACGTCTACATTTTGAATACATCGTGATGGTCGTTTATTTTTCAAGTTTTTCAATTTCATCAGAATCATTTTATTTTATTTTTTTTCCTGTCTCTGACTCTGTTTCTCTCGCCATCAACACTGGAACACTTTTTTTGTGCGAACATTTTTTTTCGCTTTAATAAAGCGAGAATTGTGTGTATAAGATACCATTTATCAATTTGAGTATAAATTAATTGATGTCATTCAATAGACCAGTTGATTGATTGTCATTTTCCGAATCCCATGGATTCGACGTAAAAATCGTTTTCGCTCATTAAATTGGATTTAATTAGATCAGTAAATACACAACAGATTTTCTTTTCGCCTTTTGCTCCATTTCGCACAATTTCTTTATATGAAGACAAGAAGAAAAAACAATATACTCCTCCAAAACATTAATAATTCCACGCACAATACACATACACTAACGCACAAGCAATAACAGCATTTAACAGTGTGATTGAGGTATAACATTTATACGAATGCATTTTATTCAAGATTTTATTTATAAATAAAATTCGAGGGTCGTTCTTGTCCGCTTTCTTTAATGTGTTTCTCATGAATGGTTACATCGTATGGTAAAACACTACTGAATACAGCACGAAGAAGAGAGAAAAAGAGAAGAAGAATAAAAAAAATAGTTGAATTCGTAATAAAACGTCCAAACACTATTTTATTGCATTGAACACTAACGAATAACATTTGGTTTACGCTTTTTTGCACAGTCAAATCGATTACTATTGAACCAAACACTAAACATAAAAATACATATATATCACAGCCAAATATTTTATGTTTGTAACAAATCAACATTTTTGCTCGAAACGAGAAGAAACAGCAAAGAAATAAAAAAAAAATTATACATATATATAACAATAACGTGTGTACGACAGAAAATAAGAAAATTATTGGCTATACCGTAGAGAGCACAATTTGGATTATGTATACATTTAGATGATGTCTTTTGCTGACTGACTGACTTGAAACGACACACAAAATATCGACAGTAAAAGCAAGATTGAAACGAAGAAGAAGCAGAGCGACGAAAAAAAAACACACACACAATGTTCGTTGAGTGTGCACGCTCGACAATGCTCATTCACTTACTGGTGTGTTATTTTCGGTTGGTGTGAATGACGATGAAGCTACTCAATGTGCAGCTCTCGTACGACTAACACGAATTGCCGAATTAGTTGGCATTCGTTGAGCGCATCGTTGTGGATGTGGTATTATCGTCAGCGTTGCGTATTCACTGCTCGTCACTTACCTTGCGTCACTGCGATAGAACGGGATGACAGTATTGTTGTTTTATTACGATATAGCGGCGCTATGGTAGCAAATCGTATACATCAAACATAAAATCACAGCCGTTTTCAATTCGAGCGTTGCCAAGCACACATACACACAATGCGAATGAAGAAGCGCCTTCTTGCTTTGCCGATTTAGCTCTTGTTTTAACCATTTTGTATGTTTGGAAATTAAACACTCAAGCTCGTGCACATGCTTTCATCACATTCATGATGCTACTGCTGCGGCTGCTGCTTCAATTTACTCTTGTTGTTGGTTTTAATGTTTGTGCATGCATTATTTATGATAAAAATTGTTATGCCACATGGGTACAATCGATGGATGTGTGCGAAGATGAGAATGTGTATTTCAACATACGTTGCACTTTCGATCGGTAGATTCGTATCGATTTACTTCCAATAAATGCTGGAACGCTGGATTATATGCGATTCGTTGTCGTCGACCGCATGGAATCAAAGCGCAACTTACGATTATCGCAATTTTCAATGGTTGAGAGAGGCAAGCGTTTACAATACCATTTGGCCAAAAGCCAAACAAGTGGCAGCCACATCACAAACACGTACACAAGCACATTGAGAAAGTGACACACAGAGAGAGAATCAACTATATCATTCATTTATTATTGAACGATTATTATCGGGAATTTGCGTTTCGGCAGTCGCATTCATCAGTCAATCCACGGCCGGTGTATTGTTATGTTCAAGCATACATCACGTCATGTTTTATGCGGTGTTTCGCACCGTATCGCGAATTGTAATTGATAGCTCATCAAAAAGACGCACAACTATGATCTCTACGCCTTACCAACACCAACCAATTTTTCATTGTTATTGTTGTTATTTTTGTTTATTGTTTCTTTTATATCACGTGAACTGTTGTCATTTTCAGTAGTAGCAAGCAAACTAGTCAAGGTGATTAATTGGTATGTGACTTGCACGCGATTTAAAATCCGGTAAATAAAATTGCATGAGAAAGATTGGGAAAAATAACAACAGCAGCAGCAATAACAATATAACAACAGACGCGAACATTCAAATACACACCGTGCACCATTGATTGAGAGGTTGTGCAAACTCAAAATTCATTATCACATCAGATTACATTAGCTATTCAATGTTTAAATTGTCTCGCGTTGCCTACCAGTTCTAGGCTATCAATTTTCAACACAAACATAACCGACAGCGCCAGAGAGAGAGGGAGAGCAAAAAAAAATACAACACCGACAACGTGTTCTATTCAATTCCCAAAGGCGTTGCAGCACGGCAGCCATCGATTCTCTTTTTTTTAGTTATTGTAAAAAGTTCGTAAACACAATCATGTCATAGAAAATAATAACGCCGTATTGTGTACAAGCGTAACAAGTTTTATTCAATTATCGTCAAGGATAAATACCTGGTTTTTATTGAATCATCACTGTTGCATTTTATTTGCAAATATGTCAATTGATTTCAAAATAGGCGTTCGATTGAACTTTTTTTTGATACTCCTTCTTTGACGTAATATTATTTGCATTTCGAAGTGTATGAAATGCAATGATAAAGAATTCTATTTTCGTTTCTTCGTCGTAGACATAATGGTCGTAATCCATTTGCAAATTAACAGTAAAAAGTTGTGTGTCACGATTCAACAAAAACTAATCAAAACTAGTTGACGCAAATCACTTGGTTTGCTTTGCGAAAATTGCCTAAATATAAAAAAAAGTTTATAGTTGCTATTAACATAAGTCAAATATTTAACTTTATCCACCGCCGCCAATTACAAACATTTACATTGAGCGTTGAGCTCATTAACCCAAAGTCTCCATTTCTCGCTCGCTTGCTTGGTCTTTCTCTCTCCCACTCTCTCCCTCTCGAAAAGCTATGAAAATTAATTATGCTTACAGAAAACACAGCGCAAACAAAAAACAACGACTCGAATATAATGTTGCACACACAAAAAAATTTATTAATAGTTCTTATAATACATAATACTTCTAGATGGTAGGAATTAAACAGCATTGGCTTTGCTTTCACAATGGTTTCAACTTTTTTTTTCTTCGTCTTCCATCATCTATTCTCATAATCATCATCAGCATAATATTTTTTATTTTTCGCACGGAACCCATAAATACAATTCGTTCATCGTTCACGTTCGGTACATATTTTCATAAAGAATAAATACAAAATAAATTTCCATATTTGTATACATATTTTTGTTGTTGTTGGTTTTGTTATTGTACATTGAGCTTAGGGAACTCTTTGTTTACTTATGATAAATATATTTGTATAGAGGCAACCTAAAGAACAAGTGTTGTCTTTTGCATTTTTCCTTTTCTAGATATTCCGTAATTTCTTTATTGATTATACACCTAATGGATTCTCATTTTTTTTTTGTTTTGCTTGCTCATTTCGCTTGGAATTATATAATGTGTGTATATAGATATTTATGCTTTGATTCGAAAATGGAAAAAGTTCGAAGCGATTTTTTGTTTAGTATAGCGAGATAAGTAAGTGAGTTCGCAATGTGTCTATATGAGGATTAAGAGGGTTACGGTAGATAGATAGATCGATAAAGGATATAAAGTAGAAATAAGTAACGTGTTTCTTTTTGTTATCTTTCGCATTTCGATTGATTAACTATAGTAGTTTCCAATTCCTCTATTGTACTTGAACATTTGTAATTTCCTTCTCTTCTTCCTTAACTTTCATGTAAAAATGTCTCATAAAAAAAATAATTCATTCTTTTCTCTCATGTGTGTATGTGTGTTTGTGTTTTTTACTTCATTTTTAATCCAAGCATATTTTTCATCTTTGCTGCCATCTTTCAGTTTGTGTGTATAATATAAAGCGAAAAAAAGTGTGGAACCGATGTGTGTGTGGCACGATGAAATTCATACGATAAATTCCAAATGGATTTGTGTCACATTTACACCAGTTTAAGCTCGTTGTCTTGTAATTGAACCAAACGGAAAGCCTCGCGAATGGTCGGCGTCATAAGCATACGTAAATCAGTTGCACTTTTTTTCGGAAGTGTCGATAACAATTCCATTGATGCAATGACCAATTGCGAAAGAACTGAACGCTTAAAATTTAAATCTTTCAATATGCTTGTGGCACGTTGCTGTTCTATTTCGGGTGCAATCGATTTATTTGAATCAGATAGTTCGATGCTTGGTGAACGTACAACATCGAATGGATTATTGCGGTGATTGCTTTGATTCAGCGATGATGTTGAACCATTTTCGCTGGTATTGAATTCATCGGTTTCCTCACCGTTGCACGTATCATTATTGATGCGTTCCGTTTTGATGTTATCATCGGCAACATTCACTGTTACCGTACCATTGACGATGGTTGAATTTTCATTAGCATCATTTGTTAGTGTGTCGAGTGATTTCGATGTTTGCCAATCACCGTTTCGTATATTCGAATTATTTAAATAAATTTCACACACCAAATTCCAAGCGTCTTGCAGCGAAAATAAATAACGCACAAAATTCTCCTTCTTCTTCACCGTTGAGGTGTTAACGCGTGAACACGATTTTAAAATATAGCTTAAATCTTCAATGCTAAGATTGTATGTTGATATATCCACCAAATACGAATCGACCATTGAGATGAAATAAATCATCCAAGACGATGTCATTTGCTTGTATAAATTTGCGGCAAAATCAAGATTGGACACTTTTTGGACAAGAAATTTGAGGCCGGGACGTGAATCGAATTCCAATGAACTTGTTAAATATTGTTTAACACATCGCAACAAAATTTCACGCGAACAAAATCCAAGGTTATAGTGTGCACCGCTTTTACCGGTATTTATATTCTCAAAAATACATGAATGCACTTCAGACGGCACACACTTTAAATTGCCCAGCAACAATTTGGCAACGAGTGGCAAAAGCATTTGATTTGCCAACAACCCAATGACCATCGTACGATATGGTATTCGAATAACAAAATTTTCAACACTTTGACCAAAGCTCGTTGACAGTGGATACAATAAAAATGAATAACTACGATCGTCGGATGGTATTTTTGTGTCAATTGCACTTGAATTGTTGTTTTTATTTTGTGGATCACGTTGATTATCCAAGAAGAACACTTGCTGAGCGAGTGCATTGATTCGCATAATTTCATCGATGGTACTGTCACGTCGGGCTGCAATTTTTACTGTCGCACAATCACCATAGAAACTATTCGATTTTTCATGGAATGCAAACGATAGCTGACGTAACGGCGCCACAGTTACCGTACACGATCGATGTATTGCCGAACATGCGATTAACCATTGGGTCTCATTGAATAAATGACCCGTTGATAAAATTACATGTTTCAAACATGATACACCCACGCGTGCAACCGATTCTTGAGACTGTGCCGAACATTCAATCAATACAAGCAGTATTTGTTTTAGTGTCAATGTTGCAGCGGCCGACATTTTTGAATTTTTTTCACCATACAAATTATTCATATCATCGGCATGCATTTGATTTAAATATTGTTGATGATGTTGATTATGATGATATTTGAGATTGTCATTTGATCGTTTAATGCTTGTGACTTTTGTTTTTTTCGGACTTTTATCGATGCGCTCCAATTGGCTGAAATGTCCTTGGGCCTGTTGTTCAATAAAATCAACCACTAAATCGGTTGTCATGCCACAACAATGTTTGAAATTCTTTTCAGTTGTTATATTCCAACTGCTGCACGTTTTATTCACGTATCGCAACCAATCCTGCACCATTGGTATCAGCAAATGATTTATGCTATAGAAACCGAATTCAATTCCAGGCGTTTTTTGTAAATTTTTAAACAATTTTAGAATACATTGTAAAATGGCCGATTGATGTTGTACCGAACATACAATCAATGCATTTGTTAAACCATCCAATAATAGAAACCAGACTTTTAACACTCCCGACGCTTTATCCAATTCATCAATTTTTGTGATTGAATCCTTGTCAATGTGCAAAGAGCGATAGCTAATCATGTGCTGTTCGTTTGTATTTTGTAAATAGTCGTTACCAAAATAGGTAAAATTCTCCATTGAATTTGGAATATTGGCATCGATTGTGTGCGTGTAGGCGATGCCTTTTATTTTGTGCGTTGAATGGAAGTTTGGACATTTTGGCATGTCATACATGAAAGATAAAATTGTAGCGCCACGCTCTAAGAATTTCAGAATTTCATGCAGAAATTCAATGGGACGAAAGTTTGTATCAAATTCACCACCACCGCCACCGCCGCACCCATTACCATTCGATGATGTTGCATCCAAGTAAGATAATAAACATAAGATACAGTCTAAGCCAGCGTTTGCAAACACAAGCATATTGTCACTCTCCAAAAATACCCGAAATATATCAATAATATTGGTGGTGTTTAATGGACGATTCCGCGCATTTCTCAATGTACCAAACAATGGCCGCCATCCAGATCGAATTTCCGTTCGATGCGCTTCAACTATTTCATACAGACATGCCACAATTTGATCCTGGAAAATATGAAGAAAGGGAGAAGAGAAAAAGAGACAGATAGAAAGATGAAAAAACGGAAATAGAGAGAGAGGGATACGGTGCAGAGAGTTGGGAAATATTCAAAATATTAAATTAACTGCGTTTATTAAAATGAGAAATACCATAATGGAGAAAAACATTAAAAAGGGGGTAAAATACAGTGTCAGAGCTTTGTAACATAACTTACTTGAACATCAATGTCGCACGTTTCCATGCTCAATAAATTTTCGAATGGTTTGAGAAGAGCCTCATTAAAATGGAAATGAGGTAATTCAGTTTGTTCGACGAGAAGACTTGTAATAACATCTTGAATGTATTCAATCGCTCGTTTTGATATTGAGCGATCTTTATGACATGCCGCCTGAAATAAATATTCAAATTGAATTTAGTTCAACATAAGATTTCCTCTATGATGTAAATGATAATAAATCATTTTGCAGAGCAAAAAAAATGTATAATTACATCCATAAGCGCCGGTCCCGTGATACCCCAAACCTTTAAAATGTGTAACAGAGGTCGTGAGCTGCGAAATACTCTCAATGTGACATCGCCAACACGATGCAAAAGCAAGGCCAATGGCATTGAGTCGTTTTTTTGTTTTCGTGTTGGCCACCAAATGCGATTCATTGCTTTTTTCGATCCATTGCTTCTGTACAGCTGATCACGTGAAGCACGACATAACGCCTTTATGAATGAAAGCAAAGCTGGCAAACACAGACGATCCGCTGCGTCAGCAAACAAATTTTCTGCTTGATGTGACAAAGTGCAGAGCACTTTTGCCGTATCGGCTTGACTGAGCAACGTTTCACTTGAACTATTTCGATTTTTTAAAATCGATGCTACATTCGTGGATGGGCTTTGTAACGGTGTTTGTAAAAAACTATAGACATCAACACTGCGCGATGAGAAACAACGAAAAAAAGTGAAAACAAAAAGATATGACGTAAACATTTGTTTTGTAAATAGAAAAAAAAAACTGAACATACCAAGTTTCATCGTCATCGATTGGACATGATGATAAATTCAGTTTGTCATTTCCTGTGCCCGGTGCACAACCCGATTTCTCTGTATTGTCAACTATTTTCCCATTACTCTTCGACGGACTCAGTGTGGTGCTTTGTAAGCTAAATAAATCATGTTCGATTTGTGTAACGTGCCGACACACCGAAAACACTGAACACCAACATTCGGGACTAAAGGATCCGAGCTCCAAACCACCGGTCAGCACAACATCCATGGACCTAAAAAGAATTCAATTGAAAGTTTAACAAAAATTATTATACATTCACAGAAGGCGTGACATACAATGCTTGACTCGCGGTGATCCGTGGTCCCGACGATGAGCACACATTCGACGCAAGCAACGATAATATTTTGCCGGACAAATGTTGCAAATTCAGTGAATTACTAAGCGTAGCAGCCGCATGCAAACCTTCCAAGCTCATTGCAAATAACGCTTCGCCGCCAATATTTTGTGGTTTCTTAAACTTCAATGTCTTCTGCGACATGGCTACTAATCTATTTTTGGAAGAAGTATTCAAATCATCTAATGCAGTACTCAATACGACCACCATCGAATCCCAACAACAGGTCAGCAACCGTCGTGCCAATTTATTAGCCGCATCACGTCGTGGATTCGATGTCTCGTTTTGTTCGAGTTTTGAGGTAACATTTTGCAATCGTTGCCATTCGGACAGCATTTGCGTTTGACCAATTCCAGTTGCATCTTGTAGCAATTCAATTAAAGCGCATCGATTTTCCAGCCATTCATCTTTTTTCAATAGCACCATTGGATTTGCGGCGATTATCGATTGATATAGTTCGCATAGCCAACCCGTTGATAAATAAACTAAAACACCCGTATTTTGTACCGATGCGACAAATTGCTGCTCTGTCAATGGAATGGCAATTGATTCCTAAAAATAAGTCAACGAAATAATTGCAGAGGGTCATGTGAATAAATCAAAAATTAATTGCTCTTAATTCGTTTTTCAATGGAGCTGTGAATGCATTTGACATGTCCATATATGAATATATTAATTAATGTTCAATAGAATTGCATTTGATGCTATTTGCTGATTTATTATTATTACTCACCTCTGAATTGTCATAATGACCCGCTTTCATTAATTGAAAACTAAGCAACAATGCTGAGTACGTTGCCAAATAAATTCCATCCGCATTGATTGCCGTGAGATTATAATCGAAATCGGAATAATTCATGCTATTTTCTTGGCAAATATTTGATGCAAAATCCTGAATCGCTTCGTCTACTTCAACAGATGTACGCAATTTCAGCAGTCTCGGCACCAAATTACTTGCCAACGATTTTGTAAATTCACGTGCATGTTGACGATCAAATTCACTGTTTGATCCAATGGGTGGCGGTGCTTCGAGATATGAATACGGCCAATTCCCTTCGTTTCGTGATGAATTCTCGTCGCTTGATGAATGACATTCTTCTTCGGGACCCTCCGTGTCTCCAGAGCCCATTGAAGCGATTTCTCCATCGTTTGCATCAAGCTCACTATCCGAACCCGATGACGTTTCAAATCCATTTTCACGTAGCTCAGCAACAGCATCTCTATGTTTTTTTTTGTGCAAAATGTTGATTTCAAATTAATAATTGCATTCAAAGTACAAAAGCATAGTTCAATATCATTTTCAACGAAGCAAAATTCAATTCTCATATTTAAATCGCAAATTTGAATCTAATTTTAGCTTCGAATCAAAATTCAAATGAACTGTGATGCAAATTTCAAATGTCAAGATGACGAAATACCTGTATGGTGCCGGCAACCTTGCCATTCCATTGTACGTTAATGGTCCGGTGTAATCAACATCTTTCAGCGTTGCGAATCGGTTGTTTATAATTTGAACGGTTTGATCGCTAAGTGAATTTTCATCGATATTGCCAGAGCAAAGTGTTTGTAAACTTTCCAAAAATGCAACGATACACTCGACACTCGCTTGAAGTGCATTATCACATGAATTGCCTGCTTGTGCTGATAGCGCACACTCTTCCATCGCATCGATGATTCTGACGAACGAGAGCAAAGAGAAAATTAGATTTAAATGTCATCACATAATTAGTTTTTCAATCTGAATACGGAATGAATGCATAAATTAAAGTTACTCACAGCCGAAAAAGAGCCATATCATCACCTCCATGCCCTTGGTTTTTGTCCATGTATAAAATCACCGATAAATCAACCAAACGTGCCGGAGATCTGAAAATAGCGCATCGAAATTGAGCATAAAAAAGTTTATTCCGCATACAAATGAGTTTGAAAGTGCACAAGTCAACATACGAAGAAAAAAAAACTGTACAACATACCGGAAAATTTCTTTGACGGTTTTTAACGGTTCGGAACGATTCTGTGGCAATGGCAACAATAGCATACGATGAAACAAAGCTTCAAGCATTGGACGAAGTGAATTTTGTGCGCCAGCAATTCGTAATAATTGAATAGCTGTCAAGTAAATACATCTAGCTTGTGGCGGCTCCAGACCGGGTCCAGTGAAAAAACCACGCGTTTCATTTTCAATTATATGCAATGCGTCTCTGTGAATGAACGGAATGGAGCGAAAAGTTATTCATTTAGTCGAAAAGTGCTTACGTTGTAATTCGATTACACATATGAACATGCAAAATTCAATTTAGAAATAAATGCTCGACTCACTTGTATGTAAATTTTTTGTCCAAATTGATACGACCAGGGGAACCAAGCGCTGCAGCTAGTGTTGGACAGAATTTTTGCCATAGAAACGCTGTAAAGTGTGGATTTGTTTGCACATTTTTCGGTAATGCTGTTGTCAAGGTAAGTATGCATTCGGTGAGATAGAGCGAATTACATGAATCATTTTTCTTCGGTGTGCCAACTCTATTTGTGATGTGTACAAAAAAAGTAAGTAAGAATGAAACGAGCATTTGAATAAAATTCGTTGATTATGCAAATTTGACAAGTTTTTTTTTGTTGTGGTAAAAATTACTTTGGTTCAATGAGTCGACTGCAGAGATATTGCATAACCGGGATAACTTCATTGTAGACGGCTGACGCTTGTGCGACAGTGATTAAACCAGTTGGAGCGGATTTCATCACATCTTCCGTTTCATCTTTCAAAAATGCACAAAACGTTCGCAAACATTGAGATGCAGCTGCAAGCGATGCAGCACGAACAGCTCGGGAACCACTTTCCCAACTCTCACCTAATGCGCGCAGGAACAAAAAATAAAATGGAAAATTAAATCGAAACGAATTTAAATATGATATCACATAATTTGAAAGAAAGTTTGCGACTTTTTTTTTTTTTTTTTTTTCATTTCAATCTTTCTTTCATATCTGTGTGCTATTTTTGAGAGGATAATCACCGCATTTTGAAAGAATTTCGATTAAAAGTCGTCCGTTGAGTGTGCATGAAGGCGAACAGGCCATGGCCAGAAATAAGCGTAAAATATTTACAAGAGTCTCTTCACTTGCCCAAGATCCTTGCACCAACACCGATGAAGTGGTTCGTAAAAGTTGCGCTGGCAACCATAGAGAATCATTTTCTGGCTCAATTGAGAACGAGAATCTTTCATCTTTTATGACACGCTACAAGCGATTTTTGTTCACCGAAAGAGAGAGAAAGAGAAAAACGAGAAAAGTTTTTACATGAAAAGAAACAAAATCATCCCTGTGTATGGCATTAAGTGGCATGAAATGCCTGTCATTCTTCTGTATAAAGTAGGTAGATGTAGTCATTAATTGAACACGACTAATGATGTTTAACTAATGCAAAAGAACAGCATGATTTAATTTTTCTCTTTCGGGGAAAAAAAAAATTCGAAAGAAAATAACAGCAAAATTTGTGTTTACAAAACCACAAAAACCACATACACACATTCACTTACGTGCATTCCATTTAGCGCTAGCGAAATGAATTTAGGCCGTTTTGTTTCCAGTGCCATTTGTATAGCTGTCAAACATACCGAACGCAGTTCATAGGATGCGTCACGATGTGTTCCATGCTGCCGTTGCAATTTATCTGAATGGCAAATACACAAAAGTTATCATACAATAACAATCGCATAAATAAACTCGGTAAATTATACAACTACCGCAATTTCTCAACATAAAACAAAAACACCAATGCAACAAAAAAAAAATAGAAAGCCAAACGAATGTATTCCGTACCGTAAGCGTTTTGAGACGCATTTTTCAAATTCATTAACTTTGGTCCCGTTGCTTCTTTGACTAATTGCGCTAATAAATCCTCCATTGTTGTGTTTGTGTGTGTCTGTGAGATTGTGTGCTGTTGTGTTATTTCTATTTGTTTGCGTTTTGTTTGTGTTTTATTGTTGGTTCGTCTACCTATTTACAGCTACACTTCAAAGTGTTTATTTTTATCGATTTTTGTTAACATTTAAGCGTCGCCTTGTTGTATACAGCCAACTCCCATCGTTATGCAGTGAGTGGTTGGTTATGGTTTCGAAAACTTCACGATGAGATTCATTTATGATTCAGTTTTGTTGTAGTAAAAAGCCTGTTCCTGTTTTCCTTTTTTATCTATTTACGATTGAAAAGAGTATACCAACAAACAGAAAAGAAGTAAATGATACCGACAGCGTTGAAGCAGAACAAGTGTGCGAAAGAGAAATAGAAAAATTGTAATCAAAATAAAAATAAACTGCACACATAATAATTACAATATGGGGTGTGCAAAATGAAACACGGTAAAATATGTACTTGTACACATTTGTGTATGGTGCATACGGGGACCATAAAATGCCGCTTGTGAAAATCACAAATGCAAAAAAGGCAACTCAATGGCAACAGCAAAAGCATAACTTGATAGATAAAGTCTTGCATGAAATGAACAATAGCACCGATACACCGCAACTGTCTTGAAATGTGCCTCTTTTTATATTATACGAAAGAAATGATGATTGCGTGCAAATTATTGCAATAAAATTGTATTCAAGTCAGCCAATGTTTATTTTTATCGATTTTTTTCTTCGCTTTTCATTTAACGCCATACAATTTCTTTAGAAAATTTCTTTGAATAGAAAAGATAATAGGACTTGGGTTGCGTCACACAGTATACACAATATGCTTTTAACTATCAATTCTCAAAGCGAACATTTCATTCGAATTGTTTTGAAAATAATAGTGTTTAAAGGAATTCACAAACTATTTAAATTGATTAAATGTTCGTTTTCCATTTCGATAAGATAATTGCCAAAACTATTTTAAAGTTTTTGCTTTCGACGGCAGAACACTATTGACCGACTGCTGGTGTGGTTACATATTGCACACAAAATCACTGCAATTCGCTAACCCGATTTCCTTTTTTTTACCATTTTCACCATCGACACATACACAAACAGATGCACTCCATCAATTTCTTTTTATTAAAGTATTACCTCACTGTTTACACGATTCGTTGCTGTTGCCGTCGATTTTTATTAAATTTTTCGTTCAATACCAGATTCTACCATCGTCGAATTGAAATTTTACATCAAATTCGCCTTTTTTTTCTGCTCGCCAACACAAATTTTCTTTAACAATATGTTACCATATCGGGTGCGTGTGTGTATATGACATGCAACAGCAGTTTCTCGCTCGCGTATTACAACTGAATTGTTTTGGTGGACATTTTTCCTCTCATAGACCATCCACTCTGCCGAACAATTGACATTCGAACACATTAAATGGCATAGTAAACGGTGGTGCGCATGTGCGACACAAAACCCATTCTGTTACTATTGAAACGTGAAATAACATTTCATATACTGTTGCTGACTTTATGTAAATATTAAAAGGAAGAACCTACTTATGAATAATACCATCTTCGTTGTCGTCATCGTCATTGTCGTCTTTTTCAATGGGAAACACTGAGTGTACAAAACATTATCTGCGGCAAAATGGAACTAAGAAAAAAAAAACGTATTGGTGGATTTCAATTCGCTCAGCATTTATCTCACACTGAACACACAGATGTGTGTTTCTCGACTATTATGCGCGGAAAGTGCTTGTTGAAAGTAACTTTTTTTTTAGAAAAACTTTAAAATGCATTCATTGTTATCAATATTGAGAGCATTTTGCATTGTCACCACTATATGCACTTATGCATGCCGACTTTTTTTTCATCTTCTTTTAGACCACATTTAGCTATGGACAACGCAGCGGACTCCAGATTGATTATATCTTGGAATTGTTTTTGTCAATCAGTCTCTTTATGTTCTAAATATGTACCAGTCAATGTAAATAATACAACTTTTGTTCTATTCATAAAGTCTGTTCAAATATTGGTTGTTTAATATTTGAATTCACTTCTCAAGCTAAAGTATAGTTGATGTTTTTTATGGTCACTTGCACGTGTTGTAACCCTTGGTGTCAGTTACACCAAACATAATTGAAGGCTCTATCATCACATCAAACGGAGTGTTATGAGTCACTCGTGTATTGCGTATTTTATTTTGGAGCATTCAAGCAAAGTGTTGATGTTCCCATGGAGCTGCTGAATTAGTTCTGGTCATAATTTAGAGAAATTGAATCTTTGGATTTCTTAACTTTAAAGCTCCAACGAATCATTATTGTCAACGTTAAATTATCGATCAATCGAAATCGATAAATTGAAAAATGTAATGAAGAAAATAAAAAAATCTTATCTTTATAACTTTTCTTATCTATTTGACCACAAAACTGAATCAAAACCGATAATGTGTGTAATATAGCTTGAATCTGACACAGTAGCTCAATAAAAATTGAAAGAAATCATTCAGTTTACAAATAATATGGCAGCTGTTAAATACGTGTCTCATTTTTTCAGTAAAAATGTAATTTTGATTTTATTATTCATTGGTGTGGTAACATCAGCAGTAGTAAATAACTATGTAAATGCATTAACTGAACCGTGTTATGGTATGTAACACATTTCCTTAGTGTATATATACAACTATTATGCTCTTCATTAGTTTTGAATAAAATTTGAATTGAATATTGTTGCACAGGTGCCGGAAATGGCCGTGTTCGTGCTTTAACAATTGATAGTTTGTTGGATGATTGTAACAAATACGTTCAGTGTCTTAGTGATCAAACGGAGGAGGTTTTAACATGTCCATTTGATAAGCCGTATTTCAATGCTGAGGACCAAGAATGCTCGCACCGATCCGATGTCTGCTTCCGATGTCCGAACACAAAGTTTGAATTGATTTCTGTGCCGCATATATGTCGACAATACATATTATGCTTTAACAATAAACCATTAGCATTGGCATGTCCAGGTGATTGAACCAAAACAAATAAGATGGCCGGTTATTCACAACTGTACAGAATGAAATTTATTTCAGAGCCATTAGTGTTTGATGGTAGTCCCGGAATACATCAGTGCAATTATGAGCCAGGACCAAGTGAGTGTTTCCGCGAAGATAAGGACGATTATGAAAGTAAAATATGTCCGCCTATTGGCAAGGAACCGAAATTTGAGGCTGCCGATAACTCAGGAATGTAAGTACTTATTTTCAACGACTGTGAATGGAATTTAAAATATGAGTTATTGTATATTTCAGTTATTATGTGTGTCACGGGAGTCCAAAACCTTTACGGCTTGTATGTCAAGGCAATCTTATATTCAACAAAGACAAAGGAGTTTGTGAAAAAGCGTAACTAACAATCAATTTTATCTAATATCAAATATATAATTGACGAAAATTGAATTTTGTTCATGGTGGAAGACAAAGATAAAAAAAAAATTGTGAACCCTTTTGAAAACGAAATAAATCAGTATTTTAACGTAAACTGAGTACACTTTTTAAGATTGCTCCCTTCGTCGAAATCGCTTTCCGAAATATCACAATTTTTACTATCAAAAATATCCATTTTTCTTAGCCAGAAAGATTGAATCTCTGGGAATTGAATATCTGAGTCATCGAATATTTGAATCAATTGCCCTAAAAAAGGAATGACGTAAATAAAAAAACCTTATCTTTATAGCTTTTCAATTGTGTTTTAATCTCACTGACCACCATTTAAAACTGATAATACGTTTAATATAAATTCAATCTCACGTAACAGTAGCGTAATTCAGTTAGTCAAATTTAGGTACACAACATAGTTCATTATGGCCATTACTAGAGACGTGTTTAATTTGTTCAGTAAAATTGCAATCTTAATTTTACTAATTGGTGTAGTGCAATCATCGGTTGTAAATAAATTTGTAAATCCATTAACAAATCCTTGTTATGGTATGTACAACTTTTTTCAGTGTTAATGTTTATTTAATACTTGAATTCATTATCGTTGCATAGGTGCCGGAAATCAACGTGTACGAGCTTTAACATATGACAGTTTTTTAGCTGATTGCAACCAGTATGTTCAGTGTGAAAATGATCAAATGGATCAACCGTTAGAATGTCCTAGTGGAACATATTTTGATGCCGACTCCGGCGAATGTGTGCATAACAGAGACGTTTGCTTCCGGTGTCCCAATAAAGAATACGCATTGGTCTCTGTACCAAATGTACACCAACAATTCATTCTATGCTTCAAGGGAAAACCATTGCTGTCGGCATGTGAAGGTGATTTATATTTTGATGGTAGTCCTGGAGTTCATCAATGTAATTTTAAGTGGGGAGCCGAATTTGAAGGAGATTTCGAAAACCAGCTTTGTCCCCCTGTTGGTAATGAACCAAAATATGTGGCTTCCGAAGGAGTGTATGTATTTTTCTCAACTGTTTGCTTTCGAAAAGAAAACCGATTATTTTTTAAACTTTCAGTTACTACGTATGCTATGGGCAACAGCGTCCATTGAGACTTGAGTGCCCAAATGGTCTAATGTTCAGCGAGGACAAAGGAATTTGTGAAAATCCGAATAGCAATCTTGAGATGGTAGAAAACGACCCGGCTGAAGAATGAATTCTAGTAAAACATGAGCTAATGAGGCTCCATAATCTAATGACGTCCTTTAAATAGAAAAAAAACATCGTGAAGAATTTTTAAAATTAGAAAATGACATGCATTCAAAGAACAACTGGGCAACAATATTTTAATATTTAAATTTAATTTAAATTAAAGTTTTGATATTTTTTGTATATTTTAATGTGGCGACGGTAAAAAATATGCGAAGAACAATCAAATTATATCAATGGTATGATTCATAACTTATCAATTCATTTGCTCTCCATTTTTCAGCTGCTCAATTTTTGAACAATGAATCATCACTTTAGAATAAAATAAAGAGTTAAAGCGTCGAAAAAAACTCTAGTGGTTAGATTCTTATCTCCCTGATCACGAGAATTAAAACTGATAATTTCTAATATATATCGATCTAGCACAATGAAATTTGAACCAATCTAGTCATAAAACAGATCTTTTACGGAAGTACTATGGCAGCTGCTAAACGCGTTGTGTCACATTTTTTCGGCAAATTTGCAATTTCAATCTTACTCATTGGTGTTGTGAAACCATCGGTATTAAATAAATTTGTGAATCCATTGACTGAGCCATGTTATGGTATGCATCATGTTACGTGTTAGCTATTTAGTATTTGAATTCATTATCGTTGCATAGGTGCGGGAAATCAACGTGTAAGGGCCATAACGACTAACAGTTTTTTAGCTGATTGTAGGCAATATGTTCAGTGTATTAATGATATATCGGATCAAACTTTTACATGCCCTCCTGAAAGGCCATATTTTGATGCCAACTACGGCAAATGTGTTCATAACAAAAACGTTTGCTTCCGATGTCCTCATGAAGAATATTCATTGATTTCTGTGCCGTATGTACATCAACAATTCATTTTATGCTTCAAGGGAAAACCATTGCTATCTGCATGTGAAGGTAAGTTATTGTTTGATGGGAGTGCTGGAATACACCAATGTAATTATGAGTGGGCTCCCGAATATGAAGAAGATTTTGAAAATAAGCTTTGTCCCCATGTTGATGATGAACCGATATACGAGGCTACCGACGACTCAACAGTGTAAGTCTTTTCTCATTATTTGCTGTTATTTGGTTCGAAATTAATTTGAAAACTGCTGTTTTTCCAAATTTTCAGTTACTATGTTTGTTATGGTCAGCAACGGCCCGTCCGCATGAAATGTCCAGAAAGATTAATATTCAACAAGTATAAAGGCATTTGTGAAAAAGTTGAAAATGTTAAATGAATTGAAGGCTTTTGCCATGACTGTAGTCAATCATTAAATCAATAAAAGTTCCCAGGGGAATAAAAAAGAAAGAAAAAACCTGTTTGCCCTGAATTTTCAATCTCTGTGCTCTGAATTTTTGTGCTCCTTGATTTTCGACTCTAATGGTTTATGCCATAAAAAATAACGAAAAAATTATGCCGAAAAAATTCAAACTTGTTAAAAGTAGCTTTTTCGCAAACGTTATTTAAGTAATGAACGATTTTAATCAATAGATAAAAAAAATGTAATGACGAAAATCAAGAAATCTAATCTTTATTATAACTTTTGAACTAGATTCTTATCTCTTTGACCACGATTCTCAATTAAAACTGATAATGTGCGCAATATTTGGCACAGTAGCTCAATAAAAGTTGAAAAACAATCAATCGCAATACAGTTTCATTTAGAGAACGTAATATGGCACCTGTATCATATTTTTTGTGTAAATTTTCAATTTTGCTGTTACTCGCTGGTGTTGTAAAATCAGCCGTAGTAAATAGTTATTTGAATCCATTAACTGAGCCATGCTATGGAGCTGGAAATAGTAAAGTACGAGCTATAACAGTTGATAGTTTGCTAAGTGATTGCGGAGATTATGTTCTGTGTGTTAATGACATAACGGATCAAAAGGAAACGTGTCCATTTGATAATCCATATTTTGATGCTGAATCGGGTGAATGTGTTGATCATAGTGATGTCTGCTTCAAATGTCCCGGAACATATGAATTGATCTCGGTGCCAAATGCATGCCAACAATTCATTCTATGTTTCAACGGCAAACCATTGTTATCAGCCTGCCAAGGTAATTTAGTCTTTGACGGTCGTCCTGGAATACATCAGTGCAATTATGGACCCAGTGAATTACCTACTGAATGCTTCAGAGAAGATAAGGACGATTTTGAAAGTAAACCTTGTCCCAATGCGGCTGGCAAAGAACCCTTATTTGAGGCGTTTGATAATAAACCAGGGGTGTATGTTAAACTTTTTCCCGTCCTCATGTGTAAATTTTGAATGAATTTCTGTTTCTTTTTTACCTTTCAGCTACTATGTATGCTATGGAGACTCTAAGGTATTTCATATCAATATATTTTACAATAAAAAAAAGCTATTTTCAAAACATTTTTTTATCCTTCAGCCTTTGCGTCTCACATGCCCAATCGGATTAAAATTCAACAAAGACTTGGGTGCTTGTGACATTGAAACACATAAAACCGATTCGTTTCACAATTAAATATATTTAGCGAAATGTTTAAAATAAAAAACAAATTCATATATAGAAATCGAGGTCAGTTGACTGAATGGATTTTGGTTATGTGTTCCTGTATTGAAATTTACTTGACTGGTTTCATTTGCCAAAGTCCATCGTTCAAGTAATGACAGTTCTCGACGCCAACGCCTTTGTTTATTTTTGCTCTGTAAAATCAAAGAAATAAATAATAAATTATAGATTGACGATTTTAAACTGAATGAATAAAGTAATTTTCTCACATGTCTTCAGTTGAAAGTATCGTATATCCAATGGCGAGTGCATGTTTTTTGTCTTCGGCCATGATTGCGACCACCGTATGCTTATCGACTGGCGTCATACATGCGCCCGGCGATGTAAGACCCGGACACATAATATTCGCTCCGCTCAATACAAATCGTATTGCACCTTTGTCGACTTGTAGCATTGGCAAAAAGTATGGATATTTATGAAATAGTCGTAACGTTGGCATCCATTGTCCATCACGTTGTCGGAAAAATAACTGGTCGCCAGCACTGTTGATCAAAATTTCGATATGATCTTGACACTTAACAATCTTGAATGCATCCTTTTTCGGTAGAATTTGGTCGATATGTGTTTCAATATGCGGAAATTGTTCAAGTAATTTCGTGCGAATGCCTTTTTGTACGGACGATTTCAATTGTTGAGTGCCCGAAATGTTTTCTTTTTCATCAAATCTAAAACAGAACAGCGAAACAAATGGTCAATTAAAATTGCACCCAAAACGTGTGATTGCAATTTTAAAAATTTATTTCACCTGCAACACACTTACTTTTTGAACATTTTTACAGAAATTTTTATTCAGCTTGCGTGAAAAGTGCCTCTTATTTCTGTCCAATTTGCGGTTGGTGCTTTGACGTTTCAATTGACGACAATCTGTCAAATCAGAGTCGGCAAGAATCTAGTACATGCGCATTTTGAGGTTAAGTTTGATTGGAAAATTGAACCAAACCGAAATATATTGAAGTCAACGCAATTTTTTAATTTTTTTTTTTTTTTTTTGGAATTCAAAGCATTTTATTTACTCCAATTCAGATTCATGATAATACATTTTTTTGATGATAATATAATAATTCCAATATGAATTGCTACAACATGATTTCTTTGGTTTTCTCCTTTTTAAATCATTTTCATAAATATACATATACAATTTCCAACAACAATAAATGCAACAAATACAAATTCACTGGTCTTTTGTTCCTCTATAATTATTTCATATATATATATATATATATAATTGATAACAATTTGTAGAATCAAGGGTAAATGGCTGAAACACAGGCAATAATGATGATTTTTCAATTTTAATTAGATTTTGGTTTCGTTCTTGTATTTTTTTTTTTTCATCTTGGTTTGGAAGTCATTTGCGAGCACTATTTGCATTAAATTGGCTTAATTTCTTTATAAATTAGAATATTCACTGGCAGTCATTTATGGTTTCGATCATACAGAAGAAATAAAAAAAAACAGTGTATATTCAATAGTTAGTTGTTCAATTCACACAGCAGTCTCATGGTCAGTTTCTTCAATGCATCCCAAGCGCCATGAGTTTATATCACCAACTGAAAAAATGACAAAATTTTCGAATAAAAAAAAAACAATGAAAACATAAATACAAAAAAGACAAGAAGAGTATTCTGTAAAATTGAATGAGAGATGAGTCGAAACTAAAACAGAGATGATCTAAATAAATAATTAAATAGCAAAAGATGTAAGGAGTAGAGAGAAGAAAAGAGATTGGCCGGAGTTCACGAACTCACCATAATAATACTTTGATATTCTCGTAATGCCTGCACGTTAACACATAAAAAGGACAGTAAAAATATACACACATCATCAACGGAAATGGTTTTAAAAGAAGGAGAGCAAGAGAAAGAGTAAATAAAAGGATAGCGAAATAGATACAGCGTGGTTTTTTTTTATTTTATTAAATTTATAAATTGAAACAGAAAGCATTCACAATGTAAATCAAATTGGCAACACAAACGAAAAAAAATTATAATTACAAAACTGAATTGACTGACAAAATTCCGCGTAATTTTATTACTTTATTTTTTGTCATCAGCGACGACATTCGTCACCTTTAATTTTAGTACAATAATGAATTGATTGCAATTCGTAATTAAATAAATACATATCGTCGTTTCGAAAAAAAAGTCTATATCGCCTGATTAAAATTACACTGCCGAAATGTTACAATTTGTATCGTCGTTTGTCGAAACGAAAAAAAAAAAATATATTTATATTATTTATCAGTCGATCTATCTAAATATCTAGAGATAAGTTTACGTTGGTATCTGTTTGCATTTATGACATTATTTCTCTCGTTCTTCTAAATATTCGTCGCATTTATTCTAGATTTTAATTTTGATTTTCTTCTAAATTACAGTTTAGTCTAATTGAGACGTTGATGATTTGCTTTGCTTGTTGCAACTGAGAGCAATTTTGTAAATTTGTCAGAATGAAAGAGTCTCCATGACAATGAAAGAATGATTTGTTTTTTGTTTTGTATTATTTTGATGAGACTTATCTGGATCTATCATACATGACAGCCGATGAATACGAATTGAATTAATTGTTTCTCTTTTCATGATTATTATTATTAGAATAGGATATGATCTGGCAGATACTTTATATAAATACACAAAAAAATGTTACGGCATTGGTTTTTTTTCTCGGGGTTTTCACATTTCGATATTCAATACAATGAGCAACACACACCAACAAACATATAAATGAGCAATTCAACTTATTTCCTAATTAAATAGTATAAATTAGTAATTGATTTTGTTTGGACTCAAGCATGATTGGGTTTAAATGCATATATTCAACACGGAGACGTTTTATAATCATGATTTGATCTATGATTTGTTGAGAATGCTGATTGTTTCTGTAGCATATATGGCTTAGATTGGTGACGGCCTAGCAAGGGAACATGCTCATCTAAAGTAGTGTTGAATTCAATGGAAAAAAGAAGAAGAAGAAAAAAGACGAAAAATCAACAAAAAAGAATAATTTAACAATTATACATAACAATAATAATAAAATAACAAAAGAGCGCAAGCAATGAATTGATAAATTCAATCATCTTTGATATATTCCCATATCGGCTGTTTTTTGTAAAATAAATAAAATTTCATACTTGGCCCAATATAGCAATAGAGAGTTTACGTTTTCAGCAATTATTATTTCAAAAATGGTGGCAATCCAGTCAATAAGGGAATCAACTTAAATTTACTTATAATAACAAATTGCAATACGTTTACAGAATTAAGATTTGCGTGCGCTATATAGAAATGCTTATTCAAAAGAATACAGAATTTTTGTGGGCAGTACAGATAAGACACCAAACAAATATTTTACTTGTCAGGGTCTGGTGAATTTGGTATGGTTTTCTGGGCATTACCTTGTAATTGACGATTGATTAAGGCATTGATTCCTTGGTCATCGTTTCCGTTCATCTTGACTTGTAGCATTGGTTTATCTTCACTGCCACTCTCGTCGTACGACTGAATGTGACCGTTGCTATTAGAGAGCGTCTCACTCACCTTTTTTTTGTTTTAATACGAAGAAGAAGAAGTAGAAGAAGAAAAAGAAAAACCATAGATTAATATTTTCTAATGACAAATTCCATTTTGTGTTCCGTCTTACTTGCGTAACTTGCATCAATTTCTTTACGACATCTTTTGCGAGTATGTGATCGAATACCGTCCGCAAGAATGAATCATTGATTATGGATAATCTAAGTTTGTCACGATGCCATATAAGTACCCGAGATTCTTCCATTGCCATTATCGACACCTACAACGTAATAAAGAAAGCAAACACACACACACATTAGCATTTTATTCCATTTGTTTTTTCAATAAAATAAGACATTGGAAAGAAACTGAAACACAGAGAAAAAAAAACAAGTATTAGCGCCAATTTAACTGTTTTATTGCTTCGTCTTCTACTGTATTCCGGTAAAAATTGCAATAGAAACAGATTAGCGTTGACATTGTGTACATTGCAAAAATATGTGCGCGAACGAAGCATGTATGTAGTTCATACGACAATTTAGCGTAAACAACTCGATTTCATCGTGTTTAATATACAAGTAATTCACTTATAATTCGTATCATTTTGACGCACAGAGTAACCGCTCGAAGCGAATAAATGGAATTTGTTAAGTAAATGCCGTCAAATTATTGGTGGCAGAAAAATAAAGCTCAATGTCATTGTCAATTTTTTTCGATTAATTTTGATTTTGTTATGCTTGAAGCGTTTTAAACTGTGCGTCATTCGCATCAAACCATCAAATTCCATTAAAATGATTAGATTTTTCTCATCAATTTTGATTATAATTTATTATTATTGTCGGATTACTTTTTGTTACGATTTTTATCCAGATTCTTGCCATAATATTTAAACTGAAGCGTCTCTGATGTGAGAAGAAGTATAAAATAACATGGTTTTTCTACATGCAATCGCATTATTTGCTCGTTTCATTATGAGGTGCGAAAATTCAATTTTTCCTTTTTCTCTATTTATCTGATTTTCTTGTTTATGTTTGTCTATAGCATATTAGCTCAAGTTAGTGTCCATCATAAAGTAATAATTACCTGAAAAAAGTCATCGGTCGAGACGCCGAACCATTCAGGCGAGTCGAGAAATTGATGCTGGAATACAATGTGTAGGGCTCTTTGGTTTTGTGACACAACTAATCTGTATGCATGATCAGGTAAGGTAAGGAGAAAACAAGACAAAAATAAGACGACGTGTAAGAGAATGAGTGTGTAAAATTCTTGGATCCACGTGTGAAATGTATTTTGCGAAATTCGCTTTTTCGTATCGAAAATGTGATAATTATTCACACACACACACAGTCATAATGTGCAAAACGATTTTAAACAATGTAAACAATACTCACTTTCCGCTTAATACAAGCGACAGACTATCAACTTTGGTAACCTTCTCTTGTGCGTAAATCTCTTGATATTTGAGCAAACGAATCATCTTCATACAATTTAGTACTTTTTTGAATTGATGTCTAGAGACATTCAACGGTTTGAACAGCGCGACATACACCTAGAATAAAAAAACAACACACGAACACCAAGCAAAGCACAAAACACAAATGATTAAAGAGTTGGTATAAATGATAGACATGCAATTTAGCGACGACGACGACGTCGTCGCTTAAAATAGATAATTGTTCAATCGATTGAATTTTTGAGTATGTTTCTTTCTTTTTTTCAATATTTACCGCATCAATTTCCTTTTCAAACCGCACTGGCCTCATTTGATACATCAATACCAGCAAGTACATAAAATTGACGGCTAAAAAGAGGCCACTCCAAATGAGGGCGTCTAACGAACATTCGATTAGGTAACTCCACAATGTCAATAATATGCTGCCAACGACAAGAGAACAACGTGCCAATAAAAATCCATAGGATTTGTGTGGTGCAAGAAATGCAATTAAGAATAAGGCATTGGCCACTTGAAAGTAAACATCATTCACTTGTTGCCATTGTCCGCATTTATTTGCAAGCACATTACCAAATGTAAAACCACCGAATGTTGTGCTAAAATATTCGGTGAAACCGTCCGAAAACTGATTGGCATTTATGTTATTGGTATCAATATCACCGGTTGCCACTTTGATCACCTCTTCGGTTGTATTTGAAAATAGGTCGGATGGTGTTGGCGTTGTTTCTGCCATTTTTCCATTGAGCATTATGTCTCTCAAGACCGACCCAACAACACTTTCATTCATTAAAATTACTCGCACTTCATTTGCACTGTAATTCACCACAGACACTTCCACTTGATTGTTTTTTTTTGGTTGTTTGTTTGTTTATTTGCACAGTTTCAATATCTTCATTATCACTTCGATTGAACTTAGTGTAATATCGTTTCTTATCGTTTATCACCCCATCGTAATTTTATTTTTAAAATCAATTTGATGTACCACAAAATGGACTTTTGCAGCACAGTCTCAGCAACATGGATACAAACCAACAATTTTAATCTCTTGGATGTGCGATTAACGCGACGTCTCAATCTGAAATGACAAAAAGTTTGTTTTCAAGCATACAGAAACACTCAAGAGATTTCATTGTAGAGTTTATAACGACCACACAAAAGAGAGAAGAGAAAAAAAACGACACAATGAAATTCATATCTAATAATACAATAATAATGCAACTAATATGGTGAATCAGCCAGACCCCTATCTCTTGTTTTCTCACACGCGATATCATTGTTCACACAAACAAACCGCACAGCATTATACAAGCAGCCAGATTAAATCATTGAGTAAATAAAGCGTTTTATCGTTGCTATTTGATGAAATGGTCAATGGTAGCTTGGTTTTGAAGACGACTGACTAAAAACAACACTTTTCATTTCTGTTTGCATGATGTCATAACGCAGATCATTAACTCACACACACACGCACACATGCAGCCATCGTCTTAAATCCATCTGCTGAATGCCATACGAGTGCGACTTCCTTTGAAATGTTGGTGGCTTTAAACTTTGAAATTTGGCTTATTATTAAGTGCCATTGAGTTGCAAAGTAATGTAAATTGGTTGTCAAAGCAAAACAACCTACACACGTCCAATGACAAACCAAATTTAATCCAAAAATGGTGAAAAAACAAACAAACACACAATCTTTCCTAAGCGACGTTGTTGAACGTAAATCAAATTGAAACATGCATTTATACAGTAAACCCAACTCATTGAAAATGAATGAGATTTCGAAAACAAAAACACAATCGACACTGGAATAATATAGTGTACTTCAACGTATATGTTCTCGAACGCACTAGATATAATTTTTTTATTCATGTTTCTTTCACTTTCGTCCAATACATTTAACTCGTATGCAAATTGGTCGCTGAAAATAGATTCTTCATCCGTTCGAAAATAATTCTCTGATGGTAAAAAAAAACATGGTGATTTTCTAATTCAATTCTGTCCATGTTTTAAATGGAGATTTTTGTTTGAACACAATTTACAATCGCACACACACAGACCCACTTACAGTTCAGAAGCAAATATATTTATAGTGAAAAAAGTGCTGTTTCAATTTAAATTCACACATCAAACAATGCAAATACAAAAAAACAGACACATTCTGCAAGTATACTGCAAAACTTACAGTCGAAAAAAAAGCAGCACACGATGGTTCGAGGTAGAAATATGAATAAAAAAAAACTTTAGTTGACACACAAATTACCAATGTGTCGTATGGTCTGTGTTGAACAACAAGCAGCGTACACGGTAAATGAACCAAACATTTGGCCTGACGTATCGAAACTGCGAAAAAACACTTCAATCGAAACGATTACACTTTCGTTTTGAACCATAGTTAGTTTTCGTTCGTTTAACACATAAAATTGGCAAGAATATATGTACGCACACTTTGATGATGCGAATACGCGATGTTTGCCGTTGTGTGTGTATCATGTCAAAAAATGTGAATTTCGTACGATGAGCCGAAAGGGAACAATATGTGTTCTTTTTTATTTACATACGGCTCTTTCAACAGCTGGTTCAAACAAACAAATTAGGGATGAGTTCGTACTATCACTTTCTCACTTCGACTCAATCGCGCAATTTGTTGATTTGATACGCTTGTCTCGTTTCTTTTACTAGAATCATGTGAATGACATACACTAACACACACATAGATTTTTGTACAATCGAATCGCATGCAATCGGAACGCCATCTCTTTTTCGTTGTTTTAAACTATCGACGCTTTGAATAGAAACACACTCCAAACGACATCTATTTGATCGCTTATCTACGGGCCGATTTTAAAGTGACATTCACATCAAACGGTGTTTAAATCGTGAATGTTTGTTGGTAGGAGGAGTTTCACACGGTTTGATACAGTGTAAACACATGGTTCATCATCTCGCGGTGTCAAACAGGTTCGAAGAACAGTTTTTTTCGTCTGTTTTGGAGGCGCAAGTTCGTGCTGGTCACTTTGATGTGTCATGTATTTATTAAGGACAAGATTGATTTCGTGTCGGTAGAAAGACTTTGTGTCCGGCGGAATTGTTTGCTCGAAAAATCAGTTCGTTCAGTTCAAAATTGTGATGTTCGTTTGTTATTTTCAATATTTGACTTTCGCACCGAATAATTTCTACGTCATGTGTTGACAGTCAACTAAAATACCGATGATGTGGTTATGATCCAAACAAATTTAAAACTAATAAATTCTATTCGATATTAAAAGTATTCGTAAACAGTTCAGCGATGAGAAAATAAACATTTTTGTTTTACAAAATGACGTTTGTTATTGGTAGATTTGAGTTTGATGTTTTTTTTTTTTAACTTTGGTTAATATCATTCTCATACGCTTTCTATTTAATGTTTCCTTTTCCTAAGGTGTCACTCGTCTCTCTGTGGTCGGATCGTTCAAGTGTATCCATATCCGTTTTTCTACTTTTGCCGGCTCTTTTGGTCCGTAACATAAACGAAGTCAAGTGGACGCCAAACAGAGACCTCCTTGCTGAAAAACATTCATAGTTTTTGGTTTTGCGGTAACGAAATAAAGGGTAATCATAATGTCATTAACTAAAAGTCTTTAACGTTTCATATTGCCACTTTAATTCAAATTTTTATTTTATTCCAATTTCTTCTCTGGTTACACTTTTATTTATTATGAATTCTACGACACAACAGTAATTTTCTTTTGCGCAGAACGAACCAAATTCATTGCCCTCCAAAAGAAGTCTATCAATATGTGTTCTTCTTCAGACTGTTTCATTACAAAATTATGTTGTGCACCACAAGAGGTATATTCAATGAAAGTGCATTATCTTGAGTCAGATAACGTTCATCATAAATCAGATCGGCACATGCCCAATGTGATAATTGTTTATTGTCAAAGATGATATATGAGTCTTCTTGTTCTAATGTTGACGAAATAAACGGTCTTATTTACGATTTATTTGAATTCAAGTATTCGCTTCAATCCCAAATAAGATGTTTTGTTTGAATTCAAGTGGGTGCTATTGTGGTTTATCTTTTTTTTTCTTGTTTATTCAAAAGGATCTGTAATTTCAAACATTAAACAGATCAATTTTGTTTTATATTTTACAGAGTTAATGAATACATTTCATTCATCCTCAAACGCAATGGAAGTGTCTGCATCAGGATGTGATTTTGACAACAAAAATTATCTGCCGTCTAATTTTCCAATCAAAAATTTGCCATTCACATTTCCCAATCACCGTTTGTGATTTATAACTTCCTAATGGATTGCGTATTGGCAAAGCGGAAGGAGTAAAGTGTAGACAAGCATTTCCCTTCAAAAAATTATCTGTATGTATGACATTGATTTTTATGCACTGAGTTAAAATGACGATTTTCCCGTCTCTTTTCGGCAAGACCATAAATTTTCAAATCATTCAATTTGTTTGTTAATTTAAAAATATCCTTCTGCTGCAAGTTCACAGCGATTACATTCAATGAACGGAACAACACAATATTAAATCCGGAATGGGTGACTTAGAAACATAAACCGATACGCAAATGTACACAATGTTTTGCATGCATTTTGCTCATTTGCAGCCGTTGGCGTTGTATGCCAAACTCCGGCAGTCGAAAAACTCTTTCCGAGCAGAACGGTCTCTCACGAGAGTATAGATGGTGATTTGTTTATGTTTAAATTAATGCACAAAAGAGAGGGAGTGACAGAGAAAAAGGGAGAGAGCGAGAGAGAAAGAAAGAAGAGTGGACATGCCGCCACACAATGTGCTCTCGTCTGGAAACATTTGATGTTGTTTATGCATGTATATAAACAATATTGGCCCCGAGTACGTTAGAACGATCGGCAATCATACGAGATACAAAGAGAACATTGTACACACACAGAGCGTATGTGTATAACGTATACAACTTGTTCGAGTTTTATTGAAAAGGAGAGTAAATATAAGAGCGAGAATAATGTAACGAACGAACCGAATCCCGTTCGATGACGGAGTTGATCTGTTGATTTAGTCAGTATTTGACTGTGGTTGGGAGTAGTTCGTTTGATTGAAACGGCCTTACCCATATTATTATTGTTTTCATTTTTCGTTTATTTTCTTTTATTAATTTCGATCGCTCGTACATTTGCACAACAACGGACTTAGTGATCTTGATAATATTTTTCGAAGTGTTAAAAAAAAGTAATTAAAGCTTGACAAAAAGGAAAATATTCATAAAACGTCATAAAAAGCGTGCTTTTTAAACGAAATCACTTCCATCAGCGCGAGAAATTTGTTTTTTTTTAGAGAGACTGCAATCAATTTGCCTTTTGCCGGACTTTATTAGCTTGATTGGGGTTTTTTCATCGCTTTTGCGCCTCACTCACAATTGATAGCACTTTGTTGTGGATGCGAAATGATATTGAAGTGAATAAAGTGCAAAACTTGTTCTTGTCACTGCTGTTGTCGTCGTTGTTATTGAATCTATCACGAATAAACCTTGATCGATGTCGTTTTTTTTCTTATTAAAGTGAAGCTTTGAAATTCGAAGATTATCTATTCGTGAAATAAGTGAAAACAAAAAAAAAAACAAAAATTCCAAAAGTGCATTAACTGAAATGAGTTCTTGTGAAGAAATTCCAATGAAACTGTGTAGAAAATAAAGAGGTACATTTTTCCGTTGAAAAGTAAATAAATTTGAAAATTAATTTGAAAAGTCTACGCCAAAAATAGGTTTAATGATCTGTGTGCATATATACATTTAACGTATCCATACGAATTCAATATGCAAAGAACAATTGAAGTTGAATGATCGAGAGTAAAACAGCAAGTGTGTTCATTGAAAGCATTAATTAAAACATGTTGGCTCCGAAAAAGGGTGAATTCACTTCACTCGGGAAATATTCAAATGTGATTTGTGCATTAAGTGTTGTGATCAGTGTTTGTTTGCTGAATGGATGCATACAGAATAGCGTAGCTGCTGAAGCGGAAATTAGTTCTTCGCCGGAACATATTGAAAAATCGTGCACCGAAAAATGCCCAGATCAAGTAAGTTCACATTTTTGTTGGCTGTTCTTTCATCAAACATTCGTGTTGTTGTGTGTATGTGAATTGGTTTTAGTGGCCGCCGACGTTGAAAATAAAAAAAAACGTCAGCATTTCAAATGAGGGTCCGAATTTTGTTTTTTTGGTACTTTTCACATAATGGCAAATTCACTCCAGTTAACAGTTCTCAAGAGATCGAATTAACGGGCGAGAGACGAAAAAATATATAATAATAACAATATTGACATTTTCTGTCGTTCTTTCACATGTGATCATGGTTGTGTGTTCGAATTCAAACACATATTGTTTGGTTTGCCTTTTGAATTCTAATTGATTCAATTAGATGTGAAGAAGAAAAAAAGGCGGCTTTGTTATTTCGTTGATGCCGATTCAAAACCATTTCATTTGGAATTTGTTGTGCATTATACATTCACCGTTCAATAAATCCCCAGCAATCTTTCAGTTGACGCGTATTTTTATGGCGTATGAAATATTTCAATGCAATATATTGATCACACTCAAGAATTTATATGGGCAATTGTCATTTTGCAGTGTGACTGATTGTAAGTGTGTGTGTGTGCTGCTGCTATTATGTGCCCAACGCTCACTGACTTTGACCAATTCACTATTCAAAACAAAACAAAACAAAGAGAAATTGTCATTTATCTAGATAAAACAGGTCAGATCTGTAATTGTTCGCAGCAAAATACATTTTTATTCCCACAATAAAACCATGGCGCTTTCATACAATTTTATTCCGTTTTGTTCTTTAATATATTTTTGCAAAAAAAACATTTTCGCCTTGATCAATCGCGAAAAATTCTATCAATGCTGATGTTTTCTGAATGCATTCACTGAATGAATTGAATAATTGACAGTTAGCTGAATGGGAACTGTGTGTGTGTGTGTGTGTTCTTTTTTCGTCAGTCGGAGTTAAGCGAGTCTGAAATCAATATGGTTCGGAAGTTGTGTTATTATGGATTCAGTTAAGTTACGCAGAATGATTCTCTCAAACCGCATGCTTGTGTGTATATTTTCGAAACGTATGTGTGCGGCTGTGAGATAGAGTGGCACAGAGAGCTGCAAATCAGCGATCATATAACAACCGAAATCAACTCGTTCACAAAGTGAGCACACATTTACACTGAACATACAGTTCATTCGTTGGCTGCGCCAATTTTCACTAGATCATAAAACTAGAGCAAATAAGGTATTTGTCATCTCGTTTTTAAACAAGTGACTACAGCACTTTTTTGTATTATATACAACCATAAATTGACACATTAATTCAAATTTACAAGCCGTGCTGATCATCGTTGTGATGCAATTTGAACATTTTTCAGCACCGAATAGTTCTAGCCATTTTGTAGTTTTATCCTCATTTCGATTAGACACACATTTTAATAACGTAGCTCAAATGTTAACGCATTCATATGTTAATAAGTCGATTGCGAGCTGTGGAAGAAAATAGCGGAACAAAAAGACACACATATACACATAAAAAAAACTGGTAACCTTTTGATAACCAAATCGTTGACCTTTTTTCCCCACACACAAAACAACCCAATGTAAAAATAATAAATGAACGCGCTTACAAATTTATTTTTGTAAATACTGGCTAATCATCGATAGCACGAGAAAATCAAAGAAATAGTTACTGTTGTTACACGCAGAGTACACAAAGTAATTTTTACGATGTTCACTTTGATATGGAATGTTGTTTGTTCTATGCTAGATGATTTGAATATTTTGACACATTTCATGGAAGAAAACTCGTGACTTCGCATGAGACACGCACATCGACAGATCGACGCACGTCGATGAGGGATCAATTTTCGCGCGTCAATTGTCAATCATATTAATTTGCGTTTTATATAATTCATTTGCGACAGACATTCGCCAATAAATATTTTGCAAAACATGATTATTTATGTCGAGTAATTATTCAACAACAGTGTCACGGAATCGAAAAGCAACTACAATCGCAACTGAAAACTCATTACCTTTGTCGCGTTTCGCATGTACTGATAATATTTGCGTTCAAGAGTTTCGAGTAAATTTAACGTATATCTCCTATGCTGACATTGAAATCTTGCCTCGTTGGACAGCTTATTTTCGTGAATGATCATAATTTCTTTTTTCGTCGAATCACTCAAATCTTAGACGCTTTTATTAATCGTGATGAAAAACTGATCAAATCGTTTTGCTGAATTTGAAAACCGGGCTACAAAAACAAGTAATCACTATGGATTCAAATAGCTGGTTTAACATTTTTGTAGATTTTTTTTATAAACAGCATTTTTTTTACACGAACGCATTAAGTGATCAGCAGAATATCAAGTTTGTGATCAATTTTAATCTTAACAATAATAAATGAAAATCAATATTGTTTATTCAATCGCAAAAATTGCAAAATTCGCTGCAAATTTTATTTTCGAAGAAACAATATACGTTGACATGTGTTAATTATTCGCTCATTTGAAGGTAGAATTTGTTTGTTTAAAAAATAAACATTTTTCGGGAGTGTCCCTCAAAATTTTATAGGTAAAAAAGAACGCAAACCATATCTCCAAATTTTGTTTCGTCTGTGGTCACAAAATACAATGCTCATTTTGTTCTGCACCCTTCCAAGTCGCGTTTCATCCGTATTGAAATATGGTGCACAGCATTGTGATTATTATTTGTGTCTAAAGTAAATCTTCCGGTCGCAAAATGGCTTTCATATGAAAAAAATATATCTATCTTTGTGCGAGTTGTGAAGCGCAAATGATATTTTTGCATCGACAATTTGAATATTTAATATGTGAGGATTAACAATGAAAATTTCTCATGATGCTGCTGCACATTTGTTTGACACACATGATATGTGATTAATATGTCAAAATGATCAACAAAAATTCACGATAAAAATATGTGATTTTTTTTTCTTGATGTTCATTCATAAATTTTGTTGGACATGCACCAGCAGCAAACCGATGGAAAAAAGTGTGCGTTTTTATCTAATGAGCATCGAGTGCATCACACTTTACGTTATTTTCCGAATGAATTGTTTTCTAACGACTGACTTGTGCCAGTTGTAGCGTGTGTATGTATGTAATAATTTAAATGACTGTTATGGTTAGATGCTGCTATTGCCGCCGCCGCCGTCTCTCAATAGATTTTGTTGCTAACATCTCTCTCAGATGTGGTACAATTCAGTTAAAATAATAGAGGAGTAGAAAAAACTCATCATCATCATTCATCTGAATTTTCAAAGCGAAAACATTGAACAGTGTGGCCGTTGATTTTTGCGTTTCCACTTCCGAACATGTCTGTGTGCATATATAACACATCGGCCGTACTATTTGTTTCAATTATCTCATTACATTTCATCAGACCGGGCGTTTTTAAAGCTGTTCATGCCAATGCTGTCGCTGCTGCTGCAGAATTTTCTCTCCCTTTTCTATCAATGTGGTCGTTTTTGTGTAGCATATTTCACTGTAGCTAATGTTTATAATAACAAAAACTGAACAGTGGTCAAACGCAGCATGAATTCGAAAAAATTCGACCGTTTTATGTATTTATATTTGAATGAAGGTTGAAAATTTCGCCGCGGAAGAACCAATTAACAGGGCTTCATATGTATGTGTTAAATTAAAATCATTTAAGTTTTTTTATTCAGTCTTCGTTCCAATGACTTTACTGTATTGCGCAAAGTGAAAAAAGAGCATGCCATTGAGACATACTCGCCTCACTTCCCTCGCCATGCATGCAATTCATAATTAGTTTTTGGAATGGAAAAACTGCTGTTGTCAATCTTTAGAAATCGAGATAAGGGCCACAGAAGCAATAAAAACAAAGCAAAATTTGTAAAAACCAATTATCCACACTTCCCCTTAAACTGTCGAATCGGTCACGCTTGTCACTAATTTATGTATAGGAATTGCTTCCTCAGACGGTCGCTTCAATGCGTTGTCACTTTACCGGATATTCATTCTATAGCAGTATGAGCAACAAGTGACCACGACCATAATTGTTGATTTTTTGAAACAATTTTTTCCTCTCTTAATTGCTTATTTGTTAATTTCTTCTCTTTCTATTCCAGAATCAAAATGCTTCGAATAGTGCGGAGTGCATGGATAAATGTGGCCAGAATCAGGTAAGCATACAGGCATATTATTTATTTATTTAAAAGAAAGAAATGCTGTTTGTGCCGTTTTTTAAAAAGTTGCTGAATGCATGAAACCATAAAGAATAATTCTGGGTACAGAAAAAAAAGAACACGTGGGGATTTCGCCAATAATAAAATGATCAAACATGAATGAATATTTTCATAGCGCGTAAACTTCACTTACATATTTATAAAAAACACATATTTATTGTACAACAATGGGTATATCTCTCTCTATGTGTGTGGTTTTGTGCGTTACGCGACGATGCGTACTTCCGGCACACAAGAGAAATTACAATAAACGCATTAATATCAGGTGAATTCATGCAAACATTTTGTGTACGTTATATTGTCTGTACGAGAATGGCTTTTTACTCATTATTGTCCGTCTATACTGTGTATTTCATTCTTTTTTCAAATTTCATTACATCTCTGGGGGTTCCGCTGCTATCATTCGATATTAAATTGCACTTGGTATTGATGTATAATTAATATTTATTTATTTTTATAGCGATATTTCATAGATTGTATGGACGTTTATGGAAAAAGTGTAATGAACCACTTGTCGATAATGAGGAAGAAGTTTTACAAAACAATTTTTTTTAAAATAACAATAAAAACTTGTCTATGCTATTTGCAGAGATCAACTTTCTTCTTTAATATTTTAGAACAATCCTGATAAAGCCGTACACTGCCTTTACTATCAAAGTTCAAGAGACTATCACATTGAAAATAGTATCAATTTGTTTGGATTAAACATGAGTCTATGGAACTAGTTTGTACGATGAATAACCACAAAACAACATTTCAGTTACGAAAAGGAGCAAAAAATACTGAACGTATGACAAAAACAATGAAATAAAGGTTTTTTTTCGTTGTTTTGCTTCGAAAGTTTAGAAGTAAATTTACAGTTGATTGTGAAGGCTGAAAATTTTTTGGAATTTCGGGTCGATACAGATAACATCAGGTCATCATCGCCGCATCAATTTAGATGATAGTTTTTTTTTGTTCATTAACTGTATTTCATAATTCAATGGCAGCATTCACTTGTTGTTCATTTATTAGTCTATGAAATATTGGATTTAATCAATAAGTAAGTGGGAGTTTTTAACTGAGATGATGTAATTGAATATTTCAAGATGTGTTCGATTCGGGTTTGAAAAGGTCACCATCGTTTTTCAAAACCAGTTAAAGTTCAACACTATTTCTATTATCTAGATTAATAAAATGGAAGCAGGTTTCGGAATTCCGTAAAATGAGGGTTCTATGATTTATGAATGGTAATTCTATTTGCGGCCAAGATTTCTTATGGCCACATACAAATGGTACATACTTCGATCAACATTTTTGAAATCATAATTTAAAAACGCCTGCGCTTTCCGGACTCTTCATTTCGCTTATTGACTACGCTCTTATGACTATTTAATGGCAAAAACTAATAAAAATTCACAACGGCGCAACACACACACATAATTTCAAGTAGTACCAATTTCAAACGGTACATTTTATAGTTTCAAAACAAAGAAAAATGCCACTTCCAATGCGTTGAACTGCACTGTTCCAGATGATCAGCATCGCACTGAATTCTATCGTATGTGTGTGTATGCGATTCCATTTGCCAGAGCAGTGAAGTGCGCAGAGCATCGTTAATAATAAACACGCACATAAATTTAAGTTTAAAATCAGTTTAAGCGATGCGAACGAAATATGAGCAGCTCGATTCTTCACTCATATGAGTATAAGACGCGTTGAATTTTGTTCGAATGGACATTTTTTTTGTATTATGCCTTTTTTCCAGCTTTATTGTGAATTTAGCGGGTCAACATTGATGGCAATATGAATACACATGACATTTATTCATTTCATGTGCAGATTATTATTCATATAACATTTTTGTTGAACAGTTGTTTGACGAATTTCATTGGCTTTTTGTTTAACATAAGCTGACTCAAGTTTAACGCAACTGACAGTCATTTTGATACACTTGAACGCAAACTATGCGTGTGCAATTTGATATTTACAAGAGGGTTTCTTTTGATCAAATAATTCATTGTTTTTCTAATATTTTTTTTTCGGGGATGTGTTTTTTTGGATTGAAAGTAAAGAAGGGAAATGGTGCTTAGAAATGACTTCACTTTTATGCATTAGGCACAAAAACAATTATTTGTGGAAAGGAAGAAAAAGTGAAACACATTCATTAAAATATCAACCCACTTGAACACATCAGATCGATCTTAAATGTTACCCGAAATTCATTAAAAAAACCCGCATTTGTTCAGTTTTTTGTTCACGGATACTTACTTCTAATGCAGAAGCATTAGATTCCGTTAGTTGATAGCATTCTTCCTTTTTTTAGCCCTTCAATTTTTCCAACATCATGGAGTTCCTCAACCTTTTTATTTGCTCATTTCCTTTTTTGATGTGCATTATAGTGCAGCTAATAAATAATTCTTCTTCAATTAAAATATCTTCCTTTTTTTACATCTTTCGTGCATTATTATAAAAGTTGATTTGGTTTAAAATTCCAACTTTTCTCTTCCGAGCACAAGCTATTCGATGACATAAAATGCTTCTTATGCTGCAATCATACAATGAATGCACGTGTTCTGTGAGCATAATAATAACAATAATTATAAGTCTCGTGCTCGTGCTGCATAAATTCTATCTGTCCATGCATTTGTTGTATGCGCACACATTTAATTGGTGGTATTACATGATCTTCTTTTCCGTATTTTCTCCCTTTTAACGTGTACCAAGCGTCATGATTTCATGTGTACATCAGAAAGTCGTTGAAATGGAGCCAATCAACAAGACTCTTAGCGGAAAGATGGTCTTTTTGATTAAACCATTTACTACATACACTTAAAACAAGAATGCAATATCAAGAGAAATCGATCAATGGAATATGGCCAATTTCCTTTCATAAAGGAATTTTCATATAAACGAATAAAATTTAAAATAATGAAAGTAGCAGCAAAAAAATGAATCGTTGAAATCAATGGCGATCATAAAAAAAGAGTAGAATTTTTAATGGTTTCATTTCAGTAGCAACGACATGTTGCAGTGTTTTTTTTATGGTTTTCACAGCATTTGGATGATTTGTTTTATGATCGAGCGAAATTATATTCCAGTCGCCATATGTTGGAGTGTGTTATAATTTAATGAGGATCGTGCGCGTATTCTTACAAAACAACTTGTACTTTGACATTGTAGAATTTGGAACGTCTCTTTTTCTTGTTTGTTTTAATTTCTAATACAATAAAAATTCGACCATTTCCATTTGTGATATTTTTTCGTAGTGTGCAGCTGGATGTAGACTGTGGGAATTGGCGCTCGATACGTCATGTAAGGTGGCATGTGTAAGTAAATTTGTGGTTTTTCATATGTTTTCGTCTCTTTATTTCGATTCGTCACCAAAAATCTTATTATTAGTTTCAAAATTTCATAATTCAAAGAGCTAAATATAGAAAATATTATTTTTTTTATTTATTCATCCAGAATACAACGGATCCTGATGTTGAAGACTGGTATTGTGTAATGGGCTGTAACAATGCCATTTCTCAGTACTTCAAGTGGCTCATGGGTAAGATATAAATCAAATTTTTCGCTTTTTTTATGTGCGACGAATTAAAATTGTATAGCAAACAGTGAAAGTCATTTTGTCATTTTAAGAACTGAATAAAACAACAAAATATTAAGAAATAATAAGCTTAATTCTGACAAGCGATTGAAATAATGGATTTGTATGTATTTTGTAGCCGAAATCGGAACACCGCCAGCTCCGGCTCTTTTGGCTGACTCATTGACGTCAACATCGCTGTCGCTGGAATGGGAAATTCCGGAGAATTTAGCAGAAATTATGAAAAGACGACGAAATGTTTTACGAAATTATTTGGTGCAATGGCGCTATGAAGAAAGTGGAAACGATTGGAAGTACTATCGAAATCAGAGTATGGAAGACAGTTCGACGATTCAAGTCGAAAATCTTCAACCGTACACAAAATATCGGGTAGGTTTTGAATTGAAAAATAAGTGTTTTGATAAGAGTTGTGCTACTTAATTTACGTCAAAATGGGCATCAGTACATTTTTATAGTTTAAATTCCTATAATTTCATATCGCTTCTGAATTTCCTCAAAAAATGTTTGTATTTTACTTTACAGTTCCGCGTCGCATTGATATTGTCGTCATTTCGTGAGATAGAATTGTATTCGGAGCAAAGTTTGGTGATCATAACAGCTGAAGAAGGTCCACCACAATCGGAGCCAGATATTGTGAGAGCCGTTGCAGTCGATCATACCAGAATATCAATAGCATGGGAACCGGGGCTACTGAAAAACGGACCAATTCTATTTTACGTGCTGCAGATCAAAGAATCACATCGAGACACTTATTTTGCAATCAAGGTTCAGAACTTAGCAATTTCTGTGCACTTTTTCATGTTTTCTGTATACACTTTTCTTTCTAGTCTCCTTGCTGCACAATTTGTACTGATTTGCACTTGTTCGTCATGATGAATTGATTAGTCAATGATTCAGTGCCCTTCTCTCTCTCTTATCGAGCGCTGAATCAATAAAATCAATTACTTTGAAATAAATTCAGTTATGGTGATATAACTGACAGCGACGTATTTGTTTAAATGTGAAAAAAAAACAGCCAGCTCCAGCTTAAGCATCAATTTTAATTGCATTTGATTAAATGCAACTAGATCAAGCGGCAACATATTTCACTAGATTTGCTATCACATTGTACTTTGGAATCGCTACACTTTCTTACGTCACTTGCCCCGGCAATGACATAAGCAATTGAAATGATACACATTCAAAGTATAAATATCAATTTATCTGCACTAACACTTTTGATTAACCTCACTATCACACCATACCGCATACACTCATTAACCCCGATACAAATTATATTATGTTTTATGCTTGGGTTTTGTGTCCATTTTATTTTATGTTTATTTGTTGCATGCGTGCATGATAATAGCTTTAAATCACATCTTTCCAATTGCTTTTTCTAATTGACATTGCTGTTCGGTCGGTTTGATTTAATGTTTTAAACTTTTTACTGTTTCACTCAGGACATACCGAATGAACAACAAGAGATTTTGATTGGAAATTTACAACCGTCCACAAACTATACGGTGGAAATAATGATGCGAAATAAAGGTGGCGTTGGACCACCGGCCAGTGTGAATGTTACAACAACCGAAAAACCAGAAGTTCGTCATGATGACGAAACACTCAAACTAATCATCGCATCGGATTTTCAAATTTTGATGCAAGGATTGAGATTCTTCTACGAAATACCAAATTTTATTTACAACAGCAGCGAACCAATTACCGGCATCGGAATACATGTTGCAAAAAAATTGCTTTTTATCACCGATACGTACAATATTTATAGGTATGGACCTTTTATTTGTATTTTTCATCAAACGTTTTTTCGCTTAGAGATTGAACAGAAAAAAATATATGAATTTTTACAAATTATTTTCAGAGCACCACTGAGCAACTCTACATTAGAATCACGTGTGCGTATTTATTCAACAGAAAATACGAATCAAGTTCCATTGGTATTGTCTGTGGATTGGTTGAATGATAAACTCTACATTTTATTCGAGAGTGATACTATGGTAAATAACAACAAATTGGTGTCTTTTCCAAACTGGCACCGTCGCTGACATTATTAGTGTTCATTATTCGTATTTTTTTTAAAAACAGAATCAAAAAGGTTGGCAAATCTCTCGTTGTAATATTGATGGTAGCCATTTACAAGTTGTGTACGGTGGACTTCCATCGAAACCGGTTCATTTTCAAGTGGATCCATTCAATGGGTGCGTATCATTTGCACAATTGTTACAATTGAACCAAATGATTGGCAAAATTAATTTTATCACTTTTTCTTTCTTTCTTTTTCTCGCCTTCCCTTCCCTTCGTGTCAAATTGCAGATATTTATTTTGGTCGTTTAGTAGCAGTAGTAAAAGTGACGGTGGTCTATATCGCTTAGATTTAAGCGATGTATCGAATGGTGTAAAACATGAAATCGAGCCAACACGTATATTCAATCACCATGATATCGGTGTATTTACAATCGACTACACCAAATACAATATCTTGGCGCCAATCGACGAGCTCAATACTGTAATGTCAATGGATTTGAATGGTGATAACTATAAAGACATTCGAAACAACACCCAAACACCAATGTTTCGTTCGGTCAAATCGTTTGCATTGGCCAATGATGATTTATTTTATTGGTCAAATGGTTCGGTTATTCTAACAGAAGATTATCATGAATTGAGCGATCATTATTACACTAGTATTTACAAAGAGTTTGCGCAGCTGAAACATTTTATATATGTTGGCATGAAATTGCCATCAGCTCAACCGACGCCTAAGCCATTGAATCCGCCGAGTAATGTGCAGGCGCTGTTGAGTGTTGATCGGGCTAAGGTATCGTGGCGTATTCCGCACCTTTTGAGTATTCAAGGTCGAGGCGCATGGCAAGATTGGACCTACAAACTGGAAGTCATCGATGAAGAAAACAGCGACACAAATCAAACATTGAAAGGAATTAAAACGACTCACTACACAGTGTCCGATTTGAAGCCGGATACAAAGTATCGATTTCGTGTTACCGCCTACACAAATGCCGGTTCAGGTCCTTATAGCGTTGAGTACATGGGCCAGACATTGAAAAAAGCGGACAATCGTGAAATAGTTTGGTCATCGCACGATGGGCTCATTCAAAGCGACATATTGGCCGAGAACGTGCATACATTGATTCCGCAACCAACACTAAACGCATGCAACATCTCCAATCTCGAATGGTTCGAAGATATTTTATACTATGTTTGTGGCAATTTATTGTATTCATTTAATCGAACCACAAACGATACAAAAAAGTTGGATGTCAAAGATTCAGTGCAAGCGATTGCTGTTGATTGGATCGGTCGCCGTTTATATTGGTTCAATCCATTACATCAGGTGCTCACTCGTGGCAATCTCATCAATTTCGAATCGGAAATTTTATTCGCATTAACTGCCGTTGAAGTTGACATTAAAATCGATGCAATTCGAGGTTATTTGTACTTTTCAACTGGAAATTCGGTGGAATATTGTCGTTTAAATTGCAACGATAAAAACCGAAAAAAGTTCTATACTATTGAATCGTTTACTGGACGAAAAGTGATGGGTTTGACATTGGATTTTGATATAAATCGAGTTTATTGGATTATTCGCGGTTATGAGTCAGCAACGTTGGCGATTGCACCATTGATTTATGATGAATACAGCACCGTTGTGATAGAAGAATTTATATTGACCGAAAATAAAATTCTGGGACCATTGGCTTATCTGAGCAATCGATTAATGTGGCTTCAAGATGATCATACGATTGTTGTTGGCAATTTGACCGGCAAAAATTTGGCACACATTAAAAATATCGAATTGAGCGATTTGAGAGCATTTCTAGTCATCGATAAGACACAACGAAATATTCCCGATTTGGATGAACCATTGAATGTTATTCCTGAAGCGGTAAATGCATCGACCATTCATGTGACAGGCAAATGGAATTTCTTTACAATCATTTGGCAACCCATCGAATCAGTGAATTACGGGGAAGTTTCGTATGAAATTCGATATTTGAATCAAACAGTCGTTGAAAAAAGACCGTTTCTCGAAATTAAAGACGATAAAATACCAGCTCACAGCCAATTGAATGTAACAATAAAGGCGTTTACATACTGGGCATCATCGGTGGCGGTTAAGAAAATTGTGTATTCACCATCGGCACCGCCATCCGAACCATTGGAACCACGTCTTTTTGTCAACCACGTGCATAATCCATTGAAGGATGATTTGGATATTGATGTGATCTTTCGATGGAATACGCCGAAATCAGTTAATGGGCCGCTAATTGGCTATAAAATACAATGTTGGTATGTAAAAGACAATATCCATCACGAGAAGTACAATGATTATGAAATGCAACCCGAAAAAAATGAGAAATACATCGAAAAAGTGGAGAAAAATGCCACATTTTATTGTAAAGTAAGAGCTGAAACACGTGCCGGCGTTGGAAATTATTCATCATTGATAAGTATCAATACGCAAAATGAGAAGCCAATACCGCAACTCTTTGCCACCAGTAATGATAAAATTTATATCGTTGACTTTGATTTAAAGCTCCATAAGTCAAATGTAAATGCCGGCAGCAAAGTGGAACATTTGTGTTACATTGCATTGAACAAAGAGTTCTTTTGGGCCAATGAAAACAACGAACTAATGGCATTCAGCCGAGACGGTCGCAAGAAATTGTATTCGATGAATACACCGGTGCTATCATTGACGGTTGATTGGATCGAACGAATTGTTTACTGGTCACAGTCCGAATCCAAAGGAAGTTCGATCAATTCGTTCAATTTGAATACGCAGAAATCGAAACGTATTCTAAAATCGCCGCATTTCATTATCAATTTGAATGTGGCTCCGTTAAACCGTCAACTCTTTTGGATCGACAGTGAATCGGACATTTCAAATCGCGGCAAATTGGTTTCGCTTCATTTGGACGATGAACAATCTTCGGCATTTCTTGGCTCGAAAAATGAATCAATTTTAGTGACACAACAAACATTATTTCTTGATACATTCACGGTAGACCACGAAAAAGTCGTATGGCTCAGTGAAATCAATCAATTGATGTCAACCGATATTCGAACGAGAGCATCGACCGTCGTCAATTTTACATATCAACCGAATATGATGAATTTTAATCGCGATAGTGCTCGCATTTATTGGACACAGAATAACATTACCTTTGCCGAAAATCAATTGGAACAAGCACCGTACCAGCACACTTTCTTCTATCCAATGAAAATCTTACCGATTTTCCGACAGAATTATCCACCGCTTCGTTGTTTGCTGCCACCAAAATACTTTTATCAAATAGCAAGACTCGTCGTTCATAAGTCCACTGATCGAGCATTGTGGCTTAATTTACCAGTGCCAAAAGGTGTCGATAACTGCTCATTCGTACCAATGTTTTGGAAATTTAGAATCATGTACGCTGAATTGGAAAATGAAGAGCCACAACGTTGTTCGCTGGATATATGCAATTCCACCGAAACAAGTGATAAATTGATTGAAATTAACAATCTTAAGCCGTATACCAAATATCAATTTCAAATAAGCATAAGCAATTATTACACGGAAAATTTGAATATGAGCGTATTTTTTACGCGGCCTTTGGTGTTTCAAACAGAAACCGGTGCACCGTCAAGCCCGAGAAATGTCACGACACAAAATGTGAGTCCAACTGAAATCCATCTTAGCTGGTTGCCACCACTTGAGATGAATGGGCCGGAAATTCAGTATGAGGTCCACTATTCCACCGAAAATGAAATCAACGGAAAGAAAAATCAATTCAAAATGACTGTCAAAGGTAAGAGCAAGCGATAATTTCAACTAATTTTCACCGAATTTTAATCGTTTCATTTCTCTATCAGGTGAGAACGTAACTTCAATTAACATAAATGAATTGCTGCCAAATCAGCCGTATATCGTATGGGTGCAGGCGCACACAACTGAAATTCTGTACAGTGAAAGTCCTCATTTGAAAATAAAAACACTGCCCGATCCGGAAATGATTAAATTAATTTCATCAACCTCAAAATCTTTGACGGTTGAATGGGAGCCGTACGCAAACGCTTCAAGATATGTGATGCTTTGTCGTCCAATCGAATACAATGATTCTTTTGCTGAGCTCATTCTTGATTCTGCGCACGAAATAAATAATACGAACAGCCAACGAACTGGAAACAAAGTAACCGTTTTAAAATTGCATCCAAAATCTCGGTATGTTTATTGGTTACAATTTTGGTTTAAAAACCGCGTTGATGCATATACTTGGCCACAAAAAGAGCGTTTTGTATTTGAAACGCATACGGATCGACCGAGTGCACCAGGCAAACCAAGCACCATGATTCGAAACAATGAGTATGAGGTGACTTGGACACCGGCCGACAGTAATGGCGCCAAAATCGAAGAATACATCTTAGAAGGTCTTCGAGTGCGTGCTCTCAACCGGGCCGTACGTTCAACCAATTCGATTGAAAACCACAATCAAGCAAATACTTTAATTGAGCTGCGACAGACGATTAATGAATCAAAACCAATCGCAGACTCATGGATCGTGTACTACAAAGGCAATGATACATTTTGGAAAGTGGAAGGTTTGACCGACATTGCAATGTATTCGTTCCGAGTCAAAGCACGAAATGCGAATGGTTGGGGCGAATATAGCGCACTGAGCGAACGAATTACAGACATTCCACCGCTTTCAACAAATAGTGAACAACTTGTGATTGCTGTAGCCGCACCGGCGTTGATTGCCATTTTAATTGTTACATTTAGCTGCTTCGTTTGTGGTGAGTCTTTAAACACATTTTTTTTCATTTCATCAGTCCAATAATATGTCGATTTTTAGCCTCGCGACGCAAACAATCCAAACAATCGGACAAAAAGAATTTCTCCGACGTGAACGTCGAATTGGCCACATTACCACATTTACCACGAAGCACAACATTTGTACAAAGCAACAATATACTGTACACTTTTGGTCCGATCACCGACGGCGACGTTGCTCTATTGCCACAAATTCGCAGCGATCAAATTACGCGAACTAATTTCCTTGGCAGCGGTGCATTCGGTGAGGTATATGAAGGATTCTTGGGTCATATTGATACCGAACCAAAAACACGAGTGGCAATTAAGACACTTCGAAAAGGTGCGACACAACAAGAGAAAGATGAATTCCTGCAAGAAGCACAACTGATGAGCAACTTTAAGCATAAACACATTCTCAGCTTGATCGGCGTCTGCTTTGACAATGACACATTTTATATTATCATGGAATTGATGCAAGGCGGTGATTTGCTTAGCTTTTTGCGACAAAATCGACCGTGTGACGTGAGTTTTTTATTTAATTTCTCCATTTATTTGGAAATTTATTGAAACTATTTTTTTAGGTAATGGCATCGGCTTTAACCTTATTGGATTTAACAACAATGTGCGTGGACATTGCATCTGGTTGCCGATACTTGGAGGAAATGCATTTTGTACATCGTGATTTGGCTTGCCGTAATTGCTTGGTGTCCTCGATTGATCCAGAAAATCGTGTTGTGAAAATCGGTGATTTTGGGTTGGCTCGAGATATTTACAAAAATGATTACTATCGCAAAGATGGCGAAGGACTGTTACCCGTTCGCTGGATGTCGCCAGAGAGCTTAGTTGATGGAGTTTTCACATCACAATCAGACATTTGGGCTTTTGGTATGCTGGAATTTTTTTCACATAAAAAAAATATGTTTTGTAATTATTTTTAATGCTCGACAGGCGTGTTGTGCTGGGAAATCATGACGTTAGGACAACAACCATATCCAGCGCGTAATAATGTTGAAGTTTTACATTATGTACGTGATGGCGGCCGATTAGACAGACCAATGAATTGTCCAGATGATTTGTAAGTCGATCGAAATTTATTTCGAGCAATCTTTTGATTTCAATGAAAACCCTAATTTCAGATACCAATTGATGCTCAAATGTTGGAGTTATCGACCAGAAGAGCGTCCAACATTCCGATACTGTTTAGATATTTTGCAGAGTTTACGCACCAAATTCGATGACATTCGCATCAATTTGGAGAATGCAAATCGAAATTTTGCCGGTAAGACACTTCGAATTCTTATGGTTTCATTCAAATCATTTCTAATCAAAACATACTCCATTTTCATCATATAATGTGGTTTCATTGTGATTATATCAAAATTGTTGCGTTTGTATTTTTTGTCTATAAAACCGTTTGTTGTCCATTCATTCGATTAAAAACACACAAAAAATCCTTTTCAATTTCGTCTTCTCAGGTGGAATATTTAATCGATCGTATTTATTAGCCGACGAAAATCATAATCATACAAAAGGTAATACAAACACCGTGTTTTGTTATGTCTAGTATATGCATGTTTGTAGTAACATTTCATTCGCCTTGCATATTTCGTCAGTTGTAATTGTTTAATATATACATGTTCGTAATATTGATTTCATTTTTCAGATGTTGTAAAATACGTGAACACACCGATCGCATCAGAGATGTATTCAGTGCCGAAAGGTATAAATTCAATGCCAAAGTATTTAGAAATTATTTATGATGCAAACGATGATCAACCACAACCACCGAATCCATATGAAATTCCATTGCCCGCGTTAGATGAAAATGAAATTGTGCACACGAGCAGTCCAACGCCGAGTGAAAAAAGCAGTAACAAAAGCACCGAATTTGATTCAATCAAATCCGATGCAAACAAAGAAATTAAAGTGAAGAGTCGAACAGTATCAAGTTCATCAACGGTTAGTGAAACCAGTGTGTACAATACAAGTAAAAAGAGAGAAGCGTTAAATGTACAACCGGAAGATGATGATTTGTCGGAAACAAATGCTATTCTGAATGTTGCCCTACCCAAACAAACAAGCAATGAACAATTACTGCCACCGCCCCCACCACCGCCGATACAACAACAAACACACGATAATAGCAAACGTAAGTTGAAGCAAATGTACGCAAATGCAAATATTGAAAGCGCAATACGCAATTGTGATGGTATCACATCGATGTGAAACTCAAAAAAAAAAAAACATTAGAATTAAGGTCAATCTTTTATTTAGCAAAGAAAAAAAACTCCCAGTGAGTGAAACTTTCTTGTGAAAACAATTTTTAGAACCAAAAACAAATTAATAATAAATGTCTTTTATTTTAATAAATATTTCAAATTTTGAAGCAAAAAAAATCACGAGAAAATCTCTTGCAGAATGCAAAATAAATGTATTCAAAATAAATAAAAAATATTCGTACAAATCCAGTGAATCTAAATACAAGAGAAATTTAACTCGTCGCATGTCAAAATATCAATAAAATCGTAAATATGATAATAAGACTAAATACACGATAGAATCCCAATTCTTTTTTTTAAATTTAATTGAACAAGACTTTTATCGACTAAGTTTTCCATCAATTCATATATACGTAATTTTAATCGACAGATATGTTTATAATTGAGAAATTAGATAATAAACAAAAAATCAAATAAAATATATATAAATATACGCCTTAGCCCAAAGTACGTATGTGTCATTGTGAAATAATAATCCGTTCAAACTAATTACGGCAGGAAAAAAACTGCACTTCAATTTATTATTCAATTATAGAAGCAACCATGGTTATTTTTTTCTCGCATTTTTTGGAGGGATTTTTAATTTGCAATGACTCATATGCAGAAATGTCTTTATATTAAAGACATTTATTTATATAGAGAAAATTATGAAACATACTTTTAGAGATTCTGTTGTAATAAGATTTTGATGATCAATTACATTAATAACAAAAACATGTCCGAATGTGTTTTATAAAATGTTCCATTTATTTTTTTGTTTGTATATAATAATTACAGGTGTAGAAAATAAGGTAAATTTTGTTGCGATGTGTACTCGAGCCAAGTGATAATGATGAATATCAATTAATCATTTTCTTCTTTTCAATTACGTACATTGAAACGTAAAACAGACGACAAACTAAAATAAACAAAACACGTCAATATCTGAATATACTAAAAATAACAGCATTTGATCGCATTAATTCAATGTACTTTCAAAAGAAAAATTATTTCAATTTTATTTCTTTGAAAATTCGAGCATAGTAACTAAACTGAATGTGATTTTTAAAAAAAGCTATAAATTTTACAATCAGCACCATGAATTGTTTGAACATGTTTTACCTTTCGAAAAAAAATGCCTCATGTAAGTATTGGCAGAAAATTATTCTCTAAATCTTAATTTTAAGATAAATAAAACTGAACATTTAAAATGTTGGGAAAAAAAGATTACATCCAAAATGATATCAAAAATGTTCATAAATATGAAATACAAATGGCTTCAGTTCTACGCTTGTTCTGTGTTCTCATTTTATATAAATTTTCTAATCGCACCAAAATATTTTTGTATCCGAAATTTATAAAAACAACTTCCGCACTAATTTTATTTTGTACGATCTAATATTAGACTTTGTCTACAAGTTTATCAACAACGGTTCTATCCTTTTCCCGTTCTCTTTCAATATCAATTTGATCCAATTGCCGATTTGATGTTTTTATATTCGATTTGGGTGATGTGGGTGTATATCCATATAGAAATATTGCAGCGATTACAAGAAAGGCACCAATTGCAAATTGAATGGTCAAATTGAAATCGAATAAGTAAATTGAGGCAACACATGAAATGATGATTGACAATGACGTAGCGAAACCCTTAAGGATGTTATCGGCATATTTCACCACCAATGCGACAAGTAATCCACCGCCGGCTTGCAATACAACTAAATATCCAACGTATAGATCGTATCCGTGGAAAAATCCGTTTGTCAAAATTTTGTGGAAATCAGTTAACATGCATGTGCCAATACCGAGTGGAATGCTAAGCAAACTCATTTGTACATTTCGCATCCACACCGAAATATCAGAACCTTTCAGCATTTTTTCAAAGAAAATCCCAGCAAAACCGGATAAAACGCATGCACCAAGCGCGGCACTAAAACCAATAAAACGATTTTGATGCGATTCGTGAGCCGACGGTGCCTTCTTATCGTCCGCTAATTGAACCATTGCCACACCGGCTATCAAAAATAATAACGATCCCCATTGTGTGACGAGCAATTTTTTGCGCAATATTATTACCGCGAATATTGCCGTAGTCAAAATTTTCAATTGGTAGCTGACCTGAAAATGAAAAAAAATATACATATTTGTTTTATATGTTTGAGCATATGTTAATTCAGTTCTGTAAACATGAACGAATTACAAGTAAAAAAAATTAGTAAATGTTTATAAATACGAACCTGATACGTGGCCGCGTCCAAGTGTGAAGCGGATAAGTATAATAAATTGTTTTGTATCACATACAATAATGATGGCACACACACTTTCACAGTGTCCATTGTATTTTCGATGATCGTTTTGCGTAATGCTTTTCCGAATTTCAATGCATTTCCCTCTTCAAAGTACACAAGCACCAGGCATGTTATTAATTTTGTCAACTCTGACATTACCACAGCTGAAATATTAACGTTTTCGATTTAAAAAAAAAAGTGTCATTAGTCGAGATTAGATTAGAAACGGATTTTGTAAAATGATGTCGTGTAATTTTTTTCTAATTATATCCGTTTATCCAATTACATCTTCTTCTTAAAAATGAAACTATACTCATACCTGTCGAGCTGTAAAAGAGGTCATCGGATTTGACTCGTGTCCGTCCGTATCGCATACTCAGGCCCAATATTGCATTTTGCAGCGTTAGTGTTATTAAACTAACATACTTCAATGTATTTTTATTCTCTTTTGGTGTCGAATCGGCCATATCACAGGTGATGTCCAGAAATAATGTCCAATGGAAAGATATATTCAATAATGTATCAGACGATGTGTAAACAATGCACAATTAAATGTGTTTCAATTTCAACGCTACTTTGATTTGTTTTCGTAAAATTATGTTTGGCTCAAGTTGTACGAGAGTACATCGTTTTATGTTGAACTATAGACAAACTCATTATCACACTATGTACAATATCTCCCTGAATTTTCAAAATAAAAAAAAGACTTCAACTACTCACTTTGTATCATCATTATGAATGAATGCGACCAACAGTATCGCAAAAAAGAGGCCTATTCTATTTCCTATCAAAAACTAAAAATAGTGATAAGATTTAATACGTCGTCAATCGCTGCCTGCACGAATAACACAATAGTCTCTAAGCAATCGGTTTCAAAAAAAAAATGTTTGTCGGCAAGACGGACACATATCGCATATCTTTTAACAATAAACTGATACTAAGTGTGAATCAATGAACTTGCGTCCGTATTCGTCTTACACACACAATATAGAATTCACTTTTTGGATACGTTGACATAGCCATTTGACATTTCAATCACTGTCGTTGGCAACAATTTATGTCAAATATTTTTCACATTATTCATACATAAAATAAATTCCATGTGAATATGTCTAATTTGAGAATTTGGTTCGAATTGTCAGCAGTAGATGGCGTTAACTACATGCATTCGTTAACCGGTCTTTTACATATTTTGAAGAGTTTACCCATTTCATCAATGAATTTTAGCGAGGGTTGAGATATCAAAAAATTATTTGTCACAAAAACTTATCAGACTTTTGTATGATTAAATACTTACTTTTTAATGCTGATAATAATGCTTCGTTCAGATATATCAGATTTGTCTTATGCACATAGAAATCATATGAACTGTATCGTTCAGAATAAAATATTTTTTTCGCAACACTATTTTTTACGGTTTTGCAATTCAGTTTCTAACTTCCTACAATCAGCGAAAGAGTATCGTGCTTATCATTCTTACTAACTTGTTTGAGTTTAATACAAAGTTGGTGACAATTATTCAAATTGAATAAATGTAAACATAACAAGATATTCGGAACATTTACCGTAAATACATTTTCCGGAACGAATGTTTTCCCGCAAATTCGGAAAATCTTCGTGAAATGTGTTCGTTCAAGAAAAAGTTTGTTCATTATCTGAAAATAATATATTCTTTCGTTGACAAATTGTTGATTAAAAAAATCCGTTAATCTTTTTCTTATCATTTTTTTTAAACGTTGAAATGTCACTGAAAATAGAAATTACAAATCACCAACACATTGTCCTATTTTATGCTAATGTTAATAATCGTATACGAACTTTGGCTCCAAAATGAGATATTCTTTCGACACAAAAAATGAAATGTACAAATCTTTCTTTTCATTATTCTTGTTTGAGTTTTCAAGAGAAAAACATTTTAGCGTTTAATTATGATTAGCGATTAATTAATTTAAATCGAGAGACAAACCAAAACGGCAAAGTGTTCAAAATGGAAAATCCAAACATTTCTTATTGTGATATACTCAAGTGTCTTCTGTCATACTTTTGCGATTTAAAATTTATTGGATTAGTATTGGCTTGGTTGGCAGTAATCGGTTTTTGCCAATATGTATTTCAAAGCGCAACAGCTACATATATCTGTGCAGTTTTATATGGTAAAACAATCGAAACATCATAAGACTACATTCAATTAAAATGATTGCGTTAAATTTTAGCAATCGGATTTTTTCTCAGAGTTTGTTGGCTTTCTGGAATTAATGAGGTGAAACAAATTCTTAAATAAAAGTGGCGAAATTCACATAATTGTATATTATTTTTCATTTTAATAGAACCGACCAGGTTTTTTGATTGCAAATGTTGTTAACAGTGCCTTTGGGATCATTATTTTGTACATTTGTGTGATTTGGCTATTTTTTGTTTTGAAAGCTAAAGATGAGCAAAAATGTGAAGCCAACATTTTTCTTTTGGTTTGCCTAATTTATTCAGGTAACGAATTTAGTCAAAAAAGTTTGTAATATTTAACTTATTTAATTTAATAAATTTTTAGTTATTATGACTTACATTTGGACCCTGATATATTCGAAATATAAAAAAAGCAGAGATACTCTTGGATCGACTGGCCATGAAGAATCGTCAGCATGATCATTACACTTTACTCGAATGAAATGAATATAAATAAATTTTCAATCATATTTGAACCAAAAATGTAACTCAAATTCGTTGAAATTGAATAAATTTATACAGATTTTGGTGAACGTTTCAATGTTATTCATGTGATTATCATCAGCTGCGAACACAATCATTGAAATTGATTATGTTAATCTATTCATTTTCCTTCATTGGAACCTGTTTTCATATTGAGCAAAACAGAAATGTTTGGCGTGACATTTATCCTAAAATACTGTATTTCATCCGAAAAGAAAAATGTCCTTACTCATACATACAATATCTAAATTAACTGAATTTTTCAGCAAACGAATGAATTCCAGTGAATTCTACGGCGATTTCATTCAAATATGTGAGATAGTGGTGAATAGTTTCTGCTGGCAATTACTGCAATATTTATATTTTATATTGTTACACGTGTAACGAAATTGTAAATGTTTTTTATATTTTTTTAATAAAAATTAATTTTATTTTCAATTTTGAGCGATTTTCTATCGAAAACAATCGGAAATATTGAAAAAATAATAAATTAAAAAATATTGCGGTTATCATAACCTCACTTTATTATTTTGACACATTTCATTCTATTCACACAAATTCACCGAACTCATCAATAACTCGATTCAAAAGTGTGAATTTACATGAATTCCTGTGAATTTTTTTGCCGTATTAAGCCCCTAGGATAAAGCGGATAAAGAATGCATATTGGAAGAAATGCATAATGATTTTTTTCTTTTTTATTTGAATGGTTTTCCAGATTCGTTCAATTGAAATTATTGCTATTTTCAAATTTCAGGATTATTCCTAAGAGTTTGTTGTCTTTATGGTAATGAGGTAAACAATAATTAGCATTCAATTGTTAATTTTACTCAATTGTTTGGTTCTATTAATTTTTGATATTTTTTGGCAGGAGGTGCTCGCAGTCAATAAGAATGTATTGTGACGTCAAATATCTTACACAAAAACGCCATCTCTGTAAAACAGGTTAACTACAATGTAAAAGTATAACGAGGGGAAGGAGATGAAGAAGAAGGGGAAACAGATATACGTTTGATTTTCATTTTAGTAAGCGCGTTTTACATAGATGGTGTTATAAGTGTCTGTCCAAATTGCGCTTGCCCTTTGTTTTTTGGAGAGTTTTTCTTTTCTATTTAATTTATGAAAAGTATTTTGTCTTAAGTATCACCTTTCAGAGCCATCTACTTCAATTCAATCAATGCTAATTAGTGGCCAAAATGGCCGTTGCAGTTACTAATTACTAATTAGGCCAATAACCGAAATCCAGTGCATTGCACGATGAAACCGCCTTCAAACAAAGTAAGAATATTTCAGTCATAAATTGTGCATGAACAGAAGCAGTCGCTCAGCTCCGACTATTTGCACATTTAAAAAAATCAACATAAAAACATCAATTTTTTTGTTCAAAAGTGTGCATAAAGAATAATAGCAATGAAGACACCACCGATAGAAGCATCACCGGTTCAATGCACCTCAGGAACCAAAAGTGATGATGACGATTTTATAATATTTGAGGATGATAGCCCAAAAGAAGTTCGTATTGGTCGATTCATCAAAGTAAAACCAAATATTGTCAAAAATCGTTACAACCGCAAATTATTCGAAACAAAAGATGATTTTATTTCATTTGAGGATGACATCGAAACATGTTTTAAACGATATGTTTCTTCAGATGATGAATCCGATGATAAAAGTGTTATCGAAACTGCAAAAAACAGCGAAATTGTTACCAAGGTTGATAAAAAAGACGATAAGACAACTCGACCGGATTCTGGTTTTATCGAAAAAAAGGTAACGTTTAATCTACGTCCAACGGTACATGAGATGCGTGTTTGGCAATTCGCATATTCGGAGGCTCGCAAAAGCATTTGGGAGCAAGTGGGACGCGATCGAGTTCGATTCCAAGCAAGAATCAACAAACTGTCAAACAAGTTGACACCGATTTTGAATGCCGCTTTTCGTCAGAAGATTTATGAACAACGATTCCATGATGAACAATAAAAATTCATCATACAACACAACATACCACACAACATAACTCATACCAAACACAAAACAGACCCTGTGAGAAATAAATGCATGATAGAATATAATATACTAATTAAGGCAGTATTTTAAACGATTTTTATACAATTTAAACCACTTTTCATCAATGGACGCACATCAACTTCATTTCATTTTAACTACAGTAACTAATATTAAACTTTTTGTACCATCTAATGAATTATTGTAATTTTCCCGACTATTTTGTTGGATTTTTTCTACTCGAATAACAACAGAAGCAAAATAATCTTTCAAAAAAATAAATCATAAAAAGAAATTTTCGTTTTTTTCTTCATTTTTTCAGTTCAAGATCAATCAAAGACCAATTGTGCTATTTAATTCAGCAAAAATTTGAATAACGTGCCAAAGATACAATGATTTTTTACAAGAATAATACTAATTTCGCCATATTTCAATAAATTTCATGAAACGCATGGAATGCGAAAATAGGCATGTCATGTTTCATTAAATCGACAAGGTACCTTAACCTTTTACAGACAAAAAAAGAATAGAAACACCAATTCATCATATACAATATTAAATGCCTTTGACATTTATTCAATATAATCATACATGTATGCAATTAAATAGACTTTTTTGTGAATGGGTTACAAATATGTGTGAAAAAGAGGCGTATTACAAAAAAAAACGAATAAATTTGGAATGAATGGTGGTCGATGTTCAATATTTCATTCGGTTTAAATGTTTACTCTTCAAATTTATTTTGGTTGTGTTGATCTTTTGCCTTTTGACGATTATAAAACTCTTCTTGAAGCTCGCGTAGATTTAATTCCAATGTTTCAACCTGAAAATGTACGATTTGGTGAAACAATGGAAATGGTGAACCATGACAAAATATTATTAAATTACCTCTTCGAATCGAAGTGCTTCACGTGCTTGTTTCACATAGCCTTTGATAATATTTATTTGTTCAACTAGAGGATCGTTCATTGAGCTACTTGTATCTAGCGCTTGTAATCCACTCCAATTGTCCAGAGATTTTAAAGCCATCTGAAATCAAAATAAACACCATCGATTTAGTTTCATTTTCCGGCAGTATTATAAAAACAATGACCGAAAATAATTACCCCGCTAGCACCTTTGTCAGTTTGTGACTTGAAAACTGGCACTGTCCCACCGACCAATTCACTTCTCTCGATGGCTTCCATTGCCAGCCGCCGTTCACGTTCAATTTTCATTTCAGTTTCCATTCGTCGTTTGTCTTGCAATCGTTGGATGTCATCCTCCAGCGGCAATGGGCTTAGCGTCAATAAATCATCTTTGATATACTTAATACATGCTAAGCGAATTGCTTTCTTCAATGCTTCTTCTCTACTTCCGGCCGCACATTGTAAACTTAAAATGGATTTACTGTACGCGTCAATTAATTCGGCAGTTCGGCCAATTTTGGCGCGTAAGGCACTTGCATCGGACAAGGTGTAAATCGAATCGCCTTCATACAGTCGATCGATTATCTTTTCGTACATTTTTGTATCCGGTGCGATGTCACGTTTTAGTTGTTCAATCTTTTCATAGTAGAGCGTGACCGGCGGTCGAAACGTTCGGCTGTCTTGCATCTCTTTGCGATTATTTAATAGATGTAAGCAATGCTCACATATTCGAAATGGTTCGTCGGGTTTTTTGTTGTCAACTGGCATCGCGGTGGTTGGTGAGAACGAGGGATTTACAATTCCAGCTGGGGGACGAAAAATCAGAAAATTCGTTTAAAAAATAGATAGAATCTTCTGAAAAATGATGAAATGAAGTAATTACAAGCTTCGCTCAAGTCGAGAAACAGCGAACAATCGTGACACATAATCGAACCACACAGTCTGCAATGATGTTGACGTCTCGTTAAATAAAATCGTTTTACACAATTTGGACATAGTTTAACAGCCTCACCATCTAACCACGGGACAATCTGGAGAAAAAATTTCATTATTTTATTTCAATGGGCGTTTATTTGCATTAAAATCGATTTTTTTTTTGTTTACACAAACTATAGAAGTAATCAAAGACTATAATTACACTTTTCTCGTGATTTCTTCGCTGTGATTGATCGCTTGGCAAATCAGTCAGTAGCTTATGAAGGCGAATAATCAGTTTATTTGTTTCAGTCGCATATCGCTCAAGACGCGGTGTTCGAATTGCACGAAAGTATGAGATATGACTGCAATCAACGCCAACATCTTGTGGATAAACAGGTGCCGGAATATTTAATTTACCCGGTTGAAATGCGCTGGCAGTCTGATTATTTGGTGAGATTCCATCATCGAATCGTGTTATTTTATTTTTTGCCGATATGAAAATATCTTTGAAAGCTTTCAATAAATCTTGATCGTCTTCGGAGTGTGTATCAAAATGGGCGGTCAATCTGTCCGGTGAACGAAAATCGGCCTTGCATATCGGACACAAAAAACCTTCCATCACTTCTTCTTTCTCGTCGAATGCATCACCAAATGGATTTGACATTTTTGTTTTGTTAGAAAAAAAAACGGCAAAAACTAGTTTCTCAAATTCTTTTTCAACAAGGTGAAGGTGGAAAATTTGCGTCACTATTTTTGATATTTATTTTATCAATTCATTCCACTTTTTATGACTATCACAGTTTGATGCTAAGCAATTGTTTATTTAATTTATTCACTAAAACACGAAAAACTCTACAAAAATAAATCGCAAATACATTGATAAAAATCAGTGCAATTCTTTTCGGATGAATGTTTTCGTGGAATACAGCAAAAATTGTTTCTCTTAGTGTATACATGAAATGTGAATCAACAATAGCAAAAAAAAAGTGACGGAATTTGACGTTTCGTAGTGACGTTTATTTTCGGGCTGCGTACAGCGTACACACCATCGTTGTCCATTCAACGAAAGAGCGCAATAGTGAATGCGGCTTTGAATTCGAATGTAACAGTACGTGCAATATGTTTACAGTAGCTATACTTTCCATATGCGTACATCTACATTACGTTCGTATGTTTTATTTTGATCCTGTTGTTCGCTTTGTCTTGTCTCTGCCGTATTGTATTTTGTATATTCGTTTTTGTTGCTGTTCGGTGTTGTTGTTTCTTTTCAAAGTTCAGTCTTGTCTGTATCAGATTCTATTCGTGAATTTTATTTGAAGTTACTATCTCTGCTTTGCGGCAATATAAACAAGAGCACATAGCGGCACAGAGTTCTCACTCTCACTCTCAAGTTTTGCTCGTATTTCATACAATCGTATGGGCATACACGCACAATCTCAAGTGGCCATATGTGTGGCTTGCTACACAACAAGCTCAATTTTTTTCTCACCCATTTTGTACTACAAGTTAACGATCGAATAAATTAAATTGGTTTTATAATGTAATAATAGCGCTCAGTCGATTTTCGTATGGCAAACAGACTGAAAGCAGACGCTCTATCGGTGCGCGCGTTCTCTATCACTCGGACATTGAATATATTTTGTGATTTTTTTTACTTCGTATCTTGTGGTTCGATATTTTTTTTAAATTCTTTTTACGTATTGTTTATCGCAATTATAGAAACAGAGTGAATTTGGTGAATAATCAAGGTCATTTGAAATTTAATGCAGGAAGACGGGGAGACATTTTTCGATACGAAATCAATGTAGTTAAAATAACGAATAAATTTGAATATTAGTTTTGAAGCGCATTTCTCGTGAGTGCTGTAAAATTGTTCAGTGTGGGTGGCAGTCAAAACTAAGCTGCAAATATATAACAAAAAAACAAATACATACACACAGTGATTACGCGACAAATTCTAAAATTTGTCTAGAAAATAAACTATATATAAATATTTGGTAATTAAATAATAATAAAAAAAGAACGGCGAAGAGGTGACGACAACAACCAGCCACCAGACATACATAGTAAAAAAAGAAAAAAAAACCGCAAACACAAAACTATGACACATATTTATATCGATGTGCCAATTTCGGCGCCGAGCGCTCCAGCCATTGAAACCAATGTGCACGGTGGGTCAAATGTAAATGTGGTACCAACAACGCTCATTGAAATGACATTGAGTGCCGAAAATTTAATTAACGCTGACGTTCTATCGAAAAGCGATCCATATTGTGTGATTCAAATAAAAGAGGAATCATGGCAAGAAAAATACTGCGAAATTGGTCGTACGGAAATCATAAAAGATAATTTGAATCCAGAATGGGTGAAAAAATTCTTAATCAATTTTAATTTCGAGACTGTACAAAAGATACGGTTCGAGGTATGGGATCACGATACAAACGGAAACGATTTTCTCGGTGAATACGAAACAACATTAGCGGACATCGTATCAAATTCGGGGCGACAATTTAAAGGCAAATTAAATCACAAAAGTGCTCGTAATGCGGGCCATATTATTATTGTTACAGAGGAAGTGGCCGCATGTAAGAAAAATATTCAAATTGAATTTCATGCAAAGCATCTTGAAAAAAAATCATGGTTTGTACGAAACGATCCGTATCTGGTACTGTATCGGTCGAACGAAAACGACGGTAGTTCGTCGATAGTTGCTCGTACCGAAGTCGCGCCATCCACACAAAATCCCAAGTGGGATAAAATAACGACAAAAGTGCGCACTTTGTGTAACGGCGACTATGAGCGAAGCATCAAAATTGAATGCTATGACAATAGGTCGAACGGGGATCACAAGCTAATTGGCACGTGTCATACATGTTTGAATAAATTGTCGAAAGGCCCTGGCGATGATAATATCTATGCATTACGAAATCCGAAAAAACAACACAAGAAAGAACATTCCGGTTTCCTTGAATTGATCAGCATCAGTATTTCGGATGAAGTTTCGTTTTTGGACTACATTCGTGCTGGCACGCAAGTACATTTTGCGGTTGCCATTGATTTTACAGCATCAAATAAACCAGCAACCGATCCACAATCGTTACACTACCTCAGTCCACAACGCCCAAATAGCTATGAAATTGCATTAAAAAGTGTGTTTGATATTATTTCACATTATGACACAAGTAATATGTATCCGGCATTTGGTGAGTGTTGTTGATTGTGTGATGGAAACCATACATGATAATTGGAAATAATCCAAATATTTTTTTTACTGAAAATAGTTTACATATGATAACTACAATAAAATTCATTCCGCTTCGTTTGTGTAGGTTTTGGCGCAAAATTGCCTCCATCAAATGAAGTATCACATCAATTTCCACTGAACGACAATGTTGACCATCCATACTGTTCGAGCATCGAAGAAATCATGGTTCATTATCGTCGACAATTAAACACCGTACAATTGTTTGGACCTTGCAATTTCTCACCCGTAATCACAATTTCTGCTCGCCCAAATGAAAATGTTATTTATACAATATTGTTGTTAATTGCAGGTCATAAATAACACCATTTCAATTGCCAAACAATATCAAGATGGAAAGCATTACTTTGTTTTGCTTATTATAACTGATGGAATTATTTCGGACATAAAGCATACCATTAACGCTATCATCGACGCATCAAAATTGCCAATTTCAATCATTATAGGTAAAAAAAGACCAAGTCATTGATGTATTTATCCGACTATATCGATTTTTTCTCATTTCTGTCAGTGGGAGTTGGTGACGCAGACTTTGGTGCAATGGATGAGCTCGATTCAGACGACTGTCGCCTATCGATAAATGGTCGAACAGCCGAACGCGATATTGTGCAATTTGTGCCGTTGAATCAATTTTTAACCGGTCAACATGTACGATGTCAAGCTGATTTAGGAAAAGCTGTTCTGGCCGAAATTCCCGATCAAATCACTGGCTTTATGAAATCCAAAGGTTTCAAACCAAATCTACCAACCGACAATTCAGACGTTAAATAAGAGAGAAACATGAACAAATTGATTGACATAATATTATATTAATAAATTAGAGAGTAGAGCAAAAATATACAATTATTAAGCGTTATTGGTCGGGTCAATCGAAATATATTGAAAGAATTTAATCGATGTGCATTTAACTAATGGCCTTTAATTGTTTCATACCAAATAAAAAGTCTATATTATTCTATAATATATTTTAATCGATGGACACACACCCATACAATCACACACGTCTATATTTACAAAATGTAGGAATTAGAGTGGATTTAATGAATACAAATTAATATTGAACGAATGTCATTTTGTCGAATTTCCATTGTTATGCATGCAAATACATATATTATATTTTTTCATAGCATAAGATATAACTCGATTTTAAATCATTTTAAATCACGTCATTTATTTGTATTAATAGTTATTGTTGTTTCTCTCGCTTCGTTACAAAATGTATTCTTTTTCTTTGGAATAAATATTTACTACATTATATTCAAGCCAATACATCCTATCGTCTTGTGTTTTCCTTCACCATTTAATGTTGAGTGCGGTGCTCATCTTTTCGACGGCATGATAGTTTGTGTGGAGCAGTGTGCTAGCTTTATCGCTATCTGTGCCGTCCAAAAACTGATTGTAGATGTGTTCGGTGCCTTGATTTTCGACACTTGATTGTGGTAGTTTTTCATAGAATTCCATGAGCTGTGCTGTCATTTCGCGAACACTATCGCCACCGTCGGGCCGAATTTGTGCACCGCCATTCAAACAACCAGATGGACATGCCATCACTTCGACATAATGATAAGTTGATTTGCCGCGTTTAAGTTTCTGTACGAGATTTTGAATGTTTCGAAAGCCATTCGCAATGGCAAAACACAACACTACTTTTCCGTCATGTTCAAGTGATACTTCTCTGAAATCTGGATTTCTCAGCGCTTTAAATTCCACGTTGTCAATCGTTTCATTGAATAATTCTTTGGCAGCATGCTTAAAAATATGCTCAGCATAGCCGCCCGAACCAGAACTCTCATAACCATACACAGAATGTGTTGGTGTTTCGGTTTTCCAAGGCCAATCCATAGAAATTTTATTTTCGTCAAGTAATTGTACACCTTCACCGCTCAACATTTGTTCGATTTCAATTGATGTTATGACACAATCAACGTCTCGTGCATTAATGGCTTCGTTAAAGAAATCTTCACGTGATGCTTCAAGTTTTTTGTCATAGCATGGCATTACAGTCACATGATAGATTCTATCAGCGCCAATGTTCAACTGTTGCGATAAATACTGTTTCACAAGCATGCCCATGATTTGTTGTGGCGATCGAGTGGTCGACACATATGGTAAGATAAAATTGCCATGTGTTTTTTCCGCATAACAAACCCAGCCCGGACACGTTGAACTTAACATTGGCAAAACATTTTCGGTTTTGGCACCCTCATCACTTAGAACGATGGATTTGTAACGCTCTAAAAATTCATTTCGACTTTCAATCAACGATAAATCGTCAGCGATTTTTGTGTTCACCACCAAATCGGCACCCAAACGCTTTAAGTATCCGGTAAGACGTTGTGCTATTTCTTCCATGTCTGTGGAACCGTATTTATAAGCCAGCGATAAAATCGACTGTTGTGAAACCGTAAAAACGACCGTTTTTACTTGATCATCGTTGCCAGCCGCTTTGTTTACATTATTCTCTTTCAACACTTTCAATACCTCTTCTTGACTTTGTTGCGTAATTAAAACGCCTTCGGCCGATGTGATGCAGCCCGAACACGCCAAACAATCGCCCAATGTGATTTCGACTTTTTGCAATTTTGGCGGACGACTCAAATCCACACCTTCTTCGCTTATTGTTATTCTTGAGCCAGTTTTGGTTTTGCCTTTCTTGATTTCAACGGGTTTAATGCATTCCTGAGACGGTGTTATGAAATCATCCAAATTTGTGAGCTGCAATGCTCCGCTAAATCGTGACATTTTCTATTTAGTCTGTCTTTTGCCTTTCAATCGTTTCAAATAAGAATCGATTTTGGTGATTGAACAACAACAATACGTCCGACCTTTCGGATCGTTTAATGCGTGTATTTATTTAATGTGCGTTTCAAATAGATCAGATCGACCACCTCAGAAGAACCCGATGAACTTGAACTGTCAAAAATAAATCAACAAACAAATAAATTAGATTTTTGTCTTGCAACATACAACAGCACACATAATGTGTGTATGCCATTTGAAATGTATGTAATTCATACCAATTAGTTTTAAAAAATCATGTACTTGAAATTTACCAGACAAAATAAATGTCGACGGTGGCAGCGATAAAATCACAAATCGAAGAAAAAAGAATGAAAAAAAAACTCTGCGATACAGCGCAAAAAAATTAATTCGTTCACACGTTTTACAACAGCACGTACATACGCTCTGAATAAAAACACTCATTCACTGACTCACACATGCACACACACACATTCTGACATGTGACATTTATGGAATTTGACAGCTGAAACAATGTTTTCGTAGTTCGACTTTGACGTTTGTGACAAATGAGAACAGAATCGAATGAAACGGTGCGGAGTATATAGATTTTGGTACATTCGCATCACACAAACACAGTGCAAAGTGTACACTGTACATGATTTTTCCAAGTTAGTAATATCATGCATCATTTTCTTCCTTTGACAGATATGGTAAAATGGGCAATGAATTAGTCTCGAGCTTATGTGTATCAATAAATGTAGTGTGTAGTGCAGAGAACGCGTTTAGTACGTGTAGTTTTGTGTTTTGTTTATGAATTCATTTTAATACGCTCCGCTTGCGGCCAATGTAAAAAAGTGATAAAATTGTGAAATTCAAAACTCTGTTATATATCATCTAACACATCATTAAAATTCCAAACAAGCCTTTTTGATTGGAGAATTTTGACTTCAAAGCGAATTTCGGACAAACGCAATCAATCAAAAATGCCTCATCAGCAATCGACACGACCAGTTCTTGGTTTTGAAGCACATACCACATCAACGAAATATATATCCGATGACCAATTGGCTCCATTTATATCGAGTACGCTACCTACGTCACAAGTTGAATTAACTTTAAGCTGCCGAGATCTCATAAACACAGACATTATCAGTAAGTCGGACCCGTTTTGCATTGTTCTTTGCAAAGAATCTTGGCAGGATCAATATTATGAGGTCATGCGCACCGAAACAATATCCGATAATCTCAATCCACAATGGGTGAAAAAGTTGGTGTTAAACTATAATTTCGAGACAATGCAAAAGCTTCGATTTGAAGTTCGTGACGAAGATTATCAAGGTTCAGACTTTTTGGGATTTTTTGAAACGACTCTCTCGGATTTGGTATCGACGGCTGGACGCCAATACATTGGAAAGCTCAAAGGTCAAATCGGTGGTAGTAGTAACCAGAATTTGGGAGAAATTATCATAGTCGCAGAAGAAGTTTTGGGTTGCAAACAAATCGCTCAGATCAAATTTCGTGCAGAGCAATTACCAAAATTGGGCTGGGTGTGTAGCAACGACCCCTTTCTCGTTCTATCACGGTACGTAGTTAGATAGACTTGATCGATTGGCATTGCTTATCTGTTTTTTGTGTTTCTATCCATTAGGTCAAATGAAGATTCAAGTTGGTCCGTTGTAGCACGAACAGAACCTTGTTGGGCGACAAAAAATCCAATATGGAATTCATTTGGAATACGTGTAACGACACTTTGCAACGCAGATTTTGATCGAACCATTAAAATTGATTGCTACGATCATCGTTCGAATGGAAGTCATAAGCTAATTGGAACGTGTTATTCGTCGTTGCGAAATTTAATTGCGCAAAATGAACCAATGATATTTTTCAACGAAGAAAAGAGAAAGGCCAACTCAAGCCATGCCAATGCTGGCATATTAAAAGTTGACAATATCCATTTCACCGAAGAAATTACATTTCTCGACTATATAAGCCGCGGTACACAATTGCATTTTGTTGTGGCCATCGATTTTACCGCATCAAATGGCATACACACCGATCCAAATTCTTTGCACTACCTCAGTCCCAATCGTATGAATTCCTACGAAATTGCCTTGCGTGGAGTTGGCGAAATCATTTCGAAATATGACAATTTAAAGCTGTTTCCGGCTTTTGGTAAACATTTTTTAATTGCATTCATTTTGTTTATTTTCGTGCATTGCATGTTGTATTCATTTTTTTCGTAATTTATTTTTAGGTTTTGGCGCCAAACTGCCGCCATCGGGTCATATATCGCACCAGTTCCCATTAAATGGTAATGCCTCACATCCATACTGCTCGAGCATCGAAGAAATCATGGTACACTATCGCAGACAATTGAACTCCGTACAGGTAATGACCAGATGATTTAAATGATATTTTGATTGAAAATAACATAATGTTTTGCATTTAAACAGCTTTATGGGCCGACCAATTTTGCACCAGTCATCAATAATATGATATCCATATCAAATCAGGTAATGAAATCATTTTAAATAAAATGTACATTGGTAAATAAATATTTTTTGTTTTACATTAGTTTCAGGACGGACGAAATTATTTCGTATTGTTGATCATCACCGATGGCATCATTTCAGACATGCAACAAACAAAACGCGCCATTATAAATGCATCGTCGCTACCAATCAGTATTATCATTGTTGGCGTCGGAAATGCGGATTTCGAAAATATGGACGAATTGGATGGTGATAATGCTCGCTTATATGCAGACGGTCGTTATGCTGAACGCGATATCGTTCAATTTGTACCTCTCAATAAATTCCTTACACACGGCGGACCAAATCAATATATTAAATCTCAGACAAATTTAGCGAAAGAGGTACTGGCCGAAGTACCCGAACAGCTGACAAGCTTTATGAAATCGAAAGGCATCAAACCACAAGCATCAGAAGCGCAAAATACACCACCAAATGTGTCTGTGGTACAACCAACGGCACCCCTATTTTAATGGGACATGACAATTTAAAAATGGCTTCGTTAATGGCGCACATTTTGCATTTACTTTATCACGCCAAGCACAGCAACGAGACCTTTATAAGCTTAGTTTAATTTTTTTTTTCTATCGATGTACAAATATTCTAGAAATACTCAATCGTGTTAACTGTTGTTTATGTCAAATATGTTCTGTCCATTCAGCAATCTCATGTTTTGAGAAGCTTTTTACACATTTTACAATTACAGTGTTTTAATAAATATAATATAGTAATATATTTGCGTTTGGTGAATAAATATGAATAATCACATTGGAATCACGTCAATTTTGGTGTGAGATATTTTCTATGTCTATTTTGAACTTTCAAATATGCACAATAAAGAACATTTTGACCTTTCAAAAGCAGCCGTGCAATGTTTTTATATATTACATTTTCATATACCTGTTGGAATTGAAATGTGTTTGAATGCACTACACAAATGCATGTACATAAATGAATGGGGAAAATAGGTTTTGTCATATTTATCGCCCCTGCGTCGTATTCGTGTGCTCCTTTATTCCCCCAGAAGGGAAAAAAGTTCAACTGCGCATAGTCTTTTAAAAACAACAACACCCCGTCATGTTCATCTTTTTATCTATCAAGAACGCGATTGCAAAACAGTTGCTGTCATATCGCAGTAAAGAAAGGTACTATTGTGTTTGGTGTTTTTTAATTGAATCACATTGAGTTGAATTTTAGTCAAATAAATACTGTCAGAAATCATCAAAATAGCATTCATTCGAAGCAACAGTTGTCAGTTTTTGAGGTGTAAAATAGGGTTATTGAACCAAAAAATGAGTGAACAGCTTGTGCCATTCATAAACGGATCGCTACCAACATCTCAAGTGGAATTGTCAATATCTGGAAGGAATCTTCTGAATCGCGACTATCTCAGTAAGTCCGACCCGTATTGCGTAGTTTCACTGAAGGCACAATATGAAGATGAATACCATGAAATCGAAAGAACCGAAATGATTAAAGATTCGCTGAACCCGCAATGGGTGAAAAAGGTGGTTTTGGACTACAATTTTGAAACAATTCAAAAGCTTCGGTTCGTCATTCGTGATGATGATTTTGACGGTGGCTATGATTTATTGGGATGCTTCGAAACTACTCTTTCTGAATTGGTTTCGTTGTCGAATGGTCGACAATTTTTTGGAAAATTAAAAGGTGAATCACGACAGCAAGGTGAAATCATCATCGTCACTGAAGAATTAATGTCATGCAAGCAAATCGCTGAAATTCAATTCCGCGCGGAACATTTACCAAAACCATCATTTTTGAGCAGTAATGACCCATTTTTGGTTTTGTCGCGGTCCAACGAAGACGGTATGTGAGATTATTAAATAATAAAAAATGTAACAATGACAGTAGTTATATTAGAATGATAACTTTTTCATTGTGCATATGTTTAGGTTCGTATTCCGTGGTAGCCAAAACCGAAACAGTTCCAGGAACACAAAATCCAACATGGAAACCAATAACAATACGTGCAACGACACTTTGCAACGGCGACTTCGATCGAAACATTAAAATCGATTGTTACAATCAAAAACACGATGGAAATCATAAATTAATTGGAACATGCTATTCATCGTTGCGAAGTTTGAGTGTAACGAACGAACCACCAATGATTTTGGTGAATGAAAAAAAGAAAAAGGAAAACGGAGAATTAAAAGTACAAAACACACATATCACTGAAGATGCGACATTTCTTGATTATCTAAGAGGTGGGACTCAAATACATTTTGCCATTGCCATCGATTTTACTGCGTCGAATGGTGTGCACACCAATCCACATTCATTGCATTATTTGTCTGCAAATAAATTGAACAACTATGAGATTGCATTGCGTGGAGTTGGTGAAATAATTAGCTACTACGATTCGCATAAATTATTTCCTGCTTTTGGTATGGTTTTTCTAATTTTGTTTGAAGAAAATTTGGTTTTTTACATTTTTTTATTGATTAGGTTTTGGTGCTCGATTACCACCAAATGGACAGGTTTCGCATCAATTTCCGTTGAACGATAAACCATCACATCCGTACTGTTCAAGCATTGAAGAGATTTTGGTTCATTATCGCAGACAATTAAATACTGTGCACCTTCATGGCCCGACCAATTTTGCACCAGTCATAAACAATACCATTTCGATTGCCAGTCAATTCCAAGAGGGTGGTGGACATTACTTTGTATTGCTCATAATAACCGATGGTATCATTTCGGATATGCATCAAACGAAACAGGCCATTATTAAAGCGTCAACTCTGCCGATATCAATTATTATCGGTAAAAACGGACCTTTTTTTCTCTGACTATTTTTTTGATGAATAATTTTTCTGTTAACAGTCGGTGTTGGTGATGACGACTTCGAAAACATGAACGAATTGGATTCGGATGATTCTACATTACGCGAGGGAAATCTTTTTGCAAAACGCGATATCGTTCAATTTGTACCTCTTAGAAGATATTTAACAAAAAGTGGACCAAATCAATACATAAAATCACAAGCGGACTTGGCCAAGGAAGTGTTGGCCGAAATTCCTGCCCAACTTACTGGTTATATGAAATCACCGAATGCACCGTTTGTTGTGCCAACTGCTCCAATAATTTAAGCCGAAAAAATATGCCCAAAAATTTATCAAAGACTATCATTTTTCTAGATGTGATTTTTTCTCTTTTCATTTAATTCGTATAGATGTGAACATATATACATATACTTTACATTTACAATTAGAATTTACTTAGCTACTACCATTTTTATCTTTTGCAACTATACAAGCTTGTATTCCACTAGTGGAATTAGAAATAACACGTGTTAATCATTTTTAAATCCATGACAACATATTTGATTTTCAAATTGAATCTTTTGTACTGTGCATTTCATCACATTTAGCGTAGTACACTTTGTCATAATCGCTGTTTCGGAGTTAAGAACGCAGCCACTTTTGCCAAAGAATATTTACACATAAACAAACGGAGAAGAGCTGTCAGTTTAAAAATTCACTTTCACTTGACAATCACTTGGGTTTTCCATAATATTATTCATTACCATAGTTTATATTTACATAGTTTCGACTATCGTTAACGTCATATTGTTTCATATTATTAGTTCGTAGTTTGAATAAAAGTCATTCTGACATCAATTAAGAGTATATATTCGCTGACGTCATTTCAAATATAGAACTAATGGTTTCGTATATAAGAATTTATTTGTGTTATTAATGATATTCCAATTTTTCGGCACATAAACATAGAAACTTTTTTTCCATTTAATCTTTGACAGCATTTGCGTATAAACGTCTCGCATAATTTACTCATTTATATGTATGTTGTGAAGGAGTAATAAAGAAAGTTTTTCCAATAGCGCAAAGCATAAAGTAGTTTTTAGCGGTTCGCCTTCATATTTAGTTGTGGCTGTCAAGTGTAAAGAGACTATTTACCGTTCGGAATCAATCAAACTAATACTATTTTAAAGAAATCGAAAAAGTTTTAAAAATAATAAAAAAGCAACACAATGACCGACGCAATAGCACCATTTCTTAAAAACACAATGCCGACCACTCAAATTGAGATGACCTTGAGCGGACGAAACCTAAAAAACACTGACATTCTCAGTAAGAGTGACCCTTATTGTTTGATTTCAATGAAAGAATCTTGGCAGGATAATTTTCATCAAATTGCCAAAACCGAGACGATACAAGACACATTAAATCCCGAATGGGTGAAAAAGGTGATATTAAACTACAATTTCGAGTCAATTCAGAAAATTCGATTTGAAATTCGTGACGAAGACTATAATGGCTCTGATTTTTTGGGTTTCTATGAAACGACAGTCTCGGATTTGGTTTCGTTTTCCGGACGACAATTTGTTGGCAAATTGAAGGGAAGGACAGGTGAAAATTTCGGCGAAATTATTGTGGTAACTGAAGAAGTGATAAGTTGCAAGCAAATCGCTGAAATTCAATTTGCCGCCCAAAATTTACCATCATCGATGTGGTCTTGTTTGGGGCATACTAGAAGTCCATTCCTTATCATTTCACGTGCAAATGAAGATGGCAAATTTTCAGTTGTAACAAAAACTGAAGTTTTGACCAATACACAAGATCCGATTTGGAAAGCATTTACCATACGTGTGACAACGCTCTGCAATGGTGACTTTGACCGTACTCTTAAAATTGATTGCTTCGACTATAATAATAGCGGTGATCATAAATTGATTGGTACCTGTTATTCGTCGTTACGTCGATTAATTTCGCCGAATGAACCACGTATGGTTCTTGACAATGAACGAAAACGAAAACAAGATCCAAGTTATTCGGGTGGATTTTTGAGAGTAAATAATAGTCGGATCATGGAAGAATTGTCATTTTTAGATTTTATTCGAGGAGGTACTCAAATGCATTTTGCCGTTGCCATCGATTTTACCGCATCAAATGGTCCACACACCGATCCAAATTCATTGCATTACATCAGTCACAATCGATTGAATTTCTATGAAATTGCATTGCATGGTGTTGGCGATATTATTCAATACTATTCCAGTTCAAAACAATTCCCAGCTTTTGGTAATTAGTGCTTTCTGCATTGTTTGTCATTCATTTTCTTATTATTTTACACATTTTATTTTGCTTAGGATTTGGTGCGCGAATACCTCCAAATGGTCAGGTTTCACATCAATTTCCGTTGAACGGAAATCCAACACACCCATTCTGCAGTGGCATCGATGAGATCCTCATTCAATACCGAAATCAATTGAACTCCGGAATTCAATTTTATGGCCCCACCAATTTTGCACCAGTCAGTATAACTTTTTTTGTATCAATGGATGGAATGATTTTAATCATATTTTTTTTTATTCCAGGTCATAAACAATACCATTTCGATTGCCAGTGAATTTCAAGACGGTCGAAATTATTTCGTGTTGTTAATCATCACAGATGGCCAAATATCCGATATGCATGAAACGAAACGTGCCATTATCAACGCATCATTACTTCCGATCAGTATCATCATCGTTGGTGAGAAGAACATTCCTCATTTCGAAATAATTCTACCATTTTTCATGCATATTCGCATTTAATGCCCTTTTTCATGATTTGTATCATTTTAGGTGTAGGAAATGCCGATTTCGATAATATGGACGAATTGGATTCTGACGATAGACTTTTACGTATCGATGGCCTATGTGCCAAAAGGGACATTGTACAATTTGTGCCTTTAAATAAATACTTAATGAATAACGGACTAAACCAATATATAAAATCACAAGCCGACCTAGCTAAAGAGGTATTGGCCGAAATTCCTGGTCAATTGACGGCATTCATGAGATCCAAAGGGTATAAACCACAAAACACAACAGAATATGTGCCTCCAAGTTCTTCGACCATTGTGCCAACCGCTCCAATGTCTTAATTTTTGATATAAATGGGTGTTTTTGCTCTTTTATCGCACTAACATACAAAAATATTATGCCTTAAGCTTATATGCATGTTTTTTTTGTAAATTAACGTACAAATATTGAACTTTTTATACGGGTATCTTTTAAAAGAGTGTTCCACTTTACGTAACAACTCATTTCGATATTTCAAGAACTCACAATCAATGCTTTTGCGTAGTGCAAGATTAGATATAAATTGATTAAATCAGTCGTCTTTATATTCATCAATATCATATAATTATTTTTGGATAGAAAAGATCCGTAAGATCTTCGTTATTCCGTAATGGTATGGCATGCGAATCAAAGTAGGCGAAATAAGAATAACGAATTTGCGTGCGTATATGTATGCATCATGCGGCAGCGTACGCACGCTTGGATCTGGATCTTGCGGGGATCTTACGCATCTATCCTATCCAATAATTTCTTTGATCAAAAATGTTAATTTTACTTTGAAATTTTGAATTTTTCTTCAACTTTTAGTTACGATTAAATTAAAAAGATTTCGATTTATTACAGAGAAGATATTCGCATTGTATACACAGAAAACGTTATCATTCAAAATCAATTTAAATACAGAAAAACAAAGAGTAATAATCAACACAATATATAAATCCCCACATAAAGTTTATCTCGACTTCTGTTGACATATTTACACTTAACTAATATTTGTGTGTGAAATAGTTGATTAAAAAACACCACTCAGATTATATTGCTTTTGTGGAATTTTTAAAAAAATTACATTTTCACAATGACTTTTGGATTTTTGAAACGTTCAATTGAATTGCGTCGCGCGGTGCAACGTTAGTGCCTTTAATTGCAAATTCCATCTTGCGATTTTTCAGACTGTCGGTCAATTCATATTTGAACTTTTGTAGCATGATAACAAGTCCGACTTGTACTTGCATTTTTCCCAATCTTAATCCAATGCAATTGCGTGGTCCATCTCCGAACGGGAGATACGGTCGATTTATTTGATTTTTTCCAGCAGAATTTTGTTCGTTAAAACGTTCGGGATCAAAATTCTCTGGGTTTGGATAGTATTTCTCATCTCTGTGGGCTGCAAAGGATGGGAATATGATGAGATCACCTTTTTCGATAATTTTATCGGTGTCGGGAATTTGATAGTCTTTCACACATTTTCGCGCAACCGTGGGAAATACATTATACATTCGCAATGTTTCTAAATACAAAAAAGAATAAAAACATCAGTATTCAAAAATTGATAGAAGATATTTGCTTTTAAAAATAATTGAATCGTTTAGAATATTCACGAGCGCAGGAAATTTGTTAAAAGTAAAAGAGCAACATGTTCATATAAAAAATGTATGGGCACGTTGCAGTTTTATTTTAACAAATTTCTTGAGGTTACGAATAATCTAGGTGGTTCAATTGAGGCATACCATCAATACAGTATCCCAAGTATTTCATTTCAGACACCGACTCGTAAGTGATTTGTTCATTATGCTGCGCCAATACAGTTTTTATTTCATTACGAACTCTTTCTTGAATGTCCGGATTTTTGGCCAATTCATACATGCAAAATGACATTGTTGTGGATGATGTTTCGAACCCCGCCCCAAAGAAGGCGAAGGAATGTGCCTTAATTTCATCCAATGACATTTTCTTCTGACTTCCATCATTTTTGATGACAGTCTCCCATTCGTCATCCTTTTGTACATTGCCAGTGTTTCGCAATTGAATCAGCAATTGGAAAAAATCTTTGCGAATAATGTTGTATCGTTCTCGATACTCCAAATTCTCTTTCACAAGTGAGTGGATAAAGTTTTCAACGCCTGGATCCGCGAATTTAATACGAAAAAAACGAATAACTTGTGGTGCAACAAACCGTGAAAGTCTCTTAAACGCATTCCATGTGGTTGTTGCGAAAATTCGACTACCGTATTTACGAAAATCATTATCTGGATCAACTACACAATCGATTTCGATGCCAAAAAATATCGAAGCAATTACGTTTGTTCCATGTCTGGCTGAAATGTCAACGACATCAAGTATTCCACCATTATCAGCTACTTTTGCTAAATAACTTTCCAGACTGGAACCACATTCTAGCAGCGTGGGAAACATTGCCTTTAATTTACCAGATGCAAAGGTTGGAGTTAATTCTCGGCGTACACTTCTCCACTTATGACCTGGTAAATTGACTAAATTTCCGGTCAATGGGTCATAGTCTTCGTTAATTTCATTGCCACGATCGGTGAAATAATCAAAATCTTTGATTAAAATCTTGCGAATTAGCTCAGGATCACGAATCATCAAAATACGTCGCAAAAATCCATACATTCCTTCGTATGGCTCATTTGACGATCTATAGAGTCGCACCGATAAATCAGCAATACTCTCTTTTTGTAAATACAACGCACCAAAGTGGCCAGCCAAATAATTGAGACCGGGCAATGTTTTAATTCCTTTTCGATCCCAGTAGGCGTATTGCCGTTTGAAATATAGGTAAATCGATGTAAGCAATATGACAAAGATTGCCATTGCATCGATTGCCCAACTATCACCAAACACACCCATTGTTTTTTGTTTAAATATCACTTTGAATTTATTTTGAAAATCCTTTGGCCGATGCAACAACTTATCTTTTGTGCTGTTTATTAATTAAATTCTCTTCGGAGACTGACTTGCTTGTTCTGGTGTTTCTTTCTTTTATGGTATTTTAAATCAAACGAAATCAACAAATATGATAGTATTTATAAGATAATGAGCTGCTATCAAAGATGATAACGACCGGCTAAATGCACACATGCTCACTGATAACATATGAATGACAGCAGATATGTACTCTCAGTCTCAACATTTCGTAATTGATTGCGGTAATTTGTGGTTAAATTTTATATTTTTTCTGTCTTACAAAGTGTCATGCAAAACGGTACTTAAAAATGTACCATGGCGTGTGGTATAGTGGCTTAGCAATAATTTATTCAAAGCAACAGTTGTTAAAATTAAAATTCAAAGTGTGCACCCATGACACTACATCCATTTGAACAGAATGCAGCCACATTTTAAACATACGTAGTAAGATCTGTCACAATAATTGTCTCATTTATCGCCCGTGTTTGATTTCGACGAACTTGTTTCTTATCAAGGAGTGTTTTTATCTATGTTTTTTGTATTTCACTACGACTAGGCGGTCTATGAGTCATATATTTCGAATGAATTTGTCAATTTTAATTAATTTAATTGCATAATTGATGACAATGTATTAATCATATCCATATGAATTTGTGTGGAAAAGAATTTCATTATCAGATAGAAAGTGTGTGTATGTTTTTTTATAATCAAAACATATCGCAAGAACAACAACTACAGCCTTTGACGTTAATAAAAACAGATAGCAAGAACTGCGCATTCGCATCCCCACTAGAAATTATATTTCAACGCCAAATAACAATGGTTCGGCGCTGAGTATCATAAACATTACTCATTATAGTGCGGTTGTATATAGTCCAGTCTGACGAATGTTAGTGAAAATAACACAGACAGTGCAAAAAATTTAAAGTGTAGTGAACTTAGTCGATTTACTTTCTTTTACTTGAATTCAGCTTTTCAAAGTCGTACAAACACGAGAAAAGGGAAACGTTAACGAAATAAAAGGCGAATTATAAATAATTTTCAATTTTACTACGTATCGATATTTTAAGCATTGAAATATAGTGAAAACGCGAAAGAAAATCAACAACAACAAGATGCCACCGCAAAAATGGTCAAACAGTACAGCACAGTCTGCGCGATACATAACGGATGAGCAATTGGCTCCATTTGTATCGGAATTTCTGCCTACCTCACAAGTCGAATTGACTTTAAGTTGCCGAAATTTAATAAATGCCGATATCATCTCTAAATCAGATCCATATTGCATCATCCATTGCAAGGAGCCGTGGCAAGACCAGTATTATGAAATCGCAAGAACAGAGACAATTGGTAAGGATTTATCTTTTTCTGCATTATTCTTTGAGTCTAATGACCAGTCATTCTTCGATAGATGACAATCTCAATCCACAATGGGTGAAGAAAGTGATTTTGAACTACAACTTTGAAACGATACAGAAAATTCAGTTTGAAGTTCGCGACGAGGACTTGAAGGGGTCGGATTTTTTGGGACGCTTTGAAACAACGTTATCGGTAATTATGCTTGTTTTACATTTCTTATCATGCATTTCATTATCATTTTGTACGTTTTCCGTTTAGGATTTGGTGTCGCATAACAGCCGCCAATTTGTTGGCAAATTATCGGGGATACCAAATCGGAATTGTGGTGAAATTGTCATAGTAACAGAGGTTAATATAGAAGAAATTAATCTGGTTTTCAAGGAAGTTGTTTTTTTTATAAATTTAAAGAAATTCCTGGTTTTTTTCGTTACAGGAAGTGACCAGTTGCAAACAAGTTGTTGAAATTCAATTTAGCGCTATAGATATCGCTCCAACTGGGTGGCTGTGTTTTGGTCTATGTAACAATGATCCGTTTTTGGTCATTTCAAGGTCAAACGAAGACGGTTTGTGAGATAAAATAATAATATTTTTGATATAATAATGTGTATATGTTTTATACTTAGGTTCGTATTCCGTGGTTGCCAAAACCGAACCGGTTGTATCCAGTCAAGATCCTAGATGGAAACCAATTACAATACGAGCCACGACACTTTGTAACGGAGACTTTGAACGAAACATCAAACTTGACGTTTACGACCATCGATCAAATGGAAATCATAAATTGATTGGAACATGTCATTCATCATTGAACCACTTGAATTCACCAAATGAACCGCCGATGAATCTAATGGATGAACAAAAACGCGGCACAGTCGGTGTACTTAGAGTAGATAAAATCAGGATAACCGAAGATGATACGTTTCTCGATTATATTCGAAATGGAACCCAAATGCATTTTGCAGTGGCCATCGATTTTACGGCTTCGAATGGAACGTACACTGATCCAAAGTCACTTCATTATCTATGCGGAACACGCTTGAATCCATATGAAATTGCACTCAGCAGTGTGGGTTCCATTATACAAAATTACGATGAATCACAATTGTTTCCAGCATTTGGTGAGTTTAGGCAATTCCATTTTTAATGTTGGAATTTTCATTAATTTTTCTTTTCATTAGGTTTTGGCGCCAAAATACCACCAACTGGCCAAGTCTATCATCAATTTCCATTGAATAATAATCCTTCACATCCTTATTGCGCGGGAGTTGAGGAGATTCTAAATCATTATCGTCTTAGAGTTAGAAGCGTCACGCTTTATGGCCCGACCAATTTTGCACCAGTAAGTATTACTCTTTTTTTGTAATCGGTAACAATGGCGTAATGAAGTTAATCTTGTTGTTAATTACAGGTTATAAATAACACAATTTCGATTGCCAGTCAATTCCAAGACGGAAGACACTATTTTGTACTTTTGATAATTACCGATGGTATCATTTCTGATATGCATTTAACCAAGCGAGCCATTATTGAAGCGTCAACCCTTCCAATATCAATTATTATCGGTAACTGTTTTACTTTTTCAACTTCAGAACATGGAATATAAAAGTATTTTTTTACAGTTGGCGTTGGTGATGCAGAATTCGATGCAATGGATGAGCTCGATTCAGATGATGTGCGTTTAACGGCCGATGGCCGTTACGCTGAAAGAGATATTGTACAATTTGTTCCGTTGAATAAATTCATGTCCCAGACAGGAACGGGGACTTTCATTAAATCACAGACAGACCTCGCCAAAGAAGTGCTTGCAGAAATACCAGAACAATTGACGAGCTATATGAAGTCGCGGGGAATCAGACCACAAATACAACCACAAAGTGTGCCAAATACGTCTGTCGTTATGCCAACAGCACCAATCTCATAATAAGAGCCGCACAATTTTTTAATGACTACTACCTCATTTACTTAAAAGACTTACTCAAAACGTCACGAAATTTTTGAATTCTCACGCATTTTCTGGAATATGTTACACACATACTGCCTAACAAAGGATTTGAGTCGCTTTTTTTGCTTTGTCAACACTTTTTTTTATTAAAATACAATTTTATGAATGTGTATTATCTTATGCATAAGTGATATTACTAATCAAATTATCGTCTAAATAAAGGTTTCCTATGATGAGACTCTGAAGATTCTAGTTTGTTTTACTCAAAAAGAATATTGTAAAAAAACGGTTTTTAGCCATTTGAGACAATAAGTATCATTACTTTTGTACTGAATAAACAAAATGCTTGTCTCAAGAATAGCTCACTGTCAATGAGTCACTGGCTATAAACAAACGGCCAAAATACTTTTGCACATATAATCTTCGGTTTGTACCTACGTTCCTCATAGTTTCCAAGAAAAAATGTTTGATAAATTGCATATTGTGTTACATTGTTTACATACTTGATGTACGTGCATAAAAGAGCCAAACAAAAGAGACCAAAAATAAAAAGTAACAACAAAGTGACAACATCTTATTAATTTCATGCGTGTGTCGTACATTACGATGAATTGCAATTAATTTCACTAATGCAGACCATCTATTTTTAGCCCAAACTTTAACGTATTTTTCCGAAAATAAACTAATAAAATATTCTGACGTCAATGGGGGCTGAGACCAGCCTCTATCATAATTTATTTTATGATAACCAATTCATCTATGTGCTTGCGAAAATTCCGAGAAGCACTACTACCGTTGTACTACCGTTCCGCTGAAACCATTGGAATGGGTTGATATAACACGTGCGAAAGTTTAGGGGAGAAAGCACAAATGCTGCGCACGCCCACTGCCATCTAAACAATTTCAACACCAGAATACACAACAAAAAAAATATAAATACCAAGCACATTTTCGTGGAATGCATTCTAACATGCGTGACATTTAGTGAGCACTGGGCAGTAAACAAATATAAACGTGGCGACAGTCGAAGCAGTTTTTGCTTTTGTTCGCATATTTTTGCTTTATTTTTATCCATTTTAAGTAAAAATATAACTATTAAAAAATCGATTTAATTGTTACACCCAAGCCAAGCTATTATTATGGATAAATAGTGAAATTGAATGATAAAATTAGTCTATGAGTGATAAAATTAAAACGTATTGTTCATTCAGAGTAAAAACACGATAAAAAGAATAGTATTAAAAACGGAACATTTGAAAAATGGTTGGTTCTGTTGCGGCTGTGGTATTCAGTTTACAACAAGAACGTCGAACTCGAAAAAAGGGCCCACATAAATCATACAATGACACCTTGGAATACTTGACAAATGAGCAATTGGCATTGTTTCTGGAAGAACGGTACAAAAGTAATTTGCCAACGTCGCGAATTGAATTGAGCATTAGTTGTAAAAATTTAATGTGCACCAATGTCATTAAAAATCGTTCGGACCCATATTGTGTGGTTCTTTTGAAACGCGGGTGGCAAAAACACTACCAAGAAATCGGACGCACCGAATGCATGGGAAATACACGGAATCCAAACTTTAGGTGTAAAATTGTGGTTGATTATAACTTTGAAATTGTGCAAAATATACAATTCGTAATCAGAGACCGAAGCTTACGAGGTTACTTGGGTTTGTACGAAACGACAATGAGTGAACTCGTTTCGTGCTATGCAATGCAAATCACTAGACAACTTTGTGCAAAAGTTGACGGTAATCTGTATCCAAATAGAGGGGAAATCACTGTGGTGGCAGAGGAAGCAACCAGCTGCAAACAAATGGCCGAAATTGAATTTCGTGCTCAAAATTTACCACGCTCATGGTTTCGGAAAAATAAACCGTTTTTACTCATTTCACGATCCAACGAAGACGGTTTGTTAGATTTAACAGTGTTTTTTTTTTTTTAAATAATAATATGTGTGTGTATATGTTTGGTATTTAGGTTCATATTCCGTGGTGACAAATACAGAACCGAGTCAAACATCCTGCCGTGATCCTGTTTGGCAAAAATTTTCGATTGACATTGCCACTTTGTGCAATGCAGACTTTGATCGATCGTTTAAAATTGATTGTTACAACTTTCGAGATAACGATAATCATAAGTTGATTGGCACATGTTATGCGTCGTTGCATAATTTGAGGAAAATGTGCCAAAATAAAGAATCGAGAACTCTGGTCAACGAAAAGAGACAAAAAACCAAACCAAGCTATGTTCCAACTGGCGCACTGAAGGTGGAAAAAATCGAAATTACCGAAGATGTGACTTTTGTCGATTTTATCAGGCATGGTACAGAAATGCATTTCGCTGTCGCCATTGATTTTACAGCATCCAATGGAAACTTTACCGATCCAAAATCATTGCACTATTTATGCAATGAACGCATGAATTACTATGAAATCGCTCTAAAAGGCATTGGCGGAATCATTAGCAAATATTCCAACACACCATTGTTTCCAGCTTTTGGTAAGTTATTTTTCACAAAACAATTGACATTGTACTGACTTATAAATTTGTTTTCCTATTTTGTTTGCAGGTTTTGGAGCCAAACTGCCGCCATATGATCATGTATCATTTCAATTTCCGCTGAACGGCAACTCTTCACATCCTTATTGCTGTGGCATCGACGAGATTCTCATGCATTATCGAGACCAGTTGAATGTGGTTGAGCTTTTTGGACCAACGAACTTTGCACCAGTAATCCATGATACCATAGAAATTGCACAAAAACTTCAAGACGGAAAACACTATTTTGTTCTGTTGATTTTAACCGACGGTAAAGATGATACTTTTCATTGTTATATTTTAAGCTATTTAAACCAAACTTTTTCATTCGTACATTAGGCGCTATCTCTGACATGCGAAAGACAAAACATGCTATAATTGATGCGTCAAAACTGCCAATTTCGATAATTATCGGTAAAAGAACTGTGTTATTTATTCCCCTTCAAAAGAAATACAAAGTTTTTTTTTGATATTTTTTACAGTTGGCGTTGGTGATGCAAATTTTGAGGCCATGGAAGAACTAGACTCGGATAATGTAAGACTATCCGTTGATGGACTTTTTGCAGAAAGAGATATCGTACAATTTGTTCCACTCAATAATTTCCTGTCAAAGGACGGCGAATTCATCGAATCACAATTTAAATTGGCGGAAGAAGTTCTCGCTGAAATACCGGAGCAGGTAACAAGTTACATGACCTGGCGTGGATTTAAACCGGAAATCGTTCCAAATATACCAACAGATTCAGCAACTGTGGTGCCAACAGCACCAATGGCAAAAGATTGCTACGTTTAATATTGTGGACATTTGATTTCTTCTCTTTTTTAATGTGTTTATTGTATATGTACATATTTGTCGTCGCATTCAAGTATTTAATTGTGAAGATTTTAATATTTGGAAGCACTGAAAAAAATCATCATTATAACATATCTAAGCTATTAATGTTTGTCAACACTTATCTCAGGGTTGTTCTAATGATCGTGGTGTTTTTAATCCGAACCAAAAAAAAAACAACTTTACATGTGTTCATAAATTGATATTTACAATCTACTCGATTTTACACGATATTTACACTTGACGAAATTTTAACGGCACATTATTTAATAAGTCTACTTCCAGGTTTTTAACTTAAAATAAATTCTACATTTTTACGATACGCAACAAGTAGATGTAAGGGCTTATACGTTCAGATTTTACCTTTTGAGTCAAACTTTGCCAAATTTTATCTACCATCTTATGTCTTGCTCGCTTTATTCCACATCGAGCAAAAACTTTGGATATTTTAAAGTGTTTTCTTTTCTTATTGAATATAATGAGAAGCAACTTTACAATATACATACTAGATTTTAAGCATTTTACATCTATGTGTAATAATTTCATTCATATAGAAAAGCTGAATAAATGGTTCAAACTATAGCGTAAAATGTCTCATTCATTTCTGTTGCTACTCCAGTTATTGGCATTATTTATAATCGTATGACCCATTATCCACCCTCTCTTATACAAAAATTTGTCTGACGTCAAACTTGACCTAGTTTATGATTCATTCTGGTTGCGGCACTCTGCAGGAAACGATTATTGAAATCCGTTGCGTGTAGATGATGGAAAAAGAATGTAAGCTATCGTCGGGCCTTTGCCTATCTCTTTTGAATTTTTTAAAACATTTTTTTACGCTAAAGTACATAGTAATTTTCACGAAAAGGAGTTCAGAAACTGAAAACATGCTTTCATGCGTTCCTTGAAAACTTACAACTACGTTTAGACCTACTTATAAATTCTATTTCTTTGCCATTTTCTTCCATTCATAAATATAGAGTGGATAAGTTGATAGTACGACATTTCGTTTCATTCTGTTCTGTTAATAGCCCTGCTATTGACCCCAGTCATGACTATGTGACCCAATTTCAGTTTCCCGATTTATATCATAAAATTGTGTGACGTCAACGCACTGTGAGCGGAGAGGTAAGTTCTGACGTCATAACAATGACGTATAAAATGAACAAACTGTGTGATTTGCTTTTATGACGAAAACTTACGACGTGGGGAAATGGTTCTCCTTTTAAAAATTTGCTCCTTTTAAAAAGAGGAATAAACTTGGTTGGCTGTCAAACTGACATTCGATGAGGATAGATACATTTGCGCCGACTCATCGGCACCCAAATACTTCAAATCAAATCAAATGTTAGAATAAAATGCATTCTTGGTTGGTTTCAATGGCGTAGAGTGACTCATAGTATTAAATGTAGTCGTACATTAGATCAACGTAGTGTTTAATTTTATTTATATATACGCTTTTGTTCACAGACACACATTTTTTGTTTGTACTAAGTGTTTATCGATTTACATTGTATCGTAGGAGCTGTGAAAAAGCAAAACATTACCATCCAGCAATATATCAAACATAGTGCTTATTATTAGTTTTATTCGAAAATATTTCACTTGAAATTGATTTTAGCATATAAAAGAAAAAAGATATTTAAAAAACGTTAAATTAGTTGTATTTCTACACTTCCATAATTAATAATCGAAATAAAGAAAAAAAAACACGAAAAGATGGCATTTGGTGCAATGGCAATACGAAATAAAGCCCCGCGTCGGGTAAAACAACCTCCAAAATTACCGCATTCAATGCAATACATAACCGATGAAATGCTCATGCCGTTTGTTCCAAGCTTTATGCCAACTTCACAAGTTGAATTGACGATTAGCGCAAAGGGCCTCTTGAGCACACATTTGTTTCGGAGTAAATCAGATCCAGTGTGTATCGTCTATGTGAAAAGACCGTGGCAAAATAAGTATAAGGAAGTTGGGCGCACTGAGACGATCGAAAATACCCACAACCCGCAGTGGTTGAAGAAAATCATTTTGGATTACAACTTCGAGACCATCCAAATGATAAAATTTGAAATTCGAGACAAAGATTTGATAGCAAAAGAATATCTCGGCCAATATGAGACGAAGTTGAGCGATTTGGTTGCTAGCTACGGTTGTCAATCGGTTGGGAAACTTAATGGCAAAGTTGAAGGCGTTATTCACCGAGAGTACGGCGACATTATCATTGTGACAGAGGTTAGTTTGCGCGTGTGTTTTTCTGGAATGGACAATTCATTTTAAATTTTATTTAAATTTACATTGTGACAGGAAGTGATAAGCTGCAAACAAATTGCCGAAATTAAATTTTGTGGTGAAAAATTACCAAAGCCTTCGTGGCTCCGTAGAAATCATCCGTTTTTGATGATATCACGCTCGAACGAAGATTCCACATATTCCTTGGTAGGACGAACCGAGCCATGTCGAGCGACACAAAATCCATGTTGGAATCCATTTACAATACGTGCAACGACACTTTGTAACGGAGATTTTGATCGATCTATTCGAATGGATTGCTACAATTTTCGAGACAATGGAAAACACAAGCTCATCGGAACCTGCTATGCATCAGTGCATAACCTAAAAACGATATGCGAAAGGGGAGAGTCAAGAGCGTTGGTGAATGAAGAGAAGCAAAAGGCTAAGCCAAAGTACGTTCCGTCTGGCGTATTGAAAGTGGCAAAAGTTGAAATTACCGAAGATATAACATTTTTAGACTTTATTCGCAACGGTACAGAAATGCATTTTGCCGTAGCCATTGATTTTACCGCGTCGAATGGAGTTCATACCGATCCAAAATCGTTGCATTACTTGAGTGGTGATCGAATGAACAGCTATGAAATCGCATTGCGAGGCATTGGACAAATTATAGAGCAATACAGTAATACTCCAATGTTTCCCGCCTTTGGTAAGCACAACATTCAGTTTTGAAGCATTTATTTCTTTTTCTCATCGATGTTTCCATATATATGTTTTTCGACTAAGGATTTGGCGCTAAAATTCCACCCGATAATCGTGTTTCGTTTCAATTTCCATTGAATAATAATACCACACATCCCTATTGCGATGGTATCGATGAAATTGTCAAGCATTATCGCGAACAATTAAATATGGTCCAGGTATAATGAATACATTACTCAATGGTTTTTATTTCCTTATTTGTCCTATGGTTTTCAGCTTTATGGACCCACCAACTTTTCGCCAGTGATAAATGACACCATTTCTATAGCACAAAAGTTTCAAGATGGAAAACACTATTTTGTGCTGCTGATTGTAACTGATGGTAAAGACACATTCGCAGTTTCTTACTAGTACTTTTTGTTACCATTTCTCATATCATTTTTAAGGTGTCATTTCGGATATGCTTTTGACCAAACGAGCTATAATTGAAGCATCCAAGCTACCTATTTCGATAATAATCGGTAAGAAAACTGCGTTTCCTTTTAGACAATATTTTTGGTGATCAATTTTTCGCTGAACTTTTCACAGTTGGTGTTGGTGACGATAATTTTGAGGCAATGGAAGAATTGGACTCGGACGATGTAAGTAACATATATAACCGATATGACCACACAATTTATGAAACGTTCATGTCATCCATCACGTTTAATAATAACTTTAAACTATTTTTCTTTTAGGTAAGACTGTCTGTTGATGGCCATTTTGCCGAGCGTGACATTGTGCAATTTGTACCATTGAACAGTTTCTTATCGAAGGACGGCGAACACATCGTGTCACAATTCAAATTGGCCGAAGAGGTATTTGATTTATTTATCTTTTATTTAGTTCAGTGTTATATTCTGTGAGTATAAAATATCACGTGCATTGAACAATATCAATTATTTTCTTTCCAGGGATTGTTTCTCTGAGGAGGAAAATGAGGAGGAGAGCGAGGAGGAAAATTTTTTTTTGCTCAAAGGGCTATTTTTATCACAAAAATATCATTTTTAGCTAAAAACATTTTCCTCCGCAGTTGAGGAGGAGGATCTTCCTCGCTCTCCTCCTCCTCCTCATTTTCCTCCTCACCATTCCTCCTCCTCAGAGGAACAATCTCTGTTTTTTTTACTCATATTATCTAGAATACATTGTAGTTCTGTGAAAATTATTTAACAGTTTTTTTTACTGTGATTAGGTACTTGCTGAAATACCTGAACAACTGACAAGTTATATGAAGTCTCGTGGATTCAAGCCCCAGATTATTCCAACTAATATGCCATCAGACCCATCTGTCATTGTACCAACGGCACCAATCGTTCCAAATTCAAACGTTTAAATGAATGAAAGAAAAAAATTCTAAATTGTTCTTATACATATTTTTATTCGAGTGAAAAAAATAATAACGTGTGTGGCTTCATGAGTGTGGATACCTGTGTGGTGCACTCATTTTTACCTTTTAGACCAAATGTTAACACCAATAATTTTGAATATACAACGAAAATGAACTTTTAAAAATAGATGTGAACTATTAAGAATAACAGGTGTCGATGTCGATATAATGTACAAATTATGATAATGTTCAAAATTGCTTTATAGGTACATGACATAGTATTCGAAAAAGTTTTTACTATATTTGGCTATGAACGATTTACCTCATAAGTGTTGAATCAAGTAAAGTTTTGCAAATAACGAATCTGTGAATCATTCGTCTTTTTAAAGCACAACAATGCTTACTATGTTTTGCTTATAAGTGTTTAAGTTTGATTTGCTTTCCCCCTTAATAATTGTTGTTTGCAAAATGATTTTAAAATTTTATGAATGTTAATGTACTATAAACATTGAACAATTTTCTTTGGAAATGTTCTGATTTCACATGAATAAACCTAATACGTAAAAAAAAATCAAACATGAAAGTATTTAGTAAATTAAAATTTTAGCATTTGCTGCGTCTATAAATTGCATGGTAAATGTACATAAATCGTGATGTTGGCGTGGATTCATTGGGGTGGAAAATTGAGGAAGTATTCATATTTTATTAAATAAAAAACTTACGCTCGGACGCATTTGACTGAAGTAATTTTTCTCACTTGTGGCTCCCGTTTGCGTTTGACATTTCCAACAATTATTTCTGGTGCTGAAAAAAACTGCGCAAACTCTTTATTTTCGTATTAGTATGCATAGCACACACTACAATGTAAGTAGAAGCAAAAAGGATATAGTAAAGTGGTGACAAAGGTGGTGGCGTTTGGTTGTAATGTTTTGTTTACAAACCCATCTTTATCAATGAATGACACTGTTTCACAAATTCGTATAGTGGTGTCATTTAATCAGATAAAAATAGACACAATATTTTGAAAGACAAAAGAATCCGTTAGAAAACGGACAAAGTATCCACTTTGGAAAGAAAAAGTTTTCCAATTTGTATGGGTGTGACCTGATTTATTTGAAATAAAAAAAAGAAGAGTTTTTGTTGTGAACATAAATCGACGAAAAATGAATGAAATTCTTGAACCATTTTTATCGAATTCAACGCCAACATCACAGGTGAGAAGAATTTGCGTTATATACGTACCTATAATAACATAGTTTTCGAAAATGTTTTTACTATATTTGGCCATGAACAATTTAACTCATCGCAGCTTGAATTAACGATCAGTGCCCGAAACCTACTGAACACCGACATTTTAAGTAAATATAATACAAATATAAATAATTATAATAAAAATTCTCAAACAATAATGTATATAAAAAATAGGTAAATCCGATCCTTTTTGCATAATTTCGATGCGCGAAGAGCCGTGGCAAGACCAGTATTATGAAATTGCAAAAACTGAAATGATTGCCGATACATTGAATCCACAATGGGTGCGAAAAGTTGTGGTTAACTACAGCTTTGAGTCGATTCAACGTATTCGTTTTGAAATTCGTGACGAAGATGTGACTCTATCCGATTTTCTAGGATATTATGAAACAACTTTATCCGATTTAATTTCGTATACAGGACGTCAATACATTCGAAAATTGAAGGGAATGAGAGAAGCGAAACAAGTGGATTGTGGTCAAATTATAATCGTCACTGAGGAGTTGTCATCATGCAAACAAATGGTTGAAATTCAATTTAAAGCCACAAATCTACCAAAACTCAATCCAATTATACGAAATGATCCATTTTTGGTAATTTCACGCTCCAATTTATACGGTGATTCGTATTCGGTTGTCACGAAAACTGATCCGGTGCGTTCAACACAAAATCCGACTTTTAAACCGATTTCCATTCGCATTGCATCACTTTGTAATGGAGATTTTGACCGCGACATCAAAATTGAATGCTACGATTACAGATCGAACGGAAATCATTATTTGATTGGTACTTGTTATGCAACGTTAAAAAGTCTCAGTGCTCATGATGAACCACCAATGACATTGGTCAATGAGCAAAGGCTTCGAATTCAAGCGAGTCGATGTGCAGTGGGCCAACTATTTGTCGAGAAAATTCACATCGACGAAGAGATTACCTTTCTCGAATATTTGCGAAATGGGACACAAATGCATTTTGCTGTGGCCATTGATTTTACCGGTTCAAATGGCGTTCATATCGACCCGAATTCATTGCACTATCTCTGCGATGAACGAATGAACAGTTATGAAATTGCACTGACTGGAGTCGGACAAATTTTACAGCATTATGACAGCACAAAGAAACTCTTGGCTTATGGTAAGGGAAAAAAGCTTTTTTAATGCATTTTCTGAGTTTAATATCAGTTTTATTCAGGTTTCGGCGCTAAAATACCACCGAGTTACAAGATATCACATCTATTTGCGTTGAACGGAAACTCGGAAAACCCATACTGCAGCGATATCGATGAAATTCTCCAAAATTACTGGCAACAACTTAATACCGTTCAACTGTCGGGCCCAACATTCTTTTCGCCGATTATTAACAGTGTGATTTCAATAGCAAAAGATTTTCAAGATGGAAAACACTATTATGTGCTATTGATTATTACCGATGGAATCATTTCTGATATTCAACGAACCAAACAGGCCATCGTAAAAGCATCGTCGCTACCCATTTCAATCATCATCGTAGGTGAGACGAATTGCCATTTTTTCATTCCTGCATTTTTATACTCCGACTCTGAAAGCCTGATATAATTCTGTGCCATGATTTGTATCATTTTAGGGGTGGGAAATGCTGATTTCAAAAAGATGTTTAAATTGGATGGAGACTCCGTGCGATTGAATGCTAAAGGGCGTGAAGCTGAGCGGTAATGAAGCAATAAATATGCACGAAATCACACAATATATGATCAATTTAATTCAAATTATAGGGATATCGTGCAGTTCGTCCCACTTGAAAAATATATTGCGCGCAGTGGTTTGAATCAACATATAAAGTCTCAAGCCGACTTGGCAAAAGAAGTACTCGCCGAGATACCGGAACAATTAACAAGTTACATGAAATCACGCGGAATTAAACCGACAATTGTAGCCCGCAGTACGCCGGATAGTTTGTTGGCTGTAACCCCAACAATGTCTAGTGTCTAGACACTTAATGTGTTGCAAAAACTAATAATATGTAATCAAAAAGTCTGCATCAAAAATCAATTACAAAAGTACCGTTGACGTATTCAACTTTTGAAGAATATATATACATATTGCAATGAAATGTTTCCGGCCTAAGTAACGGTTTTTTTATACACTGGAACGTCATACAATATTTTATATCGACAATCAGTAGGACACACACAGGTTATGTGCAACATTGTTTTAGGTTTTTATCAGTAGCTTATCATATATACTCAATCAGATGGAAATACTGCTATAATGAATGTGCAAAATGAAATGAAACCATCGAGCCATCGACACTCAGGTTATTCATATCAAGTGATTTACAATGAAATATCAAACAAAAAGAGATTTAACGACAAAATTTATTTTATAATACACGATGCACGATTTACACTTTGAAAATGAACGTTGGTTTTAAAATTGAGAACGAACAGGACGGAAGAGGAGAGAAAGAAAGAAAGAAAAAAAATGTTAAAATGCTCAACATGCAATCGGATTATATATTGATATAAATGTTATTGTTAATGTTAATGCTATAATAAGCTTTTAATATACGATGTTCGAAATGTTAAATAGCGCCTAAATAAATAATCCATATACATATATTTGAACAAATAAATGATGACTGTCGAATTCTATAATGAAAAAACGCGTGGCCTTTGGCTGTTTGTTACCCTGAAGCTAAAATACAAATCGTGTATTCTATTGAATTTGATTGTGGTGATGTTTTCAAGGTAAATTCGAAAATTGCGTGCCAAAAACGTGTGTACAATATTCATCATGCGAACGAATGCCAACGCAAAAGATGTGGAGCGACGGAAATCCGTTTTTTTGGGGGTGGCGGAAAATTGACCACACGCAAGGCTATTCGATGAGCATCGTGAATCGGAGAAAGTGTGTATATATGCATACCTCACACCACCATCGTCTCGTGATATATGGTGGTACAATGTGTTTGTTGTTGTTTCTGACGTTTTGTGACAAAAACATGCAAAAACTGCGCACACTCTCACTCGTTGAATATGAAGCATTACGAGAGAAAAAAATCCATGTTTCCATGGTATGGAATATACTTCATCGAAGCTATAGCTATACTAACAAGTGTGATGTGTAAAAAGCTGGAGCGTTTGCTGTAGTGTTTTGTTTATAAACTCATTTTCATTTCAACAATGTTATTTGTGTGAACTTGTAGTGTGTTTGCTGTTGAATTTTTGATAATATAAATTATTTTTTTCTTATTAGTGTAAAATCAGTTAAACGAAAACCAAAAAACGAAACGAACAAACGAACATTTAGCGAAAAAAAAAACCAAAACAAATTTCATTACCTAATCACTACGAAGTATTCATCTCACGGAAAATAAGTGAGTTGGTTTGTGTTGTGTGAATGGCAGGGGGTGTGAACTTGAAAAACTCCAAAAACTATCGAAAACTCGAGACGAAAACAAAACGAAAATGCCTTTGAAACCGTGGTCAACGAATACAGCTTATGCTAAAACTGTTACGAATGAGATGTTGGCACCTTTTTTACCATCATCGTTGCCAACATCACAAGTTGAATTGACGCTTAGCTGCCGAAACCTCATTAACACAGATATCCTCAGTAAGTCGGACCCTTTCTGCATTGTCCTCATGCGTGAACCGTGGCAGGATCAATATTATGAAATTTCCAGAACGGAGACAATCGATGACACGTTGAATCCGCAATGGGTGAAAAAGGTGCTGGTGGATTACAATTTCGAGACAATCCAGAAAATTCGATTTGAAGTTCTTGAAAAGGATGTGCAAAGTGATGATTTTTTGGGTTTTTATGAGACCACCCTGTCAGATCTTGTTTCGTTCAGCGGCCGTCAATTTATTGGAAAACTTGGTGGATTAGACAAAGAATGCGGAGAAATAATTATCGTTACAGAAGAAGTGATGAGCTGCAGACAAGTGGCTGAATTACATTTTGAAGCAAAAGATTTGCCAAAAATGAGTCCGATATTTCGAAACGACCCCTTTCTCGCTATTTCTAGGTATGAATGACATTGAAAAAAATTTCTTGTGCTTTTTTTGTTTTTTTCTTTTTCGTGAAATTACATATGTTTTTAACGAAAATTATCGTTTCTCTTTCGTTTCTTAGTTGTTTTTTTTATTAAATGAGACGAGTACTTTTGGTTATTCTTTGTTTCAATTCTCAAATCGAATACAATCGAGCATCTTCATTTGATTAATTCATTCAAATTCTGTGACAAATAAAAAAAAACTATGTCATTCATAGGTCAAATGAAGATGGGAGTTACTCAGTTGTGGCGCGAACAGATCCATGTCGTTCAACACAAAATCCAGTATGGAAACCGATGGAAATACGCTTGGCAACCTTGTGTAATGGAGATTTCGATCGATCCATTCGCATTGATTGCTTTGATAATCGAATGAATGGGAATCACAAAATTATTGGCACATGTTACACTTCTCTGCGTAGTTTGGAAAAAAGCGATTCGCCCATGCCCTTGATAAACGAAGAAAAACAGAAAACGGATCCAGAACTAGGGGCGGCCGGAACATTGAAAATTGTTAAAATTAACATTACGGAGGAGACGACATTTCTTGATTTCGTCCGCAGCGGTACTCAAATGCATTTTGCCGTTGCCATCGATTTCACTGCATCGAATGGCCGACACAGCAATCCAAACTCATTGCATTATCTAAACCCCGAGCATTTGAACAATTATGAGGTTGCCATTTGCGGAGTTGGCGAGATCATCGAATATTATGATGGTAATTTTTGCAAAATCAAGCAAAATTCCATCCAAAAATCACATTTCTATTAATTTGTTCATGTTTCTTTGCTTTCTATAGCTTCAAAGCTTTTTCCCGCGTTCGGTAAGTAACATTTTTGTAATCTTTTACATGTCAAATGGTGACTCCATTTAAACGTCCGCTTTATATAAATATAATTTTTTTATACTGAATTGGATTCATTTCCTGCACTTGGTAAAAATCGATTTTTTTTTATTGAACTGTCTTACTTATTTCACTCAGTTCCTATTATCCCTGTTACCTTGACGTGAAGTGCTCATTGCATTTGTAATGTGTACTGTGTTCGTTTCATTTTTAATGACTCGTCGCTCCCTCCTTCTGAATTGTAATTTCATATAATTGAATCGTAATTCATATTTCTCACGAAGAGAACGGTTTTTTGCTCTCATTCATTTTCATAACCGTTTTATATTCAATTTATAGGCTTTGGCGCTAAATTGCCACCAAATGGGAAGCTTTCGCATCTCTTTCCCCTGAATGGTACTCCAAGCTACCCATTTTGTGACGGAGTTGCGGAAATCCTCAAGCAATATCGCATTCGCCTGAAAAATGTTGAACTATTTGGACCCACGAATTTTGCACCAGTCATCAATACCACAGTCACAATTGCGCGACAATTTCAAAATGGAAGACATTACTTTGTACTGCTAATCATCACAGATGGTATGTCAACATTACATAAACTCTTATTTGTACAGAAATACGTGTTTAGAAGTTTTTTTTAGTTTAGTATGTTTATTAGATGCGTATGACATTTATGATTGACATTTTATGTCCTTGTATAGGGGTCATTTCAGATATGAAACTTACAAAACGTGCCATTATCAACGCATCATCGCTGCCAATTAGTATTATCATTGTAGGCGTCGGTGATGCGGTCTTCGATAAAATGGACGAACTTGATTCGGACGATGTAAGATTAACGGTGAAAGGAAGTTACGCCGAAAGAGATATAGTTCAATTTGTACCGTTGAACAAGTTTCTGGCAAAAAATGGCGAAAGCATTAAATCCAAATCGGACCTAGCAAAAGAAGTGTTGGCTGAAATTCCGGAACAAATTACAAGCTACATGAAATCACGCGGTTTTAAACCAAAATTACCCGAAAAGGCAGCCGCCACCGCCTCTGCCGCTGAAACATTACCAAATGATGCATCTGTTATTCAACCAACCGCACCAATGCTAACCTAGTTGAAAAATATATAGATTTATTTAACAAAAACAAACAAACAAACAAAAAATATCAAAAAGAGACACAACAGATTATCTAGATTTATAAAAGAAACAACCACAAATAGATGGCTTCATTGATATTTTGCATAGATTATTATAAATATTGTTCCGTGTGAAGTATGTTCCTGAACACATGTGTAGAAATAAGTGTTTACCATATAGTTGATATTATGAAAAATAACAACCAGAGTCCATTTAGAAGCTTTTTTTAGTAATTTTTTTAGTCAGATTATTTATTAGAATCGATGAAGAGTACAAATTTATATGAGACATTTTTTTTGTTCTTTTTTTAGAGTAAAAAGTGTGTCAATTTTGATAATCACATCAAAACAACAACAACAAAAGCAACAATAACGGATTTATTGTTTTGTTTCAGTTGCATGGGTGATTCGATTTGTGTTGTCTCACCCTGCTCCCGAACGAACGAACGATTTATTTTTTCAAACCGTGTTTAATATTCATACGAAACATTTCAGGGCAACTCAATGAGAAACGAGCTAATTTATGCGCATTGCATAAGTAGGCATATACAATATGTTACATGTGTCCACATTTCGGACCAAATATTTTTTACACATTTGCTGATTAATTTTTAAATTGAGCAGGCCTAATGCATCTACGAACAACAACAACACCAACAGCAGCAGCAAAAACAATTGTTTTTTGTTGTTTGGGTTTTCAAAGGAATTACCGAGTCTCAATAAGACTTAAAACAAAAATCTACTCAATCTTTCAACAGCCAATCTTGTTTTTAAACAATCGTCTCTTATTTAAACCAAACAAACCACATTTTAGAATTGACTAACACTTAAGTATGTGCTTCTTAAATGGTGAATTGATTTTCATATTAATTGTCCATTCAATTGTTATTCTTTTTTTTAAAAAATCATTTAATGCCAATCCTAAGAATCTACAATCATTTTTTTTCTCGTCTTTTTCATTTTCTATGAAATGTTTAAGTGAGTGTCTATTAAGCGATGTTGTGCAGTGATATTAATCTCTCTAGACGTGAATCTACTACAAATGAATTTCAATTTCAACACAATCAATTTAAAAAAAAATTCTATTTGAGATGTTCAAAAATTCGCACAAATAAAAATCCCAAAATAAAAAGTTGTTCAAAAATATGTTTGAGTATTTTATTTTTAAATTTCTTTCTTCAAATTTCAACGTTTAGTTCTAAAGTAATATTTTTATGAGAATATTAACATCTGCTTCACGAGTTTTACCAATTTTAAGAGCTTCGATTGAAGATATCGAAATTCGTTGGAGACATAGTTACGTCCCTCTTTAAAGCCGCGTAATGAATCGATAAAAACCAGTTGCTTCATGTAAATCACGAATAGTGTCACATACGTTTATTCATACGCTTACACGTCTGTCAAAGACACGTTGGTCTTCATAGACATCAAAACAATCAATAATCAACTTGAAAATTTCCAGCTGTGGTTGTACTTAGAGTTGAACGCTTGTTGCTATTCGATTTCGTGTTTTAATTTCTCCATCCATAATTGAACATTTTCAACACGTTTATTTATTTTTAATATTCAACAAGTTGTTCTTTTAATACTAAACATTTTTGTTCTATTTTCGGACATATGAATCACAAACGGAAATTCATTCATTGACAATTAATAATGTAAAACAAGAATAAGACCTCAAGCAAACGAAATGTTACGCAGAAAAGTCAAGATTTTTCATCAACTTTTATCATTCAACTTGAATTTTGTAAATTCAATCTTCTTTTTGTTGGAACCGAAAATGTTTTTCATTCATTCAAATTCTACGAATGATTCATTGACATCTCTGTTTAATGATTTTATTTATCTATAAAAAATAAAAAATAAAAAAAATCACGCTGCAATATTTAAAAACCAAAAAAAAGTGTTCAAAAGAAAAAATACCGATCCGTCCTTTTGAATTGTGACATTTGCCGCTGACACAGTACGCAGCCATTTTTTTCTCATGTGGTAAACACTAAACATCTCTTGAAGCTGTCACTGTGACAATCTTTTAATGCATATCATCGTATCATTCTGATTGCGTTGCATTAATATCGTCGAATTTGTTATAATTTTTCGGAAATTCTTGCATTTTTTCAAATAATTTCTGTAATTTTAAGTTTGTTTTTATATAGATAATGAGCGTTGTAAACGTTCTAACGCCGAATGGAAGACGGCAAAATGTGAAGGTGCAACCAAACACCGCAATTTTGAAGGTATACACTTTTACTTTATAAGATTATTTTTTGGTATCCAAAAAGACTGACTACCGTTATCGAATATAACGGTGTTTCTTTAGGTTCTAGAGGATGTATGTGAAAAGCACAAATTTGATCCGAATGAATATGACTTGAAACATCATAAACGCATTCTCGATTTAACAACATCGTTTCGATTCTCCGGTTTACCAAATAATGCGCAATTGGAAATGGTCGAAGCACAAAAGAAGCGACAAGATGCTGAAGTTGAATTGGTTGTACAATTGTCCGATGGGACACGTGTGGAAGGCAAATTCAAACCGAATACAATACTTTTGGACATTATAAAAGAGCTCAGTCCAAATGAACTGACCGGTGACGATCTTTGCGCCATTTATATGCGGACAGAAGTGTCAAGCGACAAGTTGGGAAGTACATCGTTGAAAGATTTGGGATTGATTAGTGGCAGAGCAATTATTCGGCTCGTTCATCGTGATCCAAATGCAGCGAAAATGTAAGTCTTTTTTTTTTAAACATAATTGAATACATACAAAAACCTTAAACACATTCGGCTTACAGGCAAGCAAATGTTGCATTGAATCTAACAAAACCGAGCGAAGAAAAAGATGAAAAACGAGAAAATAAAGTGCGAAAAACGGACGATTTAACAACGCCCAGCACCTCACAGTCAATCATAAATGTTGTGAAAGAAGAGAAGAAGAAGGAACAAGTAACGGAAGACCAAAAAATGGAGGAGGAAGTTGATGAAGAATTGGCCTCGATCGAAGAGAAAAAACTCGATCCACCAGTGGAAAATATGGAAGTTAATTCACCGGCACCGCCAACTGCTATCGATGAAGATGAAGACCCAGGCGAGATAAAAATTGTAAGTTTACATTTTGACCGCGGTTCCAAAAATTCAAATTACTAGTGATTTTCTTTATCTTCAACGCAGTTGGGCGAACGAAGTGCGGTATTATTCATGCAAGATGCAGCCAATTCAGCTAACCTAAATTTGCCGGACTCTTTCTATGCAGTAAATACAACTGACCTCAAAATACTGATTAAGGGTTTGAGAACAGAAGCAGAGGGTACCGTTGAACAACCGTTGATGACCGCTAAACTCCGTGCAATGGAAGAAGAACAGAAGCAATTGTCCGCGTTAAATAAGTACAATAAGGCAATCATTCGCATTCTGTTTCCGAATCGCTATGTTTTACAAGGAGTATTCACACCATATGAAACCATCGAAACGGTAATTGAGTTTGTACGCTCATATTTAGCCAATCAAAACATCGAATTTTACCTGTGTGAGTGATCTTATATTCAATTCAAAAGATAATTTCATTTTTTTAACGATGATTTATTACGGAAATTACAGATACAACCCCACCGAAAGAAATATTGCCCAAGGAATCTCGGCTTTTTGAAGCTAAATGTGTGCCATCAATCGTTCTACACTTTGGTTCCGAGGAAAAACAATCGAATTATCTGAAAGAAGAGATTTTGGATAAGGTTTCATCACCAAAAGCCGCGATCAATCAAGCATTTTTAGATCGGTAGGTTCCTTACGGAACTCAAGCCTTCTTTGATTTTCAATAGTGTTGATGTCAATTTTCTTTAACTTTTTTGCAGAGGAATCAAAATGTCGTCGACCGTCGAGTCCAATGAGGAAGACCAACCGTCATCGTCACAGCAACCGCGTAGATCAAATGCATTATCGTTTAGTTCATCTTCAACGGCTTCAACTTCTACGGATGTTAAACTGCCCAAATGGTTCAAACCAGCGGGAAAATAGCTCCGATTGGAATAAATAAAATAAAACCACATCCATTTCACAGTGATACATTTTTTTGTTATTGCATTTCTTTTCATTTGAAATAAAATCGAATAAAATTCTCTCTTTTTTTTCTCTCACGTAAAACATAAAAACTACTTTTACATTTTCAGCATGGTAAATCTTTAAATATCTAAAAAAAATTGTTTCATTTATATTGTTGTCATTTAATATAAAATAATGATATAATATTGAATCTCTTGAAGTGTGTCTTTCCAATTGTAATATTACTATATTATGTACGTGTGTGTTTTGTGTTATAGTTTTGCAAAGGCATCAATACTGTTATCCGGTTTATTTAATATTATTTGTCTATTTGATGTGAGTTTTGTTTGCATTATGAATGATACACAAAACGGTTTGTAATTGGTGAGATACGTGGTGTGTAAACGATGACATTTTATATTATATTTTGTATATTTCAATATGGTTCGCGACTATATACGTAAAATATCACTTTGGATTTATAAAATTTGAACAGTATCGATGGCCTTAGAAATCTAGAAACACGTGTCGCTTGGTGTGCAACGAAAACTTTTATCGTGTGCAAATGTCTTTAGAATTTGGGTTTCCAAATGGTTTCACTTTGTAACACAGTGCATTGATCTAACAACTGCAAATTATTTATTTAAACGTGACTTTAGATTTTTCTCTATTTTCATGTGTTATTCGTACGCCAGCAGGTTGCGTTTTTATTTTGTTCGATTCATATTCGTAATACATTTGTAAAATTTTCTTCTTTGTTTCAATTGAAAAAATCGCCTCAAATTGCCACTAAAGCAACATTATTATTTGTTGGTCTGTTTGAGTTAATTTTTCTTTTCCCACTGAATTCAATTAATGATTAGCATCAAGTCTCAATTATTTATCCAAAAAAGGGACAAGATGTATAGTTTCCAAATGTTTTTTTTTTAATTATTCATAAAATGTTTAAACCTTAAGATGGCATAGATCAGTCATAATATTTTTAGTCTTCTAAAAAAAAGAAGCTATTCTTGCATGGATATGATAAACTAAGAACGAAAAATGTGGATGAAATGAATGCGATTGCGATAGAAGAAAAAATTAACCTAATATTTAATGAAAAGAAAAAAGAACTGTGTCTAATCACCATCTAAACTCTATAAAGAATGTCTCTTCACTTTTTTTTATCATAATCTTTTTTCAATACACAAACGGAACATATGTTCATGCATTTCATTTAAAGTACTAGAGAGGGTGCACGTGTGTGTGTATGTGATTGTGTGGCTGTGACATTCTATTTTACTCTCTCAAAAATTCACTATAGTTTATGTATATATGCTAGAGTCTCACTGATGATTGGTGCATGCAAAACGATGGACCCGCAAATGTGTTGGTGATTGGTTTTTATCATCTTCAATTTTAGTTCCACTTTATGGTTATGCGATTCGAATGCACTTATTTATCTCGTGCTATAATAATTATCTTTTATCTTCTATGGTACAATTCGGCAAATATTAATTTCAAATACACAACATCAACAATTTTATTTTAGCAAATAAAATTTTCATTTTCTATGTGAAGTGAATATTAATCTTCTATAAGGAGTCTCTTAAGACTTTTCTTATAATTTTCAATACATTTTTTTCTTTTTATCTCCTTTTTTTCTCTGCTACTTTTTTTATTTCACATTGAATACAAGTTGTGTTTGTTGAAACGATGTGCGATTTGGCGCTGTATCAAGAAATATGATTTATTCAATTTGGATGTGTCATCCATCATTGAGAAAATACTTTTTAAAAAAACACATTTTTTCTTTGTCGTTTATCACTCTCTGTCGCGCTTTAACGGTTGAAATTTACATGCGTGAACCTTTTTGCTGTAGAACTTTGGCGCGATCGTTTGATTCCTGTTCGCGGCCAATCGTCGGTCCGATGCATTCCTTTGATACAACACACAAAAATTCGGCATTCTCTTCCGAACCGTAGTTGTATTGTGTGCCAATATTTATCAGTTGCTCGAATCGCCAACCGTCCGACATTGTTGACACCATCTATTCATTACGGGGGAGGCGAAAAGGACAAAGTCAATGTTGAGAAAATGTACTTTGGCATGGATAAACAAAACTATTAAATATGAAATGATGACATGTGTACGAACCTGTGTTAATTCATTCTCTTGACATTGTAGCACGCGATAGACTCGTTTTTTATCTAAGGCAGGTCGATTATCTCTTAATGTAATGCATTCCTTAATTAAACCTATCAAATGCGTTACATTATAAAATTCAGCTTCCTCAAGAACACCCTCTTCGGATAGACCATCTAAAACTAGTTTTCCGTGTCGCAGATAATTCAGTACAGGCGCAAAATAACGTGGGTCTCTGTCAATCAAATAGGCTCCAGTTTCATCCTAGATATTGTTACAAAACAGACAAACAATTGTTACTTTCAATGCAATTGAACAGTGAAATTGTGTCATTTGTTTGCTTGCACACACAGTAAATGTCAAACAAACACACAAACACTGAATATTTTAAGCATTAGATAATCAAATGACAGGAAGGGATTATAAGAAGAAAAAAATGCACATACTTTGTCTGATATTAGGTCACTGTCTTGAATGAGACGCGCTAAAAATGAATTCGGATCGCGTGAAAGAGTGGTTTTGGTTGTGAGAAAGCAAGTGCCACCCACATTCAATCGAACCCATTGATTACTGCCTTGTTTCGTAAGCATATTCGGACTTTTTCTTGGATTTAAATTCACTGTCGACATAATTTACACCTTTTCCACAATAAATTTGAACAAAACTCTTGCGAAATCAAAAACGAAAAACGAAAACGCGTTTTCTGTTTTGAGAGAGATAGAGTGTTTTATGTTTCCACCAATAAAATGTAACACATACAATACAAGAAAATTGTTGTTGCCTCTATCGACGCATCATATCACTTTTGCACGGAATTCTCTCACACACACACACACACACTCCGATAAAAAACCATTTCGGATGACAGATTGACTGGCGCTTTTGGGACAAGTCATTCGTCACAAAATCGGTGAATTGTCAGAAAAAAAATATCCGTTTTTTTAAACTTTTCTTTGATATTGAATGTCTGAGTTGAATGATTTTTGGTAATTTTTCGTAAAAAAATACTTAAAAGACACGGGAAATTGCGATATTATTTAAAGATTTGTTTTAAAATATTGGACTTGAGTGAAAAAAATGATTTTTGTAACGTTCAAATCGGGTAATCCCAAATTTCAGCATGTTTCCCACGATGTACACATATGCATGCGAGTGTATTGCACACAAGTTTGACACAATCACGCAGTTGTCAAAATCTATTTTCCCATTCATTTGTGAGGCTCGAGTAGAGAGCAATTTTTTTTGTAACATCGCAAATTGCATTCGAGTTTGACGTATTATTTTTGGTCTGCAAAGAAATTTTTGTCAAATCACTATTTTCGCAGTAACAAATTTTTTTTGTGTTCGGCTCACGTGTGTACAATTATCGATTTTGTGCTGATAAATTTATACTTGTTGAGTAAACCAATTGCAGAAAAATAGAAATAAAATTGTTTTTGTCGCTTCGTTGTTGCACAAACACAATTTTGCATCGAAGTAAAGTGAGAGAATTCGAACCACGCAACTGGTATTTCAAATACTGCAGAGCAGTAGTGTTTTTCTTCGTGTGTGTTTTTCTTTTCTTTTCGGTTGGTCATTTGTTATTTATACACATTTATTAAATAACCAAAATTCAACGTAAAACAAATTCAGATCACAAAATGCCAGTAAAATGCGAAGTGATACCACCACCATCGCAATCCAAACAATTAGGATTTCCAAAGACTCTTTTATATAATGGCTCAAAATTTGAAGGTTCACAAAAATCGAAAGGCAACTCATATGCCGTGGAAGTATGTTTGCAGGTATATGTATATTGGTTTTATCAGTCGCATATCAGTAATTTGCGTGTTTATTTGTCGTTTGAGTATGATTGTAATAAATATCGTTTTATAGCACGTCGACGAAGAGAACTCATATCTGTGTGGCTACTTGAAGATTACGGGACTCACATTCGAGTATCCAATGCTGACGACATTCTTTGATGGAGAGATCATTTCAAAGAAATACCCATTTTTAACAAGAAAATGGGATGCTGATGAAGATGTTGACAGAAAACACTGGGTATTGCTTCGAAGCCTTTTTTTAAATAATCGAATTATTTCACTGTCGATTTAAATCTTTTTTCAGAGCAAGTTCTCCGCGTTTAAGAATAAATACGAGAAAACATTCAACTCAGACAATTTCGACTATGACAGTTTAGCGAAGAGTGATTATGTATTCATGCGATGGAAAGAGCACTTCTTGGTAAGTGTGAAAATCAACGAAATCTAACTCAAAATTTCAATAAACATTATTGAAAAAATTTCAATGACAGGTACCTGATCATACGATCAAAGACATAAATGGCGCTTCGTTTGCTGGTTTCTACTACATTTGCTTTCAAAAATCAAAAGCCGAAATGGAAGGTTACTATTATCACAGATCATCTGAATGGTAAATAGTTTTTTTTAAATCTCGCTTGCATATAGTTTCGTTAAATGTTATCATTACATTATTTTAATCACAATCTCTCTTTTATCTCTGTTTTTTCTTCGCATTAAATCAGGTTTCAGTCGTTAACTCTAAAACATGTGCCGGAGAGTTGCATTCAAATCTACGAATTCAGATGAATGTGTGCGCTTATTCGATGTGTATTTTTTTTTAACTTATTGAAATTGATTAAGTGCTGTTTTTAAAAATAGTTCGTTGATTTAGTTTCTCATATTTCGATTTTTGCAAAGGAAAATGTTTTGTCTTGACACATATAGACAAATGATTTATCTATTCGTGGCTCCAAAACTATATTTACCATAGAATTAGCGGTTTATCCAAATGCTCTATAATTTAACAAAACAAAAACTTGTAGTGGTTTTTCCATATCAGGCTTTTCACACACAAAATCCACAAAAAAACCCGAAAAAAAAAACAAATTCGGATGGAAGTGTTTGATTATTTAGTGCATAAAAAATGTCTAGTTTGTAGGGCAATAACAATTCGCAATTTATTAGATCTAAAAACTAACTTCCGCCCGATGAAAATAGATGAATGTGACAAAAATACGAACGAGTTTCGGTGTAACTCGATTGAAGTATATCTCCATAAAAAGGATCTGATTTGTTTGCCAAATTCTTTTCAATTTTAGACATCTACATTTTACCAATGTAATCAATTAAATTAAAAAAAATGAAATCAGCTGTATACTATATACCATTTAAAATATTTCAGAGAAAAATGAAATTCATATTGTACAAATTCGTTTCAATAAACAAACACACATACATTTTTTATATATATATCTATAAAATATGATGGCAGTTTTCAGCTGATCAAGATCATGTATATTTAGTGAACAAAATACAAAAAAAGTATGTTTTAGGAAAAATATTGTTGATTTTTACACACAAACAATCGAGAAAAATGAAAGAAATTTCTTGAGATAATGAAATGATTATTCGAAATTAAGTTAAAACAAGGAAAAAAATGCATAAATTATGATAATTAAGAGATATATAAATGGTTTATTGATACCCTCTGTTTTATCTGTGATTTTAACAGAGACACAAAAAAAACAGTCCTTCAATTGTTTGAGTACTTACGATCCTCGATTTTTCTGCGTAAATATTATTAACATATTCAAATCCAGGAAATATCAACGAAAAACCAACATACATCTATAGGAAATTTTAACGTTTTTTATGAAAAGAATGAGAAAAAATGAACAAAATAATGGATGGAGAAAAAGAAAGAATCAAAAATTAAGGAAAGCCATAAAATATGTTTAGCCATTTAAGATAAATTTGAGTATTTTTTGTTTAAAAAAGAACCTTTTTTCCGTATAATTTGTTTTCGTGAAGAAAGTTCGCTCTTCATTTCAATTAATCTTATGTTAATGCCAAGACAGTTTTCCTACTTTTGAATTTTGTGTCATGGAAATTTACAATTTTGTTTTTACTTTTTATTCACTTGCCACGATTTATAACTATTTATTTGATTTGAATTGATATGAAGAGAATGTTAGGTACAATTGCAATATGGAACAGTATTTTTTACGAATGATTTCGGATCAGCTATAGTTTCAACAGTTAAACAAATTATCCTAATCAAATGTTCGTTTCCTGCTTAGTATTTTCTTTGGAAGCCCCCACACCCACACATAAACACCAAAAATTCAACTGCATGCAGAATGTTTATAAACAAATCTCAAAATACTTACTACAACCAGTTACTTTATATCAATGGTTTTTTTTTTTTCGTTTGCAGCGTTTTATTTTTTATTTGTTTGTTTCGTGAAACATATATCGTATAAGTTCAAGTTTATTTACATATTGAGTCAAATTTCTGTTTGATTATTCAGAGAATTTTATTTGTACATTAAAAACCGGAAAAAAATAATAATTTTTGGTTTCAATAACAATCAATTGTTCTTCTTGATGATTTTTTCAAAATAAATAACAGTAAAAACAACCAAACCAAAAATCGATTTTCAAAACCGTTCTTATTTATTGGTCGTAAAAAATATCTTTCAGATGATGTCATTCAAATTCAAATGGAATTAGGTAAAGTCAACTCATCTGATAATTCGACAAAATTGGTCATTTCAGTGGGTCTAAGTGGACCATTCTGCCTTTAAGATTGATTTAAACTGCAAACATTGTCGTAGCTGCAGCTATCGTCGTATATACAAAGCAATTCGAGGTGAGCGTTGATCGTAACTGAACGAAGAAATATGCTCAGCGTGCTTGTAAAATAGAAAGTTGTCTGTGCGCTCGGCTCCATCGATCGTCAAGAGAGGGGAAAATACTACTCAAACTTCAAATTACACTCAAACAAGAAATGAGGTAACGGATAAGTTGTGCTGTTCTTCGTCTTACCATTTACCTGGTGTGTTGTACGTTCGGCTTTGTAAATACATCATGTTTTGGCTCCATTCAGTATTTCCCCATATTTTGTTGTTAAGAGTGCATTGGTACGTGTATTCGAGCTTACCTGTTAGCTCTTTTTTGGCACATACAGTTCACTGCAACCGGTTTCATTCTCGAATGACAGTTGAACACGAGCGTCCAAACGGTGAAGATCAACGATTTTGATACGGCAATTTCAGTTGAAGACATCTGCCGAACGAGCGAAGCAAAAAAATATACGTTAAGTGAATGTAGATATACTGTTAATGGGTGTTCTTAAGTGAATATATATCGGTGTTTAAGAGAGAAAGCAATTTTTGAAAAAGAAAAAAAACAAAACGAATTTTTACGATTCTTGAGCGGGAAGTGAGTTTTAGATTCGTGCGAAAATATTTTTCAAATAAAAAAATAATTTTATCAATATAAAATGTGTATTGATACGACGATAAAAAGTTAGGAAAACATGAAAGTTTGAAAACGAAATTCAGTCGAGAAAGAACCAAATTTGCATACTACTTCAGTTCGAACAAACTCGTGAAGAATAAGTGTTGAAAGCAAAAACTCAAGAAGCACACACATAAGATACGGATCATCATTCGGAATCAACGGAATATTTAAATATCCGAAAGGCAAGCATTTATGCAGACATTGTTCGGTGAAAAATGTAAGAATTTTTTTTTCAAGTTTTCAAAACCATTATCAAAATTGTTGTACGTGAATAGAAATCGAATTCAACGAAACATCGAATTGAATTTGGCTGCTGCAAGGCTGACATTTTACGATTGCAATGAATTTAAATATTTTGCGATTATTTCGAAGTGGGTTAATGCGATGATAAACGAAACGAAGATTACTGGTTATTTTTCCATTTGCTTTTGACACACAGAGTAACACATCATTCACCATAAAAATTAGTTAAAACATCTGTTGACTTTATACTTGCTTTATGCCATCTTTTATCTTTCTAATGTGCTCGCACATCTGCCGCAGACAAAAGTACGTGCAGTACCTTGCAGGTTCTTTTCTCCCATGTCAATAATATTTTGTATGCCGTTCGATGCTTATCCAATTAGAAAGTCATCGGTGCCTATGATTGTTCGGGCGCACATTCTCTGGATGTGTAGTATTTACATGGCGCATAATCACCAATGTTTTCAGAATGAAAGTAAAGAGTTTGGGAAAATGTGTTATTTTTTTGTGTGTGACACCGTTTCGTGTCTCTGTTTTTACCGGAAACACATATCAAGTGCTTGGGTTAAATTTTTGGTTTGTCTTTTGTTTTAAGAAATTAAAAAAAACATACACAAAACTCTTGCCAAAATTCTTCACAATCGGATTGGTCACGTACAATTTAATCACCGTAATTTCACAAGCCAACGAGCGCATAAGTACGTGGAATGTATAAACACACTTCTTGGGAACAATTGTTGCCATATTTACAAAACGAAGAGAGAGAAAAAAAGCATAGTTTCTTTACTCATCGAATATTCAGTAAATGTCGACGAACGAGTGTTTGCACTTTATTTTCAATTGTTGCAAACATGCGACTCTATCCATTTCATGGCATGTCTGTGTTAAACGTCGAATCGATTAGAAAAACATTCCGCCTCTGTTCAAACATAGAAAAATGAAACAAAAGCCGATTCGAAGAATAGTTAGATTGTATTTATCGGCCTTTGTTCGCTCGATTCAGGTAAATAACGCAACAAATCGGAATGCGTTTACCATCCCAACCCAATTCCATTGCGAGACAAGTCAAGTATCGAGAGAGAAAAAATAAGACAAAAACAATTAAATTATGATCTGTCGTTGTTGAAAGTTCTTGGGATCTAAAGAAACGATATTTTCCACTTTATCATTACGGTTTTAATTTAAAAAGAAAAATATAATGAATATAGTACAATGTGACATAAAAAAAGGTGTAAGAAATATGCTTTGTATCGTGCGCAAGCTGTGGTTAAAAGTGTGTTGACATTTTTAATTGGCCTAAATAATTGCGAGCATACGGTGCAATAATATGGAATGATCTAAATTTTGATATGGTGATATGGGTGTTTTTATGCCCGATTCGCCAATTTTACCAAGAACTCACCGATCGACGGTCAAGATGCGCAAAGAATTTAGGAAATTTTTAATCAATGAACACGCAGCAAAATCCAAGAAAAATTCAGATGGATTTATGGAGCGATGAGAGAGTCATTCTCGAAATTCATACCTACTAAACGACTGGCTACTTTTTCCCGAGTGATCGATCTAAGTACGGCAAATATTTATACTCAATGTTCAAACAAGTAACATTTTTTTCTCTTTATGCAACCCAGTTAAAGTGCTGATATCAAAATTGTACACATAATTTGTTCTCTCCTGGATTTTTTTTTCGCCTTCATTATTTCGACTTTGTAAACGTTTTGTTACCATCAAATAAATGTAGTTTCTCTTTTTTTTTCTGCGTCGCCGATCCCATATTCTTCTTTTCATTTCGGAATTCTTCCATGGTGCGCACACTTATTAATCCGTGAAATGTACGCCAAATGAAAAGAGATTCAATTAAAATGCGCTGACGCGCAATCGTGCACTCGAGAGTGTGTGTAATGTGCGCGGTTGCTGTGTCGCGAGCTTTATTACTCGAGAAAAACAAAATGTTTATTGTGCGCCTGATTTGGCGTTTAACTTTGTGGGCTGTTTGCATGGCTCATACTCAGTTCCCTTCTTCTAGGCGGCAGTAAATTGAGCATGAATTACACGTCAAACCGAAATTGATATCACACAAGTAGTAATCAATCCGATAATTATACACCAGTTTGTGGTACGTGTGTGTATGCCAGATAATTGCCAGTATGTGTGTCTGTGTATCGTATTTGACGATGGATTTCCCAGATGCGATTGAAAATCTTGGCAAATTTTTCAAAAGACTGTCCCAATTGGAAAAAGAACTAAACGTTTTGTGTATGTGCTGTAATACAATACTCCAAATGGTACATTGCGAAAGAAATCTTGATTTATGCCCCTATTTTGACCCCGTCGACTCTTGTTATAAATTTTACCGCATTACAAAAGCTTACTTATCAAGATGATAACCAAAACTGTATGTTGTTATTATAACTTGGCTTTGTTATAATTTACAATTTTGCGGTGAAAAGAAAATTTTGCATTTCTTATTAAGAGCAAAAAGTGTATTTTTTTTCTTTGTGGGCTTTATTGCTGCCATATATATTCGAACGTTTGCCTATTTTGTTGCACATGCATATAAAACAACAACAAACAAATTCAATCGATGCATACATTCAACTGTGAACTTTTAATGCTTACGTCGTAGCAGTGCAGTTGGTATTTATATATATTTTATTGGTTTCGAAATTCAAACCAAAATTATACAAGCGAAACAAAGAGTTTTGCCAAAGGAAATGAGCCTATGCACCAGATAAATATAGTCATTTGGAGCATTAAGAGCAAACTCCAAACAACGAATGTCAATTTATCGAAAAGAGACAAACAATAACATTTTGTTCGATGACGAGAACACAATAGAATTGGATGGTAGGCAGTAGGTGCCATTCAACACAATTTACCGTTCTTCAACATCATAAAAACTATAAATGTTTCGATGAAATTATAATCATTAGATTGTCAATAAAAGGGAGACCAACCGCTGACCAATCGTGCTCATTTTTATGATTCAATATGCGGAATCATTTCGGATTCTGGTCTTTCTTGCATAAATGGAATCATTAAGACTTCTTCTTCATATGGCCAATTCACTCATTACACTTGGTACCGTTCAATGAGTCATCACAATGATGGTGAAATTTCAAACTCATTGGCGTCGCTTTATCATCATGCCGAGCACCGCCAAAGAATAACGAAATTATTGTTATTAGGAGGCATACTTAAGTTTGTACACCTTTAGATTTTCATTTATTAATATGAATTTGCTTGAGTATTCATTATACTTTTGGTGTTTTAAATAATGATTTGATTTTAATGAGAACGATGAATACATTATTATTATTATTGTTTTTATTCAACACGACTGTATAACCTGAATATGTACTTGAACCATTTTTATATTGATTATTTTCAACACTTTGTTCAAGTTCATTAATTGATTGAAAGTAAGCAATTAATAAATTAATGCATTTTTCATGGCCGCACAATTTAGCAAAACAATTCAAAAAAATAAAAATAAACCGTTTTTAGCTGAAAACGATTGAATCGTGAATGTGGTTGGCTCATTTTCACATTTTTAATCGACAAAGCGCGAAAACACTACGGGAGAAAAGGTCATCAGATTGTATGCAATCGTATACCTTGTGTGAATGTTTCGAAATGCAACAATGAAGATGCTTGCGTTTCAAAATCTTGCCGCAAACTGACTCGGCTGGTTTTTCTTGAAAATCACAATGATCATCGATTTTGAAAGGTTTTTTTTTCTCTTCTTTTTGTGTGCAATATTTCTTTTGTTTTCCAAATTTTATATCTATTTTTGATTTTAAGTTGCGTGGCTAATGAAATGATTCAAGTTTTCGATTGAAACGTGTCAAAATATTTGTAATTAAAATCGTTGAAATAATTATATATACGACTTAATGCCAAAGCTGATGGGTCATAATGCTGTTACCTAAGACTCACCGTTCGATGTTCAAATGTTAAAAAATAATTGAATCATTAAAACTAGAAGAGAATGAAATGGAAAAAATAATCATCGAAATTACTGTTGTAAGACAGAAATAAAAACCATCGCAATACATTGTATAATAGACATGTTATCAGCGGCAATGTGTGTATGTACTGATGGTCAGTCATAAATATCTGCTATTGAACTTGACTGATCGTTAAAAGTCATGGAGCGAATCTATATGTGTGTTTTGCGAAGCAAATTATTGAATTTCCACGTCAAAGTCAGTGCGGCCCATTCTCGATTGGTTGCAGATCAAAAATTGATTACTATCATTCCATAAGTTTATATAAGTTAAATTAGAACACGCATCAATGGTAACAAAAATAATAATAAAAGAAAAACAATCGGCGATCATACATGATAGCTTCCCAAACACACATGCGAGAAATGTAGAATATTGTTTACTGTAATTGGTAATACTAAGAATTTCTGCTCTGATGCACGGTTTTTTTTTATTTGTTCCTCACACGTTCTATCATAAAATCAATAAATGCGGCATCAAAAATTCAGTTTTTTTTTTCTCATGTCCGTGAACAATCATAAAAATGATGATGATGATGTAATGTGAAGAACAAAAATTATTGTTTGATAGAGAAATGTAGCCGCTTTTTTTTCTTCTTCATCTCACAGCAAATATAACGTTCTTATTGTATATGTAATAGAGCGAAACGTGAAAAGTGTGTTCGATTTATTCATTTTTATTTCGCTACAGTGGCCGAATCGCCATTTTTCATAACTTCATTTATTATTTGCTGTTAAATGTCGATGAAAGAAATACAGGTCAATTTTTGATTTGCCGCAAATGCCAAACAAAACAACAACTATCTCAGCTAACAAAACATGAGAAAAAAAAAGAAACACGATGATTGTTTGAGAGATGATGAAAAAAAAATTGTTTTCTTCTGGCTTCAGATCTTGGGTTCCAATTACAACGCGTTCATATTTTTGCACCAAGAGATTAAATTAACCATCTATCTTCTTTTTTT